GCTACGAGTTTTCATCCACACGATGAGTTGCCGTATTGGGAAATAAGCCGCTGTAACGGAAACTTACCGCTTCTGATGTGCTGATCGCATGTTCAGCCAGACATGTCATTGTTGCGTCAGCAATTATGTTAAAGACTTAAATGTATTTAATTATTCCCATCAAAAATAGATAGGAAGCAGATTTTAGTAATAACTTATTAGTGACAATATATTAAAGCATACGTTGATCACTGATTGATAAAATAATAGTTTTATTCATTTTTATGTTAGCACTTCTATCCAAATTCTAGGTACTTAATATTACAAATATAAAGGTTTTCAGGGGGTACAGCAGTCCCCTATCAAGGCGAGCTCAGCCTTACCATCCCTTTCCCGAAGCGATTCATGAAACTTTTGACCACCTTATAACTTCATTGTAAATAACGCAATACCACGGCACCATAATTATAAAATAATAATACAAAATCGACTATTTCGATTAACAAGTAAATCTAAACAATAACACTTAAGAAGTATTTTATTAATAGAACATGTTGCCATCCAATTACCAAGTCATTACAATTATTATAGAAATGAAGACGTCTAATATTGATATAAACTCTATAAAGAAAAATTACGTTGCGAGACTTGGCATTATGTTACATTTTATATTTTTGATAGGATAAAATCTTTCGATAACTTAATGACGCATTAAACCGCTAATAGAATTTTAATATAACTTTGTGCCATAAATTATCATACGACACCAATCCACATTAAATTTCTACTTCATGTAAACAAAGCCACAGGTTACAGCTGTATATAAAATAGATTGCGGTTTAATCTTGATTAATGAAAATACATTTCGTTAAAAGCCTGCCCTCTAATTGAATGGATTTACAAAGAATTAAGTTCTGAACAGTACTCGGTAGATCATAGACAAGAGAATTCAGTTTTATTCGAGTGAAATTAATGGGAGCCTAATCAATTATTGAATAAGTTATAAAGACAAAACTGATTACGGCCGGAGATATTTCGATACCTACTCTGTTAAGTTATGCACAAAGCATCACTACGTATTCGTGTCAATATAATGCGCGTAGATAGCAATATACATTCTTTAACTTGGAGACAAATCAGATTTTCTTCAACAGAATATTTGAAAAAAACGACCAACTATAGCATTAGAATTCCGATACTGCCGTGACTTAAGTAACTCCAGTAACTGCAATATGAGGAATACCTTGGCAATACCGATATGAACATATTTAATATCGACATTTCCGATTTACAAACACTTATTCTGCGTATTTCAACATTCAAAATTCAGTCCGCAGTGCGAGGCGAGACACTGCGACGTAAAACACCATACTCACCTTGAAGGAGGCTTCCAAATTAGGTCGATCCAATTATCGGAAACGACAAACATAATAAGTTCATAAAATTCCCGTTATACATATGTATGAACGTACAAAATCACCTTGAGAGGTACTATGCATAAATAAGTAACAAATATTGAAGAGAGCAATTAGTGACTACAAATATCGAAAGAGATCGCTCTAAACGAACGTAAATTAGCCAAATAAATCAACGTGGACGCAAAAGGGACAAACTGAAAGGTTCGTTAACGTAACCGGTGAGCTCGTACGAAAAAATTTACAAATGTAGAAACCAAAAGTTAATGTATTATATTTAGTGGTCAAAAAAATCGAATACATAATTGAAGTCGGTTAATTTTGGATTAAAAGTTGATATAAATCGTCGAATCCATAATGTAATTATTAGAAAGAAAAAAAAATATATAAGATAGAATTGTAAACTTTATATTAAAACAATGAAGGACAAGATAAAAGGTAATGTCGAACAGTAATTTTAAAATTATGTCAAAGTCTATATATCAAAATATGTCCAGCCATTATCAACAAAACTTGCAAAAAATACGGCTATACATGGGTACAGCCGTAATTTTTGCAAGTTTCGTTGATAAGGCAACTTAGGGTCACCGAAATGTTAAATGGCCACTTTACCCAGATAATTTATAAAACAAATTCATTCCGTTAGTAGTTCAGTTCATGGCCGATAAGATGGTGCTAGCAAATAATAAGTACGTTGTAGTAATAAGTTATAACGCTATTAGTATTTATTATTTCACCAACATTACAATTCAATAAAAATTTAGATTCTTATTTTTTTTTTACCATACCACTTATTGTGTATTTATCTATATATTCCATGTGTCTCATATATGTTTTATATTATATACTAACTTAACACTAATATTTGTTTTATTGTTGCTTGTTATTTAATTTCATTTTTGCGCACAGCACTATTTGTATAGGCTCTTATGGAAGACCAGCGTCGAGCCATAAAGACTGCTGACATATGCTGAGTAAGAGCCTTTTTAGTGACTAGACTTTGTTTATTTTTTTTTATTGTTAGCTTTTGTAATATCTATGTATGGTATGTTACTAAATAAATAATTTTTCTTTCTTTCTCTCAATCATAGTTATGAATCTGTTACTTTGCAACAGTAAAACAGACTACTTGACTTAGTGACAATGTGCAGAGGATAATGATGAATAAATAAGGTATACGGCAATACGCCAAAAGTCAACTTCTCAAGATTAAGGAAGACCCAATTTTCTCTTTGGCGATTAGTTATTATTTTTGTAAATTGATATTTATACGGTACATAGGTAATCCTAAATAAATATTATTTTAACAATCTGACCTTACTAATATAATAAAATCGTAACTAGACGATGTCTGTATATGGAAGTTACTTAAGAAAAAATAATATGAGAGGCCTAAATAAAACCAATAGATGCCACACATTAATCTTTAAAAATTTTGTTTGTCTGTTTGTGATATTCCGGCGTAACGCAAAAACTACTATACCAAATTTGATGTAGTTTTCACACTCGTATTCTTAAGTATCTAACTTAATACCTGGTATATGTTTTAGCTTCATACGCCATCTAAAACTAGTCTATAATAGCACAAAATCTTTTAAAATAATAAATATTAATAAAATAAAAATTCAACGAGTAATAGTAGAGTTACTTGTCAATTGTTTTCGGTTAAAAATTTGAGTATAAGTGTAAGTAACTAAGATGTATATGAATAATAAATGTCATTTAGCTTAGATCCCCGAAACCAGCGCAATAATAATATAATAACGTAATATTTCTAAAATTGTTTACGCCACAATCCTACGAAATCATTCAACATTACATTTCCGTGTTAATATTACGATCGTAGACGTCACAAATAAAATAATTATCGTTACGAGAAAATACACAGTAGCAAGAAATAAATTTCCTCTTTATAGATTTAATTATTATCAGAGAGAAACATCTTCGTCTATAACAAATTCATATAAACTTGAGTAGCCGTTATTTGATTTATTTTTTTTAAAAATTCTTCATGGTGCCTTATGGTAGGAGAATAAATATTACTTGATGAGATTTTAAACAAAAAGTGCGTAGAAATGATTTAAAATGTAGAAGTAAGTGTAATGAAGCAGTGGTGTAAATATAGTTTTACAATAGATTATTTTTAAGACGCAAATTATATATATATATATATATATATATATATATATATATATATATATATATACATATACACACACACACACACCAAAGTTTACAACGTTCAAGAGATCTTTATTATTACTGTAACTTTGTGAATTTATCATATTCCGATACATTTTATTAACTGCTCTATCGTAAAAATGTAAATAGTAAACATATTATTAATATCGGTCTAATATATGCCAAGAATATCAAACTAAATAACAGAGCACTGTGAAAAGGGCCCAAAATTGATTGGTAAATAAATATCTATATTATGTACATATTATACTTCATACCCTTTACGTTCGCAGAAGAAAATTCCACTGGATACGATTATTTAGATTCTAGCATGTGAAGATGAATTCCCTTTTTTTATAAAACTTAGAATGGCAAGCAAGCTGACGGCTCACCTGATGGAAAGTGGTAACTGTCGCCTATAGACATGAACAGTACCATGGACATAACAGAGTATACTGTTTCGCCCATGATACCCCCCCATGCGTTGCCATTCCTAAGGACTCAGGTGTTATTCCTCTGTACCCTGTAAATTCACGCCATATCTTACCCTTCAAACCGAAATACAGCCATGCAAACACAACTGCTTTACGGTAGAATCACGAATGGGACAGAGGTACCCAAGCAATCGACTTTTATACAAAAACTCTCCCTGTCGATTGCGAGTGGTGTAATGATAAAAGGTGACTGTGGGCACCATTTCGAACATTCCACAGAATACAATCACAAGCGATAGAACACATAAAGTGAAGCAAAATCTCGCCTTAAACTTAACGGCTCAATGTCGCCTGTGAGCTTGGGATTGTCCACAATGGAACGCAACGTAGTTTTTTTGCCAACACAAGCTATTTCATAACTGGCCCTTCTCCCTCTCCTAAGCAAACTAAATCAACCTATCTAACAATACTGAGTAGTTATAGCGTGATAGAGATAAACTGAGTCAGCGACGTCCGGCCGTTCGAAAATCTTATATATAAAATTCTCGTGTCACGGTGTCTGTTACCAAACTCCTCCGAAACGGCTTTACCGATATTTATGAAATTTTGTGTGCATATTGGGTAGGTCTGAGAATCGGCCAACATCTATTTTTCATACCCCTCAATGATAAGGGTGACCCACCCCAAAATATTTTTTTTTTTATTTTTTTGACAATTTCTTTATTTTTATTTAATTATAATTTAGCATTGAAAAATATATACAACTTTAAATTTTTATCGTTTTACGATCAACACCTGTATTTTAATTGCAATTTTTATACTTCGCAATAAGTGGTAAAACAACGTTTACAGGGTCAGCTAGTAATAAATAAAAGTCTAGCTGTCAAAAAAAATAAAAACAGAACGCATTTAGCAATGTCTTTGTACTTAGAAAGAAATTCTATCCAAGAGGAATTATTTATTTTGTAACATATACATAAGTAGTTCTTACCTTAAGCATGGTGAGTATTTTCCGCGACAACTCATAATCGAAGTTTGTATATTTTGAATCTGTCATGTCATAAATGAAGACGAGACCAGCTCGCTGAGTCTCCAGTGACTGGAGGGCCACATCCAACTGGTATACCACGCCCTGTTAATAGAAAAGATGTTAAAATATTAATTAGTGACACATTTTACAATTTAGAACTATGTACTTAGTAACCTTAAGGTACTTACTAACTCAGAGTATATAGATATATAAATAGATCGACTTAAAAACGTAAAACTCTAAATACTAACAAAGTAACAGCGTAAACCGATATTCCTTAATACGAGTAGGAATGAAATGACTTTAAACAAGTTTTTTGCTTCGGTGCTTCTGTCCTACTCATGTTTCCAGCCATAAAGCAACGTAACTTGCATGACCATATTTTGTTTTGACGGAAAATAGCAGTAAAATTACAAGGTACGTAAACCACCACGGACGGCAGTGTTTTGTGAGGTGATGTTAGAAAAAATTTTCTTTTGCCTTCTGAATATTGTTTTTAAATATGTATGACTGATTACAAGTACAATCTGATAGAGGTTTTATTAGATGGTAAAAATGCGTAACTAGTTTGGAACCTTGCCTATTTCTGTTATAAAGCAGCGATCAACAATGCTGTTATGGCTTTTCAATCTGAAGGGTTATGATAAATATTTGTTTTACATATACAATACATAAATCTAATCTAATAAGTCTAATAAGATTCAATACATTTTCTAGCACAAGAAAAGTAACATTTTAATAATATTTATAGCGAAGCTTATAGCTTAGTAAAGCGATATTGGAATTGCCAGTAAATTTTTTAAAACAATAGGAAAATTTTCAAAATTTCTAATTACTTATTTTTTATTTTTTTTTTATTTTTTTTTTTATTTTAATAATAATAAAAATACAAGTTACAGAATTTATGTTACATTAGCATTCAGAAACCACGTAGATTTATATTAATACTAAATACATTAAAATTATTTAAATTGTACTTAAAAAGTACTTATATATAAATAATCCCCAAGTTGCCTCACATCGATATAAAGGTTCATAATCCTTCATAAAGGTAGCGAGCGCATAAGGGAAACAGATGCTATAATGCAATTATGCAATCTATGATTTCGAGCTACAGTAATAGTCACTTTGTATAAATTAAGGTCCCGAGTTCAATTTTCGGTTGGGCCATTACTTAAATGAACATTTCTAAATTGGCTCGGATCTGAGAGTTCTGGGTTGCGTCACCACATGTCTATCCTAAGCTGAGGATCAGATAATTGATGTGACGATATGACATTTAATATTCTTAACGTTTGTGTCTAAGAGAATAAGCGGTAATTGCCATTTTTCATAAAGTTGAATATTAACTGATTTGGCATTCTAGTGGTTTGAAAATACCCAAATTTAAAATTGGGAAATATGCAAATAAATCATATGACTTAAATCTAATAATCAAAAGCACACTAATAAAATTATTTTTTTATGATGGTCATTATTTTACACCACTATATGTAAAATGATTTCAGTTCCATTCTGTATTATCATCATCATCGTCATATCAGTCTTTAACTGTTCACTGCTGAACATAAACCTTCCTCTTAGTGGGTTTTCCCAGTAGTTACTCACACTTGGCAGGCGGGTTGGCAATCGCTGTTAGGCTTTATTTATTTATTGACCATATTACAAAAAAAAGTCTAGTACAAAAGGCAGACTTAATGATTTTTAGATTTAATGTTTTAAGAGAGACACCGCTGTCCATCCTTTGCCCTCCCTTAGTCGCCTTTTACGACACTTACGGGAAAGGAAGGGATGGCCTATTCTATGCCGGAACCACAGGGCGAATCCTCCTTTATTATGTATTTACCAAACTGATTGATGTGATAAACGATTCGATAATAAGGTTATGGAAATAACCTTACGCAATTTCAATGCAAATATATACAGCGAAAACGTATAATGCAATGTGTAGTGCGTGTTACGATAGACTCGTACAAGTATTTGTTTTTTTTGATGTACACTTCTTTTTTACTAAACGTTTATTCACCTGCAACGTCGTTTGATGCGTTGTCTGTGTGGGGAAATGTTTATTCGCCGTGAAAACCGCAATAGCTGCTCCGGTCGCATCGCGTGTTGGCTGCAAAGATATATATACATTACATATTTTAAAATATATAATGCATTAAAGAATTAAATTGAAAGAATGTTTTGGTCCTTCTAAATGAGGGATAGTATTGAATTTTATAGATATAACTATATTTTATATATATAACTGACAGTAGGACTTGGTGCTAATTCTACTATTTTCTCACATTTCCTATTATCTATTTGCAAAGTGAACTATGGCCTAGATATACCAATAGGATTTTAATAACAAAATACATTTTTACTAGTTTTACTTCGACTTAGTTTTCCATCTTTCAATGCCTCTCTCTACTGTAAAGATCCAGTATTGATAAATCTCAGGGTATATCAGTAAATCTTAGGTTGTCAACATGAGTTAGTAAATGTAAGGATTTTATAAGAAAATATATCAATTTTTAGACATTTACCACCTCTCTGATAAAAATATAGAAAATTTTAGATTTACCGTAATTCAGGCTTTTGCAGTAACAGAGACAATATTTAAACATGTTTAATGCGTGGTGCTCGTTCTCGTGGTTAGGAAGGTAGGTTAAGTTTGGTTTAGTGAAAGGCCGAAAACTTATCGTTTTTTTTTTTTATAAAATTCGTATATTTACCAAATCATGTTGAGAAATCGTAAGATTTAGCAATGTACTTTATTTCACAGTTACCTGTTTACCACATAATATTAAAATTACAATTCATCAACTTCGTGCACGTGTATCAGGGAAACGTTTTCCCTTCCTTCTATACAATGCCTGCCTGCCGAATACGTAATTTTTATTTCCCCTATAAATACAAAGAAAAAATGTTTAATGAAAACTAACCAATATAGTAAACTTTCCAGTTTCAAGTTCTGCCTTGAGCGGATCCTCGAACGGTGCAAACTTGCTAAGCCCTTCGCGGCGACGTGTGGCCTCGTGTTGCCGCCAGAGCGCGAACGCTCGGTCCACATCGAACTTGCGCGCGAGCAGGAATTTGATCGCTGTCGCTCGGGACACGCACACTGCACCCGCCTCGGTCAATGTGTCTAAAAACGCTTTCGTCGCCTGGAACCAAACATAAATTAATTATAAGATAGCGAAACACTGCTATATTGGTCTTTAAGAATTAGGTACCAAGTCATCAAGTCTCAAGTCTAAACAATCGTTTATAAGTTGAGTACAATCAAAACAAGTATTCAAATATTGATACTGTTCATATAGGAGACTGTTACTACTTTCAATCAGGTGAACCGTCAGCTAATATGCCATTCTAGGTTGTATAGAAAAATATATACAACAAAAGTACGCATTATATACTCTCACATCTCCACACTCTTCGATATTTTATTAAAAAAAGAATTTCACTAAACTATAATGTACACAAACACAAACATAAATCACGCTGAAAAGGTGAGAACAAGTATTTTCGTCTGCGCTGCATACATGTGTAATTTCTATCAAAAAACATGAAAAATATGAAATCAAATCATTTTTAATTCAAACAGTTCCTTAATTGGAAATTTCCGACTCCTCAATTAATATTTTTTCTCAGTCTCTACACAAATATACCCCATATGAAGCAATCCTAGAACTGCGTAAGGCTTGGCAAAGGGGGCAAAGCATCAAAGACTAATGTAAAAGAAGGAAAATTCAAAATAAAACTCTATACTAAGGCGCTTGACCACTGTCATAATAGTATAGTTGGTATAGCCATACCCTCCTCTTAAGAAGAAACATCCGTGCCAAGTAGCGGGACAATAATAAGTAACTAAAGTTAAATTATGAAAATTAAGTATCAAAGCTAGAGAGAACTTTCAATTTGTCTAAGGTTTCATGCCTTAAGCAAATCGAAAGTCCTCTCTCGCCATGAATGTTTCTTTCCAATCTTTTAACGTATAATTTATAATTTTATCACGTCTTCATCTATGACCATACTCTGGAACGAAAAGGATTTAAAAACTTATTTCACCGAAAAACCAAGGTTACCGCTAAAATACACTGCCTGCCTGTGAATCGGCAAACAATGGGTAGTCAACAAAAAACAATTTATAATAAATACATTTTAACACATATTGTAATATATTAAATATTAAATATTTATCAACCATTCCACAGCCGCAGAATGTTTTAACTAATTAATAATTGACATTAATACAAGGGGTATTAATATACTGTAAGTTATTCCTTTCCCGTGGGTGTCGTAAGAGTAAAAGGTGACTGAGGGAACTTAATGGTCGAAGGATAGACAGCAGCAGCAGCAGCAGCAGATCTTTAAAGATCACTAAAGCCCAACTGTGGCTGCTAACCTGCTTGCCAAGCGTGGCAACTACTGGCAAAATCTTCCCTAATAGAAGGAGCCCTATTAGCAGTGGACAACTAACAGCTGATATGATATGAATATATATGCGTAATATTTTCTTGTAATTGTTTGTAATAATAATGAATTTAATATTGTAATCTTATGAAGGAAACAATAAAAAATATCTATCTAACTAAATTAATAACATATTTTAAAAGAATATATTACAACGAGACCTTTACCCATAACCTATAATAATTACAATTTTAACTTTATTTAAAACAAGATTTTATACGCAGACATTGTGATAAATTTCAGGATCTATTATCATACCCTGATCAAAGTCTGTCATGTAATTAATCATTAAGACATCATAAATTAAGCTGCGTTGTTTTATAACAAAATTCCAACTGTTACCTTTTGACTCCACCAGATCAGTTCAATAGTACTTCATTTTTACCACAGGTAGGTACTATATTTAATCTATGGACAAAACCATAGATATACTGGTGATACATAAATATCATTTTGATTGATATTGATTGTATAAATAGCATAATTTGATAGTTGTTTTTATCTAGTAAACACATAATATCCATAACTTGTGTTTTGATTAAAATAAAAAAAATTAAGATTATTTTTTGGTAAAATTTTTATTTCAGTTTAAGCAATTATATACATATTTTAATAGCATTTTCACTGTCATTTTTACATGTATATGGAGCATAATATCAAATAACAATCGTAAAATATCTGAATATATTTTTATGTCAACTACTTTATAATTTTATTTTATTTTCCCATAATCTTTGTAATTCCCTCCATTTTTTTGAGATTTTGTACAATGATTGGTAGCAAGTGTTTGAAAATAGATTTAAAAAGACATAACGAATTAAACAAAAATATATAAACATGCCTCATTCACTTACATCTAATAACTATAATACATCGCTACTACAAGTTTTATCAACACCTACCCTCAAAACTTTTAAAAAACTACGACGAAATGCTATTTCCATTGCGGGCTGGATCGACGTCTTAGTGTCCGGCAATGTAGGTACACAAATATAAATAATACAAATAGATTTCACTATTCCGTTACACTCTCTATCACGCGAACTTCAACCCGAACTTGTAAACGAATCGTAGTAAATCCTCAAATGATTCAGCGCGTGTCCACTTCGTGACTTAGGCCATTGCAATTATTGTCACAACTTGGAGAAAACGAGCGCACCGACACCTGTTATTAATAATGACACGGTACAGTGACTACTGGAAAAAGGCACTTGAGTGGTACGATACAAGCTGGCGGGATGCGGCCGTTGCATATGTATGTAGATGCAAATAAGCCGTCGGGAGACAGCGGGTTAATTCTTCCGGGATGTGTTTCCTGCGGTGCGGGTGTGTGGGTCCCTGTATATTATTATGGAGCAGCACGCGCTCGCCGCACGAATCTACTAGCGTTACGTGATTACATCATTCGATCGTATATGTTTATAAAACAAGTATATTTTCACTGCACAAACAGAAACTTTAAACATGACAAAAGACACCGATGTAATATAATGCTCAAGAGATGAGCAACAGCGTCCCTCTTAGAACATTAACAAAATCTAACTACAGTTACCAACCCGCCTGCCAAGCGTGGCAGCTATTGGCAATTTGTGGGGGGAAGCAGCAGTGAATAATTAACAGTTGATATAATAATAACAACGCTTCGCAATAAGCAGGTTTTGCTCCGCCAGCCAAGCAAACGCCAGCTTAAAATGTCAGAAAATTAATAATCACGTAATCAGGTCAAAAACAGACGAAATAAATGCTTCTAAATCTTCCGTAATTCGGCACAGCACAATTTTATGTCAATGATACGACATAAAAAGAAAGCAAAATGTCTATGAAAACATTTTTATTTTCCATATACGTCCACAATATCGTCATAGTCAGTAGAAAATTTAAAATTCTCAATATTTCAAAATCTCTATTATATGTGCAGATGAAATCTAGTCGTTAGCCATACATAAATCTATTCATGCAATAGAAATGTCGGTAAAATATAGTCTATATTTTTTTTCTGGTCTGAAATTTCTTACATCATATAAAACAATTTAAAAACTACAAATACATTTTGAGCCTCCTATATTATTATAACTTATAAGTTGAACGGGCATGTTAGTATGGGAAGCATATTTTTTTTTTCGGATTTTCGCTCGTTTCTTCGGCGAAAATGTTTTTTTTTATACAACTTAGAATGACAAACAAGCTGACGGCCCACCTGATGGAAAGTGGTAACTGTCGCGTCGTATAGACATGAGCAGTACCATGGACATAACAGAGTATACTGTTTCGCCCATGATACCCCCCATGCGTTGCCATTTCTGAGGACTCAGGTGTTATTCCTCTGTACCCTGTAAATTCATGTTCAGTTTCACTGGCAGAACACTCCATTAAAAGTAAGCTAACAATTTTGATTTCACTCAATTGAATCGGGGTTCTGGTGAATAACGCACGACTACAAAAAAGATGGGCACACATATATATATTATATATATGTATTATTATAATTGACAAATTCAGATGATTACGTTACTGAATGTTGCCAATAAATAATTATGGTAAAGGCAATGATTATTTAGGCGTAAAATAAATAAAACGCTTGAAGTATCATAGCGCAAACGGTGGATTTCGTCATCGAAACACAACTGTGCAATAACAAAGCGATGATCAGACATAATTAAAACCAATTCATCACGATTCACACCTAACAATATATTTAATAGTACTGGAAATCGCAAAGGTGGTAATAATCTATAGGCAACGGTTATTATTTTCCGTCACGTGGGTAATAAAATGATTATGGACACCTAGGGCTATTAACGTATATTAAACGACTATGCCTCCTAATAGCTACCCTTTCTATGGTATGCACAGTGTGACACCCCTAAGGATTACGATATCTATTGTTGCAGATAATAGCAGTTATCAGGCCCTGAAAAGCACAATTTTTTTTTTCAATAAACTATAGAATTCAATTCCCTTTGCAACATTTTATTTTCATTTCGTCTTCACTTTGATATAAACATCTCGTGACTTTATTAATACTGAATTATTTTGTCTAAACCAAGAACGTGTTCACATCACATACGTATTATATCTTAGATGATAAAATATACGTAATACTACGTCTGTAGTATAAGAACAATACCACTCAAATCGGTTCAATACTGATAACAATATGCGTCACGGCCAAAAAATAAGGGCGAATAGAGAACTTTTTCCCTTTTGAAATTGTTTAAAAAGCATTACCCTCCTTTCTTCGCATCAATCGGATACTAAAAACAATCAAATGGAAACGGATGACAATGAGTAACGGCAACTTCTGAATAGGTACCAATTTGTTCGTTAAACTTTTCACTAGTACTAGTGAAAGATTAGTGAATAAATTATCTATACTATGTAATGATAATGACACACGACTTCACACGAGCCGATGACGCGTCGTTTAGTTGGGCGGTGACCGCAGGCGTGGGTGAAAAATAACTTTATGTACACGTGATGCTTGGGTGTGGTGCCGTGGAACCTTTGTAAATTATAATCACATTACATTTCGATTATAATATGAACTTAAAAATATGTATCCAGAAACAAAATTACGAATAAGTTACTTAGTTCGCGCTTTCCTCGTGGACCAACTGTTATGGATAAATAATAATGTCATTATGTCAGTACAAGCAAAATAAAAAAAAAAACTCCTGTAGTACAATTGTTTTTAATTTCTAAAATAGCTTTCACTTTCTGTATACAGAAGAATTAGTCTGAAAGGACGACAAAATATATAATCTCAGCTGCATGTACATACCAACATGTAATTGCAACATCTATTTAAATACATAATTGCCATTGCCTTGCCTTTTATTTACTTGGGGTTGGCGCAGTATATCTTCCTCATCCACGAACCTCTATCAGCGGTCATACCTAGACTAACTCCTCTTTTATGCATATCCAATTTGAGACGGGCCCCCACTAGATAGAGTGACAACTTCGGATGCAGGTGGCTGAGGACCGTTGCTTATAGCAATCTATGGGGGATGCCTATGTTCAGCAGTGGACACGTAACGTCTGATATGATAATGATGTATATGTAAGGTGTTAAGTTTTCTTTTATTTCTTCGCATGACATGACATAAATAATAAAATATGTGAACACATGAAATAACAATAATAAATTAAATGGCTTGTAATAAATCAACAGCTATTTGAAATATAAAAGATACATATTCATCTTTCTTTTTTTCATGTTAAAAAGAAATAGCCTGTACTCAACAGCGAACAGCGAAAGGCTGAAATTTTGACGTTTAGTTCAGGTCTGGCGCACCTAAATAAGCAAAATGGGTAAATTACGTAGAGATACGGTTCAGTCTTTTAGTCAAAAATATAACAAGAAACAAAAGCACTACGGCTACAGTAAGAAAATTGGGTGGTACCTTGTTAAATACGTTATCCTACAAAAAGATACGCTCTACCAAACACATTGTATCTCTAGCCAGCAAGCGTGAACCGTCACATTTAGGTAACGAAGAAAACCTGATACCAACATAGAACAAAATACGCTCGTGTAACCCAATAGTAATTGTAAAGCGATTCTATAGTAAAAAAAAAAAGAGATAAACGTAGTAGGTACATTGAATTATATTTGAATCAAATCGGGGACATTTTTTATAAGCCCAAAAATAAAAGGATAAGTACCTACTACCTACATTCATTTTTCGAACACAGTAAATTATGAGTACTTAATTTAGGCGCGTTCTACTTGGTACACTTGAAATCCTATAAGATCAGAGTAAATTGAATACGGTAGAGGGTCCTCCATCATGCGAGCGGACCTAAGCGTCCGGCCTGCGCCACTCTCCGTCACTCTCACTTAAAATCACTGATTTATAACGTTGATTTCCGTTCCCACTGGTTTCTCATATCATTATATTATTACTTAAAATAATACTGCGAAATTGTACTTCATATTGATGTTTGGGATTTCAACGGAAGTACTCATAACGTAGTTTTAAAACGATTGCACCGCACGACGTCAACGCCAAGCGGCTAAATATACTCCAGACTCGGGACGCAAGTAAACAATAATTCCGAAGTTGCCTACATGGTTGTATCAAACAAAAATTAACGTGGATGCATATTGAAAATTTTTTAATAGGAATGAAAGTGAATCATGGAGGTCAAGTGGTCCATCGTGACAAATTCATCAAGTATTAACCAGAATGGTTTCCCGGAGAAACACATGGTTAGTAGTAGTAGACCTGTTGGGGTATATTACTAGCATTAAAGCCACTAGTCCCCATTACTAACAATACCTTCCCGTCGGGGGGGAAAGGGATTGTTAGTAATGGAGACTGAGAATCCCATTGCTAGCAATATACCCAACCAGGTCGACCTCCTCGTGGTTCTCCCTGGAAACTTTCATGGTTAATTCCTGATGAATTCATCATGATGGGCTAACTGGCCTGTTTTCATTCTCATCTATCACCCTTCACTGGTGCTCCGCCAGCGTATCCCGTTAGCGCAGGTGGGGTTACCATACCAATTTCACCCATAAAAAAAAACTACTATTAATGTACTTATTATTATTATTATTATCAAATTGTATTTTTATTTATTTGACTTTATCCTTGCTAAATTATAAATTTTATAATAAGTTGATTTGTTTGTTACCTCTTAGCACCTTAATGGCTCAACAAATCATTATGAAATTTGATATAATCACACTATTTAAGATGCAAGGACAAACTGCAATTATTATTGGTAATAAAAATATCTATCTACTGATAATGTCTTGTCTAGAAAAATTTGTTTTTAAAAATTCAAATTTAGCACATTGACTGGATAACACCAAAGAGAAACTCAACAAAATTAGTGCTTCGATCCCATTTATATTTCTACCACTAAACAGTAATGCTTACTTAGTTGTTCAAAATTAAGAGTAGCATATAACAATATGGAAAAATAACATACTAGTCTTCAGGAATGGCATTATGTGATAAGTCATAGGGGTCAGTATACCCTTTAGAGAAAGAATTAGCCCTTTCTGTTTTTTTATCAGAAAGCTCTCTGAGAGTTTGTTAAAAAAATAGATAAATATAATTTGGTTTTTACTAATAATTGCCAATATGCATATCTATTATATTGTAGCATCACTTATTTATTTCCAATACCTATAATAAACACTATTTAAGTAGAAGTAGCTACACTTATTATTTGAATTTCTTTAAAGAGTAATAAAACGTGGAACTGTTTCGATCCCATTCTCATCTCCAGTAACAAATCGGAAGCGGAAATCGGCCAAAATGATAGTTACCTTTGTGAATTCCAAAGAATTTACAAAAAATGTTTGATACTTATAAAATTAAAAGATAATGAAATCAGAAATAATTACATAAATAGATATAACAGCTTTAAAATAAAAACAAAATATTTAATAAAAACAACTAGGGGATACTAAGAAATCAAAACAAACATTGATGACATGGTCAACGACGCAAGTTAGTGCGACCGATTTTTAAAATTATGAACATTCGTTCCTAATAAATTCATAATACATACAAAAACATGCACCGGTGTCTAAAGATCAATAGAAAAATATTTCGAAAGTTTGTATATATTTAAAAAACAAGATTAACTTACCAATTCCTGATCGGGTGACAGAGCCACCGCCATTTTTTAATCCACTGACTGACAGATTTCTATAACTGACAGCCGCCACTAAAGAGCCGCCACTAAAATAGCATAGATAAACTATAGTATCTGCAGGTTATAGTAAATTACAATCATAGACACATTACCTAGTAAATTTCATAAATAAATTAATAGATTATGAGTTAAAAAAAAAACAATATATTTATATATTTAATCCGTGATTAAACCTTATTACGTTATATTAAGCCTATGCCAGTGGGGGGAAAAGGATTGTTAGTAATGGAATTTGACAGCCCCATTGCTAGCAATATGCCTTATTAGGTCGACCTCCACGTGGTTCCCCCTGGAAACCATCGTGAACAATTCTTGTTGAATTCGTCACGATGGGCTAACTGACCTACTTCATCCTCACCTATCATCCTTCACTGGTGCCCCGTCGGCGTGTACCGATTTCGCGGGTAGGGTTACCATTCCATTATCATCCATTAAAAAAAAAGTCTATGCCAATCTATTAAACTAATTACACCAGGGTTTCTCAAAATGTATTAAATAAGTGTATCTTCGCTGATGTGCAATTATAACGAGCATGACCAAAGAATACAATATTCTCTATCAAGGGAAAATGATGGCATATACGCAATTAAATAGTAAAAAGAAAATTGTCAACTAAACGATAAATTTAAAATTGAAATTAAACAAAATTTCTCCAAGAATCGGTACCCTTTGCGCTGCAAAACAAGCATCAAACTAATTTGACTAAGTAATTAAAATACACGTAACATTTATTATCGTTTGCTCTTTTGTGGCCCTTTATTAAAAAAACCTTATGATAGACCGTTTTTTGGGGGTTCGCGGTGATCTTGAAATCCTAATACCCTGCATTACACCATAAACATGCCTAGTTTAACGTATTTATATTATAAAACGTAATGGGGTTGACTCTGAGGTTATTCTGAATCTGGAAGGTTGACTTCAAATCTAATATGTATTTATTGAGATCCAATATCACGGCGAAATCAACTGCAGACATCATTAGCGATCTCAAGCACTGAAGCCGAAATTGTAGCCACCAAACAAATGACTCAAATGTTTTATTGAAAACATACTACAATCAACGGTTATTCCTGTTCTGTACTTAGATAACGAATTAGTCATTAAACCTGCATTAAATCCACCATATGAGTTCCACAACAAAACCAAATGTATTAAGCTAAAACATTTCTTAAATCAAGAAAGCACAACTGATGGGACTATGAAAATTGCAAAGATAGATAATGAACAAACAATACAAAGTGCGAACATGTTCATCAAGGCTTTTTACAAATCAAGACTGACAATGGGAACAGATTTATGTACATACATAATTTGATAAATAATTTAATATTACACCAGTGTTTCCCAACCCTTTTTTGTGCCTTGCCCCACTTGAACATTTCTAAAATTTTTATGCCCCCATACATAATTTTTCCCGACAAAATTTACTTGACGACTCTTATTGCCCAGTCGATATTTTGGTAACGACAAACGAAATTATACCTAATAAATATTTACAGCATTTTTTTAATTTACTGTTTTTGTTAAATTTGGCACTGAAATCTACTCATAGCATTGCATTTAAAAGGCCAGGAGCAAGAGAGTTAAAATTGCTTCGAGTCCATTTTTTAATTGCCCCTCCCCCTTAACTATCAAATTGCTCCTCTGTGGGGCTTCAGCCCCACGTTGGAAAACACCGTGCTAGACCTTGGGAAAGGAATCCTGATCTTCAAGAGAAAATATTAGACTTTGTAATATACTAACCTACATAGATAGGGGAAAGGGATTGTTAGTAATGGAGTCTAATTGACCCAGTGCCAGCGATACACCCTATCAGGTCGACCTCCACGTGGTTCCTCTTGGAAACCATCGTGGTTAATTCTCGTGGAATTCGTTACAATGGGCTAACTGACTTGCTTTAATCGTCACCTATTATCGCTCACTGGTACCCCGCTAGCATATACCGATAGCGCAGGTGGAGTTACCATTCCATTATCATCCATTAAAAAAAACCTACATAGATGAAACTATGGTTACCTTTCTGTTACTAGTTATATTTTGGAAAGATCTAATTCTATATCTAAATAATAATGTTGCCTATTTTTTTCAATTTCTTAATTTATAATCTTATTTTTATCCTAAATATGTTCATAATAAATAACACCGATTTATTTATCATAAAGTAAACCACTCTAGAGGAAGCAATCGTGTGACTTAATAAAACTTTTTTGACAATTAACAATTGGTAGGTACCCGCCAACATCTAATATTTCAAAGATTTTGCAACCGTGTAACTTTTTGCTGTTTATATTTTTATGTTGCTAGAAGAAATTTAATTAAGTTTTTGGAATAAAAATTGTTATATTATGAGAATGGAACGAGGAACGACTCCAGTAGTGGCTGCCGCTGCTGGCAAAATTTACAAAATCCCAAATCGCGTTGGCCGCGGGGTACCTGAAATCACCGACGCCTATACAAAAAAATGTGCATGTCGCAGAGAAAAGACTACAGTATTTTGTCGAGCATGTGGATATTACTGCAATGGTCGTATTCGAATTAATTGTGAACAACACCCAAGAGTAAGTAAATGTTTGGAGGTATAAACTTTAATGAAAACCAATTTTATTATATTTTATATTTAGCTCTGATATAGAAAACATATATATTATACATTAAGTACAAAATGTTTTTTTAATCCATAAAAATGGAATGGTAACCCCGCCTGCGCTATAGGGATACGCTGGCGGTGCACCAGTGAGCGATGATATGTGAAGATGAAGCAGGTCAGTTGGCCCATCGTGATGAATTCATCAAAAATTAATCACAATGGTTTCCGGGGGGAACCACGTAAGGATCGACCTGTTAGGGGGTATATTGCTAGTAATAGGTTTGTTGGATCTCATTATTAAAAATCCCTATCCCCCTACTAACATGCTTATGAAATGGGGAGGTTGATTACTTGTAATAGGTATTCTAATATGTTAGGGGAAACGAGACTAGCAATTCCATTGCTAGCAGACCTTGTCAGATCATCCTCCCTGCAATGCCCCTAAAAATCATTGTAGTTAATTCATGTAGAATTTAAACAACAGGGTAACTAAAGTGCTTTCATTCATACCCATTGTCTCCCACTGGTGCCTCATCAGCATTTACGAATGAAGGATGATAGGTGAAGATGAAGCAGGTCAGTTAGCCCATCATGACGAATTCAACAAGAATTGTTCATGATGGTTTCCAGGGAGGTCAACTTAATAGGGTATATTGCTAACAATAGGGGTGTCAATCTCCATTGCCAACAATCCCTTTCCACCCAATCATCATGGTTAATTCTAGTGGAATTTGTCACAATGGGCTAACTGACCTGCTTTCATCGTCACCTATCATCCCTCATTGGTGCCCCGCTAGCATATACCGATAGCGTAGGTTACCATTCCATTAAAAAAAAAGCCCAATGTCATGCCTAATGACCTTCTAACTAATTCTAACTACTATATAAATCTTATAAGATTTATGAACCATAAAACGAAAAGATGAATTTACATATATTCTTTTTTATAGGTTACATTTTTACTGGATATATCAGAATGCCCACGCTGCCACTCTTCTGTATTTTTGGATGAATATTCTGGAAATGTGTGAAAATATTTGACTATGATTGACCTACAATTACTTAAGAGTTTGTTTTGTTATTACTTCATTTTTATTTCATTCAAATTATTGTTTTGAATGAGTAAAATGTATTTTTACATTGATTGTTTTATATTTTATTATATTATTAGTAAGTTTTGTTTAGAAAGACTAAAAAAATATTTAATTTGGATGTTGATTTAAAAATTGGAAGTTTCTATGAAAACACTAGTTTTTATGTTAAAACTATTATGTTTTTGTTCTTTACAAGATTTTATATCAATGTCCATTATTTTTTGTTTTCAAACACAGAAATTAAACTTGTTAAAATTTTCACATGTAGCATATTTTTTTAGAAGAATTTATAACTTATTTGTTTTTGTATGTAATCTCATTAGCTCCTAATTTAAAAAATTACAAATAAGTACTTGAATTCAATATCACATATTACACAACAACATTAGTGTTATATTATTTTACACAGTTCCTATTATTTTGGGATGCAGATGATGATTGTTTTACTATGACAGGATTGCAATTTTGACTATATTCATTATGTATGTGTGAAATAAAAAGATAGCAAACATGTAATAACAATAAAAGCATTATAATGTCTATACCATTTAATTACCTATCAAATATTTGTACATTATTCTTTATATACCTATCAAATATGGAAACCTATTTTATATAGAAAACCAACTTGGAACATCAGGTCTCGACTTATTACGATGTATGTAGTTTTTGAAGGTTTTTTTTGCTTCTTCTAATGATTTTAAATGCTCCTCATCAGCATCCTTAGATTTTTCAAAAATATCAGGAAATACAAATTTTGTATCTTTGGGCTGTAACATACAAATCACAATTTGAATAACTATAATTAACATAATCCTTCATTATTGCTATTCATAATTCAAGCTAATACTTACCAATGTCACATAGGCATATTTTATATCATCATCTTTCACTACATAACCCTTGCCAAGGTCTTTACGGAATTTGCCTAGTATAATCTTTGTTCTCACATCAATTACCGGGACATTGTAAATTTTCTCTAAATAATTCCTTATATCATATTTAGTCATTTCCATAGAACAATGAAAATGCACAGTATTGGGTAATTGCTTAGGTGGAGGGTGAACTAATTTCATCCAAAAGTTGGGAAGAAATACCCTAAGTTGTGGATTACCTCTCTGGTATATGGGATACCTGAAATAAAATTTAGACATGTAATATAAAAATTTAAGTAAGTAAAAAATGGAAATTCATCTGCTTGAACAATAATTGAGATAGAATAATAATGACAAAAATCAAACATCAATTTGTTATAATTTAAAATACTTTCTCATAATAGAGAATAGTCTGTACTTAGTTTTTTAAGAGAAAATTAAAAATTAGAAAATATATTTTTAGAACTAGTGTTTTGCTTGCTGCTTCACATGTATTGATTTCAGAAGTACAAAAACCATATTCAACAGACCTAAGTGGTCTCTTTAAATGATATATATGCTGCATCAAGATAAAACATATACTAGATTTTCTCTCACACATTGTAGAGTACAACTGTCAAAACTACATTGAATTAGGTGTAGTACTTTTTGTGTGACGCCGGAACAAACATACAGACAAAATTTCTAAAAATTATTTTGGTTTCTATTGCTTTTATATAGAGCCCTGACAATTTTTTCTTAATTATTCCCCCATGTAAGGGCACCGTCTAGTTATAATTTTATTATATTTCGATAATAAATGAAAACATGAAATATTATATCAATCCCAAATAATATGGGGTTAGGGACAGTAGATATCCTTAGGAGTTAGAACAGGAGACTGATGATAATAGGTTTTTATCCATAAAACAAGAACTAATAAACCTAACGGATTGATGAAGACTGGGTCAATGGATACCCTTAGAGACGGTCCTGTATAAATTTCCAAAAATAATGTTTACTTTTGTAGGTTATATTATTACTTCCTTTTGCGACAGAAATAGTAAAGTATGTAATATAGTAATTATTTCCTGTAAAATAATATTGTATCTTACCAGCGAGTGGACATTTCGTCTGGTAAAATAATATATTCTTAATATAAAATCACAATAATATAAAAAAATTTGAAATTGACTGACTGACGAACAAATTTATAATCATTCATTTTTTTTTTTTTTAGTACGTTTGTTCCGTTTGGAACAGGCTAAGGTCGGAGACCATGCTGCCTAGTCTTCAAAAAGATAATTTGTCTGGAATTTTATTTTTCTAATGTCGCTTCAATTATTGTCATAATCTTCAATATTTCATTTGTCAAATCCGGTAAGTACATTTTCATAAATATCTTTTCTTGAGTTTTCTTAAACCAGTGGATTTATCAAATTAAAAATAAATAATTATAAAAAATCATTGTCTTGCAATTCAATAAAAGTATTCTTATAGCTCCTTGAATGTTGTAGTAATATAAGTGAAAATAGCTTTGAAACAAGAAGGAAATCTTAAGAGAAGCGGGATTGAGTGCGGGATATTTTCGGGTTTTTTGAAGATAATCCTAAGTTCGTCAAACATAATGTGTCTTTGAATGACAAATTCAGAGCAATCAAAAAAAGGTGATGTAGAGATTGGGCTGTATTTGAGTTACACCATGTGCATGATGGGGAAGCGATCATGCCCATTCGGTGCAGGTGTTCGTTGAAATGTCCGTGGCCGATTCGTAATCTACAAATATTGGTGTAAAATTTTCTGTTTGTGTCCTTTCCTTTGCAGAACCACGGTTTTCCAATACGCCAATTAATTTTGCGGTACCATTTGCCTTTAGTCTGTAATATTTGAGTCCAATGCTCCTCCCATTTAGTTGTAACGATTTTATGTATTCCAATACTACAATCTGAATAACAAAGGGGTAAATCTTGAACACGAGCAGCACTTGAATTAATAATTTTAGCCAAAGTGTCTACTTGTTCATTCCCAAACACTCCAATATGTGAAGGGGTCCAGATGAAGATAATATCTTTTCCATATATAGTACAGAGATGATAATATTTATTACGAATTTCTTGAATTAAGTAGTTTGATGATGAAATGAATGTGTTATTTTTTAATGCCATAAGAACACTCATACTATCTGTAATTATAATCCATTTCGAATATAGTACCTGTTTTTCTATGTATTCTAATGCTAAAAATATAGCTTTTGCTTCTGCTGTGTAAATACTAGCCAAAGTTGAAATTTTATAACCGTGACCAAATCTATTTGACAAATCGTAAAAAGCCACTGAAGTGCTAAGTGCATTTTTGGAACCATCTGTATATATCTGCCTGTAGTCAATAAATTCTGATAAAGTCTCATACATATCGTGCTTTTCTTTTATGTCTTTACGTATAACAATTTTGATCTTACAGAACTTACTCTCATAAAGGCCATTATAACAAGGAAGTATCTTACTACTATAGATGTTATATTCATCTCGTAAATTCAAATCATTGACAATAGTTTTATTCAAAAACATAGAAATGGGGCAATTTAATAATTTGAGTATGAGTGGGTTATTGGAAACTGAAAAAACTTTGAAGAGAAATTTGAGTTTTAGGTATTCGAAACGAAGAAGGATAGGAGGCAAATTACATTCTACTTGCATTGAGATAATTGGAGAAGTATACATAGCACCTAAAATAAGTCTTAAATTCATATTTTGAATTTTTTCGAGTTTTTCTACTAATTTATGTTCTGAGGCATAACAAAAGAAAGCGTAATCAAAATTACTTCTAACAAGAGATTTGTAAAGTAAAAGGATAATTTTAGGATCAGCTCCCCAGTTACGACCAATTACAGATCTTATTATATTAGTGGCTCTTAAAGCACGATCTACTAAGCAATCAACGTATAGATCCCATTTTAAATTTTGATGAAAAATTACCCCCAGAAATTTAACGCTACAGTCTGTTGGAAGAGTTTGATTATTATATATAATATTCATTAATGGAACATATTTATGAACTTGATGAAAAACAACTACTTTACTTTTGGTTAAACTAATATCGAGGGAAAGAAGAGAAAAATATTTCTCAAGTCTTTTTAATGACTCATTTAACACTAATTGCATATCAATAATATTCTTTCCTTTTATATAAATTAATAAATCATCGGCAAATTGCAAGTTGTTCACACTGTTTCCTAAAATTGAATTAAGTTTATAGATATATAAAATATATAGTAGCGGGCTTAGAATACCACCTTGACATACTCCTTTAGAGCTTAACCTAGGTCCTATTAATTTACTATTTACTTTAACATACACTTCTCTATTACTAAGAAAATTATAAATCCATTCGATAAGTTTCATTGGAAGAAATGAGGATAAAATCGAAGATAGAACTGTTAAATTTACATTGTTAAAAGCTCCTACGACATCTAAAAAAACAGATAGAACATATTCATCGTTATTCAAAGCAGTACTAAGGTCGACATAGAAGTTCGCTAAACTTTCGCGCGCTGAATATCCACGGCGAAAACCAAATTGATTCGATGGTAATATACTATTACTTTCAATAAAGAACTCTAAACGCTGTTTAATTAATTGTTCGAATAATTTGCCTGCACAGGACGTCAATGTTATAGGTCTATAGGAGTCGAAATTTGTAGGATCTTTACCGGGTTTAATTACTGGAATCAAACAATCCATTTTCCATTCTGGTGGGATAATACAGTCCTTCCATAAATCGTTAAAAATTTGTAAGAGTTTAGTAAGGTTTATTTTATTCAGCAATCGAAACATATTGTATGTTAAGCGATCAAGGCCACTAGCTGTATCTTTTCTAGATTTTACTGCACTGGATATTTCATCAATTGAGAATGGGTCAGTGAGAAATTTTGGGCATGAATTAACAGAATTAAACTGTTTGTCATCAAAAGATGAGTGTACAAAATCAGGAGTATATTTGCGTAAAAAATCATTGACCCATGATATATCTTTAAAATGATTTTGACGATGTTTTGAATTTAATTTTCTCATATTTTGCCAAACAGTGGAAATTGGTGTTAATCTATTAAATTTGGAACAAAATTCCTGCCACCCCTGTTGTCTTACTTGCTTAATTACTAACTTTTTAACAGCTTGAACTCTTTTAAAATTTATGTAATTATCGAGAGTTGGATTTTGTTTAAACCTAAGGTAAGCCGCTTTACTATCATTGACAGCTGTCGCACACCTGTTATTCCACCAAGGTACTGCAATATGTTTGTGCCTCTTTGAAGTATTTGCACCGCTATTTGATAAGTTCCTACGTGGAACGGAACGTTCCACAGCTGTCAAAATAATTTTACAGAACCTATTGTAATTGTTTAAGGGTTCATTGACATCATACTCGAAATCCAAAAGTAATTGATTAACAGTTTCAGAATAAAGATCCCAATTAACGAGACGTAGGTTTATACGATTTAACAAAAGTTTATTAACTTCATCTATAGGAGCATGTTGTTCACCTGACGGAGTTGATGAAGAGTTCTTTGTGTTTATTTTAGTAAAAGTCGGCAGGTGATAACTTCCTAACGGATCATCATGAACCGACCACTCGCATTTTAATGATATGGATGGGGATACCATAGTTAAATCAAGGCCATTGGGTCTCCAAATATGAGAGCCAACAGTAGTAACTTGCTTATCATTTAATAGTACCAAATTACATTCATCTAAACAATCAAGAATGTCTTTACCTCTTGTATTAGTGGAGGTACAACCCCACATAGTATGATGTGCATTTAAATCTCCAGATATGATAGTGGGTTTAGGAAGAGACTCCAAAAAGAACTTAAATTTGGCTTTAGTAAAACTAGGTGTACTATTGGTAGGACAGTAAATACTGGCAACTGAATACCAAGAATTATTAACTTCAATACTAATAGCTATAGTTTGCAAAGAATTGTCGAAAAAAGAGTGAAGTTTTTTATATCTAATACTATTATGTATAATAATCGCTACTCCATTGTGGTTATTACCACAATCATTTCGTTCTATACAATAATCTTTAATTTTTAATTTGTAATGTGGTTTTAGCCAAGTTTCTGAGATGAGAGCAATGTGAATATGATGTTCATTTAAAAATTGTGTAAAAATATGTCGATTGCTCAGTAGGCTCTGAGCGTTCCACTGTATGATAGTTAATTGGTCTCGATTGAATTTTGTGAAATAGGTCTATTACCAAAAGTATCATATAACACATTCAAAACACTTTTAGTGTTAATAGATGTGTTCTTTGTGTTATGTAGTGAAATAAGTTTGATTATGCTTTCTATTAAAAGTGATAAACTCTTGTTATCAGAATTTAGAATTGAAATTAGGTCTACATTTTTTTTAGGTTTGTTACCCAGTTTAGGAAATATTTCAGTGCTAAGTACATCTCCAAAAGAAGCAGGTCTGAATTTAGATCTATTTTCAGCAATTTTCTTTTGTTTAACAGGGCATTGCGGTGATACACTTGTGTGATTTCCATTGCAGTGTACACAAATAGCGTTTTCCATTCCAGTTGTACAAGTTTTATAATTATGCTCACCTTTGCAGATGCTGCAACGCTCAGAATTCTTACAGAATTTAGCTAAATGTCCATACCTCAAGCACCGGTAGCATTGTTTAACTGGTGGTATATATGGAGTGACATTGTGGCGCCAACCTCCAATATCCAGATATTCAGGTAATACAGATGCAGCAAAAGTAATTGTCACGGTTAGAGTTGGCTGTAACACATATCCATGAGTCAAGGTATTTTTTCTTAAAATTCTTTTAATAGCAATAATTTTCTTAGAACTCGATATCATAGTATATATTTTTTTATTAGATATATTTGTAGGTACATTTCTAATAACGCCTGTAACTTCTGTTGAAGAAGCAGGAATACTGGCCTTAAAATGGTAGTCATTTAAAAAAGTTTTATTATTTAAAAAAGCATTGGCTAAGTCTGGCTTTTGAAAGTATACTCCGATTTTGAATTTATTTATAGATCTAAGATAAGTTACCCCTTTATTAAAACGTTTTAAACAGGAGGAGAGTGAGAGCAAGTCTCTGGATCCAATGGTTTTCTGACTATCTGAGGATTCTACAAAGACAACAAATTCTGTCCCAGGGGATTCCTCGGGATATCTTCTAATATAATCTGTGACGTAGTAAGGTTTATACTTATCGGCCTTATCAATTTCAGATTCTGAGTCAGTAGAAGTATCTTCCGAATATATATCCTTGTCATTACAAGGTTCATGGTCTACATCACCTGAATCGTCATCTTTTTTTTTCCTTTTCCTACAACTGCGCTTCCCCAAGAATGCTAATTATATTACTGTCACTGAATTTAGTGAAAATATAATATTTTATTCAATAATAAGAATTGATAAAAAAAATTTAAAAAACCCGCTTGTTCTTATTCGAGTTTCCCGCCTTTTTTCTGGCTTATAATCATTCAATTCAAGCTTGATTTTTTTTTTTTTTTTTTTTAGTACGTTTGTTCCGTTTGGAACAGGCTAAGGTCGGAGACCATGCTGCCTAGTCTTCAAAAAGATAATTTGTCTGGAATTCAAGTAAGCTTGAATGTAATACAGACTATATACTTGGTAAGATCTGTATATTGCTCAAAAATTATAAATCTATATATAGACTAGTCAAGCAAACTATATATTAGATATCTGCTAAAAACATATTGTCCGTTTTCGACAGTGTCGTATACATAGCCTCTCTAATCTGTGGTACTGCAGCCAACTGCAACATAGAAAAAACGTTTTCTAACGGTGTGATGTATGGATTAGTCTGGCCAATATCCAATATCACACTGTTGGTATTTAACTAGAGATATCAACTAATATTTCCGTAGTGGAAGGGAATAGGATAAACACAATATAAAAGTACGATAAAATTTAATAGAAGAGCAAATACAGAAAGCAGTGATGGTTTCTAAGAGTGTGTCAACTTAAATTAAAAACCATCTTTTTAAAATTACAATCGGCCAGTAGTTTATAGCTGTATGAAAATACACCTATTTCTAACACGCACTCAATGGGATACGCTGATACGTACAAACCGATTCAGTACACACGTATCAATTTATCTCGTCGAGTGCGATAATGGCCGCACTCCGATTCAAATCGATTGATTGGAGATTGAATGGATTATTTAAGCGAACGGACGAGTAAAAGGAATATTTATGACTACTTCTTTTATTTTATTATTAATTTCATAACCTTGAATAAACTGTTTTCTAAAAAATTTTTATATATGGAAAATAATAAGGGTGTACTATAAATAACGTTCAATAATTTAAATTCAAATCAAAGGTGCATTTAAAAGGGGCTTGGTAAGCCGTGTCCGTCCCAAAATTGTTTAATGCCCACACCATTTTTTTTAAGCATTATTAAAACCGAAATATATAGTTTCAATATCTGATATTCAAGTTAAATAACCAATGCCGATTCAATATTAATGCTTGTAATACCGCAAAAAAGCTATATTGAAGCCTAACATTCAACTGACTGATATTTAGTAATGCGTAATTATTTATTTTAGCAATATAATCGAATATCTAGCTACATTATTCATTAATTATTTTTGTAACTATTATAAAATCATATTCAATTAAAATCGTTCCTGTATATTTACAGGAGCTATTGCTCCAATTTTGTAAACAGTCTTGTGACTAAATAAAACTATGCAAAAAGAAAGTACTGATTCGACTCAATTACCTGGTATTTTTTTAAGTTCCGTATCAAAAGGATACAAAGAATCTCTTATGGTGCGACTTTGTCCAGGTTTTTAATTTCTAATTGGCCTACTAATCTAAATAAGTTATTAAATGCAACTTAAAATGACAAACAAGCTGACGGCCCATCTGATGGAAAGTGGTAACCGTCGCCTATAGACATGAGAAAGTACCAAAGACATAACAGTATTGTTTCGCCCATGATACCCTCCAAGCGTTGCCATTCCTGAGGACTCAGGAGTTTTTTAATGGATGACAATGGAATAGTAACCTCGCCTGCGCTATCGGTTTACACCACCGATGTTCCAGTGAGGGATGATAAGTGAAATGAAAGAGCAGGTCAGTTAACCCATGACGAAGGCCGCTGACCTTCAGGATGACACAGATACTGTTCGGGCATGGATGCTTTGGGCGGTAGCTGTGTCATGTCGCGCGCAGGAAGGAAGGACACGGCGGAACATGCGCTGGAGAAGTGCCCAGCGTATGCCGATGAGCGTCGTGTCTTGTCCGCGGTAATGGGGACCAATCTCTCACTGCTCGCCATGGTTTGGCGGATGGTGAGTAGTGAGAAATCGTGGGAAGCGATGCTCGCCTTCTGCGATGCCGTCATGTCGCAGAAGGAGGCCGCGAAAAAGGCACGGGAGAGTGCCACTTTCGCACCGTCAATCCGCCGCAGACGAGTCAAAAGCAGAAGGAGAGGCGCTCCCAGTTCCGCCCCTCCTCCTTCCTCCCTGGGGCCAGAGTGATACCTGTGGGAAGGTAATTTTTCAACAGTTCTGGGGATGTGCTAATATACCGGCGCGTCCCCCGAGTAGTTGAATGAACACGCCAGCCACCCCGTCTTGAGAGAGGAGACCTGCCCTTACCATCAGGAGCGGGTCGCTGCTGTCGGAGATGTGGTGAATGCGAAAGCGAACCCATGTCTCCGACATATGGCACCTCGAGGGTATATCATCTGGTTTTTGGTGGGTACACTTCCGCCTTATGGGGGGATTCCCACAGTACCCATTTACCTCCCACAAGGTGTATGGGTCTGCATAAAGCATTTTCCAGACGTTAAAAAAAAAGGTCAGTTAACCCATCGTGATAAATACACCTGGAATTCAGCACGATGGTTTCCATGGGGGACCACATGGAGGTCGACCTGATGGGGTATATTGTTAGCAATTGGATTGGTAGTCCGCATGACTAACAATCCCCCCCCCTCCCCAGGACTCGGGTGTTATTACTCTGTACTCTGTAAATTCACTGCCATATTCCACCCTTTAAACAGAAACACACCCATGCAAACATAACTGCTTCACGGGAGAAACACGAATGAGACAGAGGTGCCCAAGTAAACGGCATTTGTACAAAGTACATATATACATTTGTATGTATAAATATAATTACCTATTATAAATAATAATATCGGAAATGCAATAACGGTCATTTTATTTCTTATTTCTTACTATATCGTCTCCAATAGAGCCTTAAAAGCAGTAGTAGACAATATGAACACTATATTATTCTAACCAAGAATCTTCAATTGTTTACATGAAACATTTTTTTAGTGCAACAGAATGGGAAACAATCTGGCGGCTCACCAGATGGACATAACAGAGTATACAGCGTCACCCATGATGCCCTTCGTGCGTTGCCATTCCAAAAGACTAAGCTATTAACACATCACCTGATGAAAACAGAATCTACTTTAACATGCTTATAACAAAAATATTAATAAAATTTAATTGTCACCTCGAACCTAACAAACACCTAGGTACCTACTTAGTCAATTAACACGATGACTCTCGTTTTCCACAAGTTTATTATCATTTGTTTCATTACGACCATTATCGCATTTTACTCTTATCTGTTGCATGTATCACACAGGATACAGGAAGCGGTTTTATTGTTTGCTAAAGTACTTCTCTCGTAAGGTAACATGCAATCTATATGATATAAAGGACCGATTATTAGGTCCAACTGTAGGTAATACAGTAGTGACCAGTCAAGATGAAACTATCGTTTTGTTTGATGGTCTTTGCTGTATCCATTGTATTGGTTTTGAAACAAAGCCAAGCCGCAGCGGTAGCATTTTCGTCGGAAATAGAGGAAAATTATAACGATCGACCACTCAAACGAGTAAGTACCCATAATAATACCGAAACCTATTTATAAAAAATACTATCGTCATAAAAACAACTATTTTTATCTTCGAAATATTAAAAACCATTAATTATTGCTTAATCTTTTATTATTAAAAAAAATATATTTCAACCAATTTATATTAGATACACAAAGATAATGACTGACAATTAGACGTTATCCTGCATTATCTTATTTAAATTCTAATGTTGAGCTTCTTAATTTGATATCCAATTGTACTATCAATACCATTTTATTGCATTTCTTGGCATAGGGGTTAACTAATAATCTTTTTGATGCACTTTATATATAAGTATTACTATAAAAATATATGTATTTAATAAAAATACAACTCCAGATAAATGTACGAAAAATACTCTTAGTATTTCTTGTAACACTTCTTTACAAAGATTTTGGATTTGTTTTTATATTCGTCTTAGAATAGAGCAAGTGACGAAAAGTGGTACAAAACGGTATACTTTGGTTGTATTTTAAGTAATTACAAATTTTGATTAATTTTAACTTACTTTTATTTGTAATAGAATATTGTAAACCCTAATTTAAATAAAAACAAAATACAAAATTCAAGTTCGTGTTACATGAAGCAGCTCATTGTCTTTTCAACTTGGTGATCTTTATTTGATTGTTTTTCCCATATCTTACTTTTTTATTTTATCGCACAATGACACAACCGATTAAAACAATTTCATAGTCTTCCTCGACACTATGCTAAAGTTACATCCTCAATTTCGTTTTTGATTGCTATAACCGTCAATCGTTGATCCTAGCTCGCGGACATAGTTGTAAATTTAAATAGTTGTTAGTATCCATCATAGACGTTATATTTTTATAGGTAAATAGACCATCAGATCTTTTATTAAATATCCTATATCTATAATCTAAGTACCGTGTAGTCCTAGTATAGAATGGGCCACCCCTTTCTTTCACGGGGGTGTCATAAAAGACGACTGAGGGAACTTAATGGTCAAGGGATACGCAACATTGTCTCTAAAACATCACCAAAGCCTAACCGCAGGTGCCAATCCGGCTGCCAAGCGTGGCAATTGAAGTTTTTTAAGCGGTTACAGAGATAAGCACGAAGAAATTTCGTGACAAAATTTTCATAGATAAACGTTTTCTTATAGTAAGCTAATGGTAGTAATCTACATTACTTATTTCAGATTGCCAGACAGTTTCCGCCGCCGCCGCCGCCTCCACCACCACCTGAAATGCCTGAAATGACTATGCCTCAAATGGATAATTTATCCCGAAAAAAGAGAGAAGCTAAAGGTGGAGGCTATATGCCCACTAAAAAAGGATAAATAATTATAATAAAAAATCCTCGGCAACACCACTTGGCCATCTGATAACGACAGTTTAATGATCATGTAATTATAAAATAACCGAGTTCAATAAACTTGATGCATCCACTCTATGTATTTTCTCTAGTAATATAAAACGGCTAGCTTATATATGTACATATATAACGAGTAGATAGTTTCCACGGGCAGGAGAGTAATAACTATTTATTTCCTTTTATCGTTATAATAATATTAATATTTTGTATATTTGCAAAATTATTAATTTTATGGTTATATCCAATAACCATAAAAATAAATAATCATAAAATTATTGTGTATAAAATTTGTAAAAAATAAAACTTATTTTACCACCTATTTCGATTTATACGTTCCTCAAAACATTAATGTTTGCGATATGCATTTTGGTGGAAACCAGTACATATATATAATAATCATAATTTTGTTAAAAAATAATAATATTTATTTAAAAAAGTAGTAAGAAAGTATAGATTTTTTTTTTACTTTTAATTTTTTTTTTATGATATTCATAATATGAAGTTATCTTCATAACTTCAGCCGTTAACTCTCCACTGCTGAACATAGTAAGTCTTACAACCTTAGTCTTAAAGTACGCAGAATAAAATGTACCAAAATTAGAAAACTTTACCTCCTATACTAGTCGTAAATGACTCTCGCTCAAACCAAATTTCATACAGGATAGGCAAAGAAAACCTACCGCTAACTGTGTAGGTATATGGCAAACAATTTGTAATAGCCAGGTATTACACGATATTTTGTGAAGTTTGTACTGCTACGTAATATTAATGATTTCCAATTATTAGTTGTTCATGAAGTGTAGAGAATTAAATCTCGAATACGAAAACCCACTTCTATTCCTACATATAATAATCCAACTTTTTAATTCATTAGTTCCTACTCAAAGTTTTAGTGAGAATTTGTGTGTATATAAAGACGGGACATTCTCTATTCTTTGACAAATCTTTGCGCATAGTAAAAGCTTCGCTATTATCCTAGGATAGACACCAGATAGTCCTGAGGTGAGCACCACTCTACACTCTCTCAAATATACCTATGGTGAATCTTCATTATAAAAAACTAATTTATAAAAAGGCATATGCTTTTTTGAGTTAGCGGGTATTCTATTAAATAATTAAATTGACCGAATAAAATTAAGCACGACCAAATATTAATTTTTGTGTATCAAATATGTAATCATATCAGCCGTTAACTGTACACTCCTGAACATAGGTGTCCCCCATAATCTTGCCAATAGTTGCCACACTCGGGAGGCGGCTTGACAACTGCAGTTAAACTTTTGTGATGAAGAGGAACGCTGCTGTCCATCCCTCAACCATTAAGTTTTCTTAATAGCCTCTTACGACACCCACGAAAAAGAAAGATGTGTCTCATTCTATGCCGAGACTACACGGCGGTGTATCTTTCGCCTTCTTTTTACTAATTATATTTGTGTAAGAAGAAAGGAAACCACCATATGATTTACAGTTTTTATTTTATCATTACTTTTATGTGATTCCTTGTTCTTAGAAACTAATCAATGTTTACTCTGTGCTTTTAGATAGTTCCTAATCTGTTTTTTTGTCTGTAGACATTGTCTCTCTAATTTATGGTATATTACTCTGTCAAAGATTTTGGAATTGAATTTTTTTATTACCGTGTTCACTTAATTTTTAAATATTTTGCTAAATTGTATTTTTTTTCTGCACATACCTAATTGCAAACTTACTGGAAAATTATAAAAAATGACACAAAATTTAAAGAAAGTGCCTAATATTGCACCGGCTCTAGTATCAAGGATCAAATTTCCTGAAAAGTTTAAGGGAACCATAGTAGAAAAATGGGCGGATTATTGGAAAAACTTATTTATTGACTATCGTCAAATGCTGCAGGATTTACGAACTGACATACAAGATAATCCAAGGAAAGCTTTTGTCTGGACCATATGTTTATCTGGTATCTATGCATTAGCTAAGAACAATCCATCAGAAATTGATTTTAAAGAAAATTTGAAAAGGATAGGAAATGAAATGATATTAGTCAGTGAAGGTTGTCAAAATCCCACGTCTAAAGAGCATTTACAATTTCTAGAGACATCCTACAACCAAGGTGTAATTCACTATGTAAGTTTGGGAATTGCCTCTGTAATGTATACCTCAGATTTGAATGATTCTTGTGATCTATACAAAGCTCACTGTTCATATTTAAGGCCTAGTTACATTAGCCTCCCTTCAAGATTAGTAGATATTGGTTTTATGGGAAAGTGGTGGAATATTTATATGAAAACTGCCAATTATGATGTTAATTTTTAATTAATTAATTGTTATGTAGTATAGTAAAAGATATATAAATTGTTAATTCTATTTTCATTTTTTCTTCATAACATAGCTATACACTATCACCCTGTATTGTCTTGCTTGAATTTGGATCATAACTTGTGTCTACTATTAAGCATGGGTATTATTTTTTAATGGGATGAAAATGTAATAGTAACAGCACCTATACTATTCATGTATACGGACTAACACCAGTGATTGTTGATAAATGATGATGAATTCGGGTTAGTTGATCCATTGGGATTAATTTATTAGGAATTAACCACAATTGTTTTTATGGGGGCCCATGCAGATTGACCTGATAAGCTAGCAAGCTGCTAGCAATAGGGCGTTTAAATCTCCATTAATAAAAATCCCTCTCCCTCTATGCACATGCTGCTACACATATTTCACCTCTAAACAAGGCATCCTCGTGAAGAACTGTGCTACCGGCCAGCTGTTTGTTGCTGGTATAATATAATAAAACAGACAAGTTTTAAATTGTGCTAGTTATATCTATTCCATACCATAATAAGTCATTAAGATAAAGCATTGGAATCAGTGAAATCTTTCTCCATAAGAAGAAGATATTAATTAGGTACTTTTATTATTAAACTTAATAGTCGAGGAATAGGCAGCAGTATCCCTCTTAAAACATCACCAAAACCTAACTGCAGTTGCCAACCCATCTGTCAAGTGTGGCAATGATTAGCAAATCCCCTTCCTGATAAGGGGAGGCCTATGTTCAGCAGTGGACAGTTAACAGCTGATATGATGATGATAATTATCAGAAGTGGTCATGTTAAATCTCAAGTGTTCATTTTTTAATGATTAGGTTGAAAATTAAAAAAAAATGTAATTAAAGAGAATTGTAATCTGTTTCTTATTAATAATGTTAAAACAATGTATAAAATCTAAGATCTCTTCACAAATCATCTCATGCATGAGGTTTTTAAAACAATTTTAAAAACAAATTACTTGTGTGAACCCTGGAAATATCTGATGTAATATAATCTGAGTCAAGAATAATAGTGAAATAAATTGTTCTACTCGAACATAAACAATTAACTAAAACTTGCATTCAGTTTGCTTTTATTGAATGCATGATTGTTTATGTTATTTATTTTAGATGTTAACTTCAACAGCTTACAAGTTTCAAGACAAAAATATAATAAAACACAAACCAATGCAAAAAAAGACAAATAGCTTCACACAATTTTTAATATTAGTGAAATCAATTCAACATGCAAGCTGTCAAATTAATGAAACAATTGACAGAATTTATATAAGCTACATAATTATACAAAATTCATTTAAAACCTATACCCAAACTTTGAAAACAACAAAAAATTCCTGTCACTCAGTAAAATTAACAACTGTTGTTAAAAGCCTTAAAATATAGTAATTGATCATTCTGTGTGATTAAAACAAAATCAACTTTTAATAAAACTAAATAAAAACGGCCACTTTGATTATATACATCCAATTCAATATTATAAAGGAATGTATAATAAATAAAGCTAGAGCAATATAACAAAATCCTGAAAAAGATTCTAAATAAAAAAAATTGCATCAAAACAGCTGTGAAAATAATACACTTCAGTAAATATGTTGTTACATTATGTGTTAACATTTTATTAGTAACAAAAACAATTTTCTAGATCACAGTTCAAATTACTATGAGGTTGGCTAAAGTAATGCTATTCTCGACTGTATAAAGCTGACTCATTTAAGTAACACTTAAGACCTACGTAAATATGGACAATTTTCCGTCATGGGATGCGAATAAAACTTGGCTTTATATAACCCATGTACTCGAACTTAAACAAGGAATGTACAATATATATATATATATATATAGTATGCAAGTTCACAGGTTACATTATGATCGGACTAATATTTTCGCCGACGATTGTTTCTCGTCGGACTTGAAAGTCCAAAGATGACAAACATAAAGGGAAATTTTATCCGACATACGAGTCCCTCGTCTGCGTAGACCAATAATATACATATGTTGCGTTACATGTACAGTGTAGTGCAACCAAATTAAACCATATTGCAAGCATAGAAGTATTCTATTTTGTTATAAAAACATGAACCAGTTATTGTAAATGTGTATACAAAAGTACCAATTACTTTATGAAAAATAATATATTGTTATTTTCACACATAACATATTAAGGCAAATATTTTGTATTTGTGATAAGATTTGTATTTCGTTATCATCATTAGGAACTGGTAATGGTCGCGTACAACAATGCCATTGAGACGTAATGTTTTGACCTAAAGTCTGGCAATATCTACATTTTCTATCAAAATAAAAGGACTTTTTCTTATTACTTTGAGTGATTATTTAAAAAAAAAATGTTTTAGGTAATCTTTAACTTTGAGATGATCTAAGTAAATTATCATAATTTAGCTCAATAATCGCTTTAATTCTCATCTCTTACGAATATAAACCATAAATCTTAAAGCTATCACTAAATCTTTGGTAACTATAGATTTCTTTTTACGTAACATATACAATGATGGCAAATAAACACATGGATATTATATAATTAGAATTTTTCGGAATGTGGAAACGACAAACGTTCATGATGAACGTAAAGAATCTTATTCATGTTGAACATTCCAGTACGCTATTTAAAATAGTTATTAATGATATTTTAGAAGTAAAATTGTTAATTTTAAAACACGTAATAATTTTGAGAGATAATACAGACATTGCCAGTCCTGCAGTATTAGCAAACATTGGATTATCAAGTTTTTATTGTAATTGTGTATTTTTCTAATTGAAATATATTTTTATGATAAATGTGAAATCTGTATACATACTATGCTGTTTAAATACGTAATATTTTATTATACAACGACTTCTCGATATACATATTAAATAATATTCGAGTGACATACATATGGCAATGCAGGGTTTAATAAATTACCAAATTCATACTCTTTTATGTATACAGATATATTTCTTATACATTTTTCAGCAAATAATTTACATTCGCTACTGAACTTACTTTTCGTATGTTTCATGATATTAACAAGTCCTACATCTAATTTCTCCAATATACAAATAATACCAAGTTAGATGTACAGAAAGGTAAGGAAACATAAATAACATATTATTATTAATGTATCACAAATTTTCAGATTGCTTCTTATATTAACCATACACATAAAATATTTTATACATACAAAAGTAAGTAAGCAATAATGACTATAAAAATACAACTGAGAAAAGAATTATGTATACATCACAGGTATAAGTTACATAGTGTCCGTATCTCGAATAACAGGGAACACGTGGCGACACGTAGTCGCTAAGCGCTATCAAAAATTAGTCTATATTCTGTTACTTTTATTATTGGCTACTTCTTTTTATATAATTAATGTAATTGTAATCATGCAAGAATAACATTAACAACATATTGAAGGAAACTTGATTACTCTTGTTTTGAAAACAATAAAAAGTAAAATTGCAATAGTTGAAAATATGAGTATAATTTGAATAAAGAACACATCTAATTATTTAACCACATACCTATCATATAAAGCACACGCCACAAGCACAAGAAATTATATACATATATCCTATTTAAAGATAGACACCCATAACATTGTCCAATGTGAAAATTCTTTATGATTACTATCACGTTTGTTAAAAATTAATTCCGAATCTTTAAATAAAAAGCTTGTTTACTAATAACGATTATTATAAGACCTTTGTAGACAAATAAAATATTTTCAGAATCTTCCACTTGAGAGTTTGTATTATATACCGAGTTTACAATCAAAGCCGTAATGATAATATCGTACCGTATCGTATATTGAAATCTTTCACTCATTTTGAAAAAGAAATCTATAATTTCTGCTGAACTCCGTCGCTCGTCTCACCATAAATAATAATCTCACAATAAAACATAGTACAAATTCCAGTCCCATGGAAGTCATTTACAAAAAGTCGAGCGTTATTTTATAGAAGGATGATTGACGGTTGCGAATATGTGTTTTTAGCAAAGAGGTGAAGTGAAGTAATTTACGAAATTTTTCGTGCTTCTGGCGTGCGCTTTAATAAATTACTTTACAGTATGTCGCTTTGCCACCAACTGTGTGTGGTAGCTTTGGCAGTATGTAATGTTATGGTGACTATGGAGTAGTTGTGAAGCGTCCACAGCTTTATATGCATTGGTTAATAATATTGGATTCCATAGTAATATCTCTCCACGTCGTCGTCGTCATCGTCCTCTTCCAGGAAAAGTTCATCATCTGAAATTATTATACAATATTATATATACATAATATAGCAGTAATAAAACCTTATGTCTTACAATAAACCGGCGATAACATCATAACATCGCTACGGTGCCCCGCGTTACGCGGAAATCTACCTTTCACCGGCTACTCATAGGCGAGCTGTAGGGTTTGCAATCCCGCATTCCGCGTTAATGCATTCCAACGATTTCCGCATGTCAATGAGACCTGCGGAATTACCGCAATTGTGCAGTAAATCCCGTGCCAGATATTTTTGAACGATTTAGTGAGAAGTACGTTAAGTAGATAGAAAAATACACCAGTGAAAAAAACTAAGGGATCAAAAAAAAAATCAAAATTTTCGCCGATTTTTGAAATGGCTATATCTTCGATAAAATAGTCGTATTGGAGTAAAAAAAAAGCAATTAGAAGCTTGAAGTTTCTAATTATTAGATCTTGCAAAAAAAAATTAAGTATCACATATCGCGCAATCTTAATGAATATTATGAAAAAAACAATCCGAATTTTTTCCATCTTGTTTTTAGTGTATGGACTGAAAAAAAAATTCCAACTTAACCACCTTATAGATTAGATAGGTTGTTCATTTAGCTTCAATTTCGGTTTTTTCTTTTATTTTTTGTCTCGATACGACCATTCGCTGAGCTATCGGACTTTGAATGAAAATTGATCATTTTCTCTTTGTTCATCGATATCTCAGAAACCAATGGTTGCACAAAAAATCGACTAAAGGGTATCAGAAACTTGAATGAATTCAAAAAAAAAATTAAGACCGTTATCGGTATAGACCGATACTTGAAATTTGCGCCAAAATTTAAAACTCAACCCAACACAATTAATATATTACACCTGACAGAGCACAAATTACATCCCTTTATAATATCACTAGATATATCCGCGAGACCGGAATAAGTACCAGAGGGAGACTTTGTACAAAAGTTGTTTCCTTGGGTACCTCTGTCCCATTCGTGTTTCAACCATGAAGCAGTTGTGTTTGTATGGCTGTGTTTCGGTTTGAAGGATAGGATATGGCGTGAATTTACAGGATACAGAGGAATAACACCTGAGTCCTCAGGAATGGCAACGCATGGGGGGTATCATGGGCGAATCAGTATACTCTGTTATGTCCATGGTACTGCTCATGTCTATAGGCGACGGTTACCACTTTCCATCAGGTGGGCCGTCAGCTTGTTTACCATTCTAAGTCGTATAAAAAAAAAGTAGCTTATATCCTGCTTTCAAAATCCTATTAATGTAATAAATGCAAAAGTTTGTAACAACGGATGAATGTTTGGTGCTCTTTCACACAAAAGCTACTGGAGGGATTTAAATGAAATTTGGTACACGGGTAGATTATTTCCTAACTTAGCACATAGGATAGTTCATATACGAGTATTTACTGGTTCATGCGGGTAAAGCCGTAGCATACAGCTAATACTATCTATTCCGACATCCTTTCCTAATTCCTTTATCCATTCGTAATAATATATTCCCATTAACTTATTAACAACTCCAATTCAAATTTTTGAGACTTGCGTTTAAATATTAAATGAAAAAATAATATGGCGGTCGCTAGTACCTGAGGTTGTGTTGCTCATACTCTAAGTGAAAAAAGACTAGAAAATCTATGGAAATTCGCGTGCCTTTTACATGCTAGTTGTGAATATAACCAGTGTTGGTGTGTGGAAAAGGAGTCAAAGCCATAGGGTGCACCCAAGGTCTTCAACTGCTCAGCAAGTTAACTCCTTTCTATATCCGTCAATGCATAGTCTTCTGCTGGATTCTAAGGATTCCTAATATGTTTTCTAAGCAGGTGAATAAAATCCCATAGCTTTCCTCTAAAGTTTATCGTCATAATCTACCACTATCTAAATTTCATAATGATTGATCGAGTCATATAGGCACTAAGAAGTAACAAACACACTTTCACATTTATAACATTAATAAGAATGTAGACAGATATAGAATGTTAAATACCTAGTTTGAACATCATACCTTGAAAAATATAATCATCGAAATCATCGTGTTCGAGAAGGTCATCTATTAGAGAATCGTCCGAACTGTCCTCTAATATACGATCAACGAAGTCTGGCCGAAAGTGAGGGTTGCAACGATTGTCTTGTGTATTGACAGTCAGCAAATTGTGTCCATTACATACCTGAAACAAATTATTACAACATTAATAACAACAATTTGTATCTACTTATGTGTTAATTTCGTGTCTAATAAAGTATATAAATAAATGCACGTTATTTTTTAATAACTTAAAATAATAATATTACCAGAGGGAGACTTTGTACAAAAGTCGATTGCTTGGGTACCTCTGTCCCATTCATATTTTAACCGTGAAGCAGCCGTGTTTGCATGGTTGTGTTTCGGTTTGAAGGGTGGGATATGGCGTGAATTTACTGGGTACAGAGGAATAATACCTGAGTCCTCAGGAATGGCAACACATGGGGGGTATCATGGGCGAAACAGTATACTCTGTTATGTCCATGGTACTGCTCATATCTATAGGCGACGGTTACCACTTTCCACCAGGTGGACCGTCAGCTTGTTTGCCATTCTAAGTAGCATAAAAAAAAACTCATTATTACATTTGTTTGATATTATTATTAATCACAATAATAAGTTAGCTTTACATCATTAATATAAACAAGATAATGTTGGCTCATGAACTAAAACAGAACTCATTAAATATATAACTATTAATAGTAAATTTAATCCCGGCTAAATTAAAATGGAACCCAATACGGGAATAATCTATCTCCCTCTATTGTCGATTTAAAAAAGAATTAACAAAATCGATCTATGAAAATATCACGTAAAAAACTGTTTTTCATGACATGAAATTACATTAGAACATTCACTTCCTCAAATTGCTTGTAAAGGAAAATACCTGTGGCTTTGCCATATAGGGAGAGAGATTGTGAATGAGAACAACATAAAAAATTGTACTTTCTTTTTTCACAAATGTCTATAAAAACAAAAAGCCATAAAAGTTTAAGTAACAGAGATAACTTTTACAACAAAAATAATGGAATCTTAAATTTTTTCTATTTACAAACAAAATTTGGTTTTCATTAAATTGCTTAAAGTTTACGATAGCTATTAAATACAGTATAATACTTATCATTTAATATTCAGTTTTGATACAAAAAAGAAACAAAAACTCACTTCGGGTTCTGATACAGCAGTACCGGCCAATCGCAACACTAGTTTCCTTGGCTTGGTTTCTAATGCTTCCACGGCAGCCTCGATTATGCTTTCGGAAATGTTATCGCAACCACAAACATCAATATCCTGAAAAGAATTAAGAGTTGTCTAGAAAAAAGAGAGAATTATTGTAAGAGGCGACTAAGCGAACTTAATGGTCGAGAAATGGGCAGCAACGCCCCACAAGTAACATAATTACAATTAATTAACTAACTTTAAATTCTTAATGCTATTTTGTTAGTCTTTGTCCAAATATTTTTTTTACATTAAACAAATATGGCGACCATTTTGATTAATTCTGACACCATATCCATATTTGAAGTGTATACGGATCCTTAGATATCGATTTTAAAGCAATCAGTTAAATAACAAAGAAAACAAAACGGTGGCAATTTTGATTAATTCTAACACCAGATTCATGTTTGAAATGTATATGGATCCTCAGATGTCGATTTTGCAAGCAATCAGTCAAAAAACAAAGAAAACTAATAAATGGCGGTTATTTTTATTAATTTGGACACTGGATCCACATTCAAAGTGTACATGGATCTTTAGATATTGGTTTTCAAAGCAATCGGTCAAATAAAGTCTGCATAATACTCAATAATATCTCTATATAGATAGATACCTACATATATATTATATTTACATTATATAAAAAAAATACAAATATAAATAAACAATTCTTATTGAAAATAAATACACTTCATTTCGGGAATTTTAATTCAATTGTAGGGATTTTTTTCGGATACTTGCAACACTAAAAATGGCGCGAATACTTTTAAAAGAAATTTGTGTTTTTATAATAAAATATACAATTTTATTATAAAAACACAAATTTCTTAATATTAGTGATTTCTTTATTATTTCTATTTTTATTTTATAATTTATGCTCATTTTTGTTGCGCAAAAACTAATTTTATATATTAAATGAATATAGATACATTGTGTGCGTAAGTATATAAAACACAATTAAAACAAAGACAGCTCATTTAACCATTACTTGAGCCGTTTTTATGAGTTGCGGCTCTATGTATTTTTTTTTTTATACAACTTAAAATGGCAAACAAGCTGACGGCCCACCTGATGGAAAATGGTAACGGTCGCCTATAGACATGAGCAGTAACATGGACATAACAGAGTATACTGTTTCGCGCATGACACCCCCCATGCGTTGCCATTTCTGAGGACTCGGATGTTATTCCTCTGTACCCTGTAAGTTCACTGCCATATCTGGCAGAAAAACATTTTGTTTCGTCACTATTATTACGTTTGTTGCACTCAGTCCAAACTTGTTTTTGATCTTGAATCCAATTGTGTTTTTCCATTTCATAAATTAAAGCATTGTTTAAAATTCATTCTTAAAAACCGAAACACAGTCATGCAAACACAACTGCTTCCCGGTGTATAGAAGGTGCGCATCGCGGCAGACAACAGGTTGTTACCTCGAGGAGGTGGCAGGCGGCGAGCGCGCGCGCGAAGGGCGCGGCGGAGAGCGCGGGGTTGCCGCGCGCGAGCAGCGCGCGCAGGCGCGGCAGGCGCGCGGCGGCCGCCAGCCCCGCGTCGCGCAGCCGCGCCAGGTACGACGCGTCCAGCCGCTCCAGCAGCGCGCACCCGCCGCACACCGCGCTCACGCCCTCGTCGCCCACGCCTGCGCCGCGCCGCACACATACATACATACAATATTTTATATGTACATACAATTTACAACATCTTGCATAATCCCTCCATTCCTTGTTATCTCCGCGAGCGTTATGAATATTTATATTCAACAGACAAACCACTTCGCCCTCAGACACGATTACTTCTAAAAACTCCACCACATCGTACTCAGGCTTTTGGGAATTCCTATGGAATAGTCTGCCATCCGAAATAAGGGAATCGACAAGTATAGGCATGTCTAAGCGTCGTCTAAGAAAGCATTACTTATCACTATGCTGACGTATTATGTATATGTGTTACATACGCATTATATATTTATATATGTTTATATGTGTATATGTATGTATGTATAAACAATTTGGTGGGAGGCACGACGAAAAATCACTTCGTATCACTATCACTAAATAGCATAAAACAAAGTGAATTCCCGTCTGTCTGTCCCTATGTATTTATTTATTTAAACTTTAATGCACAGTAAAATTCTATGTACATTTGGCGGACTTAATATCGGACGGTGTTCTCTACCAGTCAACCATTGGGCAAACTGAGAAGTACATAGACGGTGCATTTTTGAATAGAGAAAAAAAAGCAATATTTGATAAGTTCATATAATATAAACATACACATAATAAATAAATATATACATATAATAAATATATACATATAATAAATACATACATAAATAAATACATAAAATATTACTATATAAAACAATTACATAAAACAACTGCAATAGAAGAGCCAATAGTAATCTATGACTCAAACAGAGTAAACAGCAGGAGAAGCTTAAAGGAAAAGTGATTTTTCTAAGAAATAGGTGTGCAATTTGTGTTTAAAAGCTAGCTTGTTTAAGGTAGATCTTATATCAAGCGGGAGTGTGTTCCAGTGTATAATAGCTTAAACAGTGAAGGAATTGGAAATGAAGCCAATACGATGAGCAGGCATATGAAGAAAAAGATTCCTGCACGGACGAAGACAACGATTGGTAATGTCTCCGTGAAATTGAAATTTACACTTAAGGTAGTCGGGAGAATTAGGATTGAATAAAATAGAATGTAGAGTACACAATAAGCATGAAGTTCTACGCAGTCGGATAGGAAGCTACTTGAGCTGAGCGCAATAGGGAGAGATATGGTCATACGAAGATTAAAAATAAAACTTATGCTATTATTGAGAAGACGAGCCAATTTATTTAATAGGTCTTCATTCATGTCTGTGCAGCAGGCATCACCGTAATCAAATATGGGGAGAATAAGAGACTCTACCAGCAAGATTTAAGTGCTAATAGGGAGAAAATGTTTAAATCGGTAAAGATTACGCAGCGAGAACGTTATTTTACTGCTAATTTCGTTAACATGGTTCGACCAATTGAGACTACTATCAATTGTTAAGCCGAGATTTTTAACTTTGGAACAGAAAGGAATCGGGTTATTGTTGTAAATGATAGTAGACAGTATTAATACCATTTAATATTGTTTTTTCCAAGTAGACGAGAACTATCCAGAACCATGACTTGACATTTGGCAGGGTTAACCGTGATGCCGAAATCGCTCGCCCAGGTGAAAATATGGTGAAGACCGTCAATTAACTGATCAATAACATCGACGATTTTATCAACTTGGGTTTGCGAGTATAGTTGTAAATCATCCGCATACAAGTGGTAACAGCATTTGAGGTCTTTAGTTATCAAATTGATAAAAATTTACAAGACTAGTGGAGATAAAATACCGCCTTGAGGAACGCCAGATTCTATATCATACCAGTCGGAAAAAGAACGACCGACACGAACAGCTTGCTGACGTCCTCGAAGATAGGATGATAACCAATCAACAGCACGAGAGGAGATACCAAGATAAGAAATCATGGCTAATAAAATGTCATGATCAACAGTATTAAAAGTGTTAGAAAAATCGATCAAGACAAGAATAGTTAATTTGGAGTTCTCCATGCCCTCCCTTATATCTTCTGTGATTTTCAGAAGTGCTGTCGTAGTGCTGTGTCCTGGCCTAAAACCAGATTGAAATAAATTTTGAGAGTTGTTTATAGGCGATAGCTTCTAATATTTTAGAGAGGAAGGGCAGAATGGAGATAGGGCTAAAATTCTTTAGAAGTGTAGGAGATGATATTTTAGGAAGTGGTAAAACATAAGCATTAAGCCAGATAACAGGAAATGTACCAGAATGTAGAGAAAAGTTGATGATGTGAGTGATCAGAGGAAGTATGTGTTCGAGTATGAGAATAATCATGATTCTACTTACATCATCAGAACCAACACAGATTTGACAGAGGTGATTATGTTGTGGGTCTCCTCGTCTGTGATGGAAAAAAAGGGCAATGTTACTGTGGATGAATTAGGCCAAGAAGCAATTTTTAGGAGGGCTGTGTTCTTGGAGAAAGCATTTAATAAAGAAGAGGAAGCGAAGTGCCTATTAAGGTCGTTTAATGAAAAAGAAGAATTGAAGTCGCTGGTCTGTTTACCAAGACCAAGCGATTTAAGAAACTTCCAAGTATTGGCCGGTGAAGCGTTTAAAATATTGGAGTGGATATAACGGCGTTTAGCGGCCATTACCATGCGGTTACAACAATTGCGCGCCTTTTTATAAGTAGCCCAGTTCTCGTCAGAGCGATCCCTTTTAAACATCTTAAAACCATGATCCCGTTTTCTCATAGCCATGCGCACTCCATCAGTTATCAAAAGAGAAGGCGGTCTCTTAATTTTAACTTTGTATTAATTTTAACATCATAAATGCATGACCAATCAGTGGAAATGATATCATTCTGAAGTTCCCCGAGGTCGACCGAAAATAGCGTCAGTATTCTGAGTAGAAAATAAGTTGATGTTGTGATATGCTTTGAGCATTGACATGACAGATATTAAGACAGTTGGAGAACCGTTTGAACTCAGTGTTTAAACTTGTCGTAGAAAGCAACGAGTCGTCTAGAGATGAGTTCAACGATTGAAACAGATTGCTTGAGTCATAGGCTTCTGCATAAAATAATAAATATTACAGTACATAAATAATAATAATAAATATAGATAAAATCTGAATAAAAATATTAAAATATATTATGAATATTTGAGATGAAGTTTATATATGTTATAATTATTCACGCACTCTGCGTTTCCCACCGGCCGACCGTTCACAATCAATTCTATATATTAATAATAAGTTAAGAATAATAAATCCTTAACTGGAAATCGTAATAAATTGTAATAACATTCAAAATCTATGACTAAATATAAAAAAGTTAAATGAAAAAAAGAAAAAAAAATACCCACTGACAATATATAATAATGAAAAAAAAAAAAAAAATACAAATTTAAAGTCAGAATCGATTGGCAAAAAATTCGCATCACTACGAAAAGTAATAGCACAGTAAATCAATGCAAACCAGTTCAATGGCTTCAAAAATATTACATTGCAAATAAAATTAGTCAAAAATTATTGGTTATAGATATTATTAAAGTCTTTTTAGAAGAATATTAAAGGAAATTAATCTACAATAATTGTTAATCATTGTTATGACAGTTCTAGGTGATTGCACAAATTCACCCCACAAGCAGTGATTATGAGGATAGTGTCAACTCCTGAATGGCGTAGTTAGTTAATTAGTGACAGTTCTATACTAGCAAAACGATATTTAAGATAACAATAAGTGTTATCTTAAATATCGTTTTGTCAGTCCGAACAATTCCTCAGAACTCACTCCCCATGATAAATTCGGTAGAAGATGCACAGAATATACAATATTAATACAATAATGTATAGAACTCGAAAGGACAAGAGGTTATTTACACTTACATCTTCCTACCCTTATCCCAATCATTGGGGGTCGGCGTAATATGATTTTATCCATATTACAAAAAGATTTGGTTTATAGTTTTACGACTGGCCACTTGCCTGACATCAACCCTCTTTGGGAATGCATTTGTTGGTGGTTTCCGCCACCTACGGTATGGAGGAAAGGATTGAGGAAAAGAGGAAGGGAACGTTGGAAATGCGTAAAGGAAATTAGTAAATGAGAGGAATAAGGGACTTATGTGGGAAAGGAAATGGGGGGACACTGTAGTTGTGGAAAGGACTGGGACACTGCAGCGGCTCGGGAGGCCGAGGTCGCATACCCGTATGCCCTTATTCTAGAATCGGACAGATTTCTAGAGAAGAACACCCCTGACACTTATTATATTAATATATTATATTCAAAAATAAAAAATAACAAGGAACCTTATACTATTACTATCAGGAATAATTTACTTATACTAAATTAAAACTGACCTGGATAAGGAAAACTCTTCCTTGAATTGCAGCTAGAGATGTCCAATGATATTAGTTTGCGGCATGATTGCGCAACTTGCTTCAACACAGCATTAGTAATGTATATGTTCCTGCTAAAGTTTAAACTCTTCACTTCCTTTAGATTCGAAATCGCTTCGGAGAAATCGTCATTGAGTTGAGGCGTGAGACACACGTCTACTGAGGAATATTCGCATAGAGACAACTCTTCTAGCTGTGACAACTTGCGCAGTATGCACGGTACTTTCCTCCACAATGTAACTGGACAAGCGTCCAGCTTGAGCGTGGTCAGGTTCGGCAAGGAGTCGATGGCGGCTATGAGAAGTGTGCTCTGCAGGCTGTAGCAATTGTAGAACGCGAGAGAGGTCAGCTTCAATGGGTTCAGACCGGTGAGAAAGAGACCAGTTACGTGTGTGTTGTTGGCAACTGTCAAATGTTCGATACTCGAGTTGTCCTTCACTAGATGCACTAAACTCGAATCTGTAAGCTGACAACACCAAATATCCCTTTAAACTATGAAACACAGCATTATTAACATAAGTAATTATAATTCCAATAACTTATTTATTCTATTCTGAATATGTATTTTAGAAACAATTATGAACAAAAAAATGGGGACCATATTTATTATTAATTATTTATTACTAGCTTATGCCCGTAACGCATCGTACGCGTCGATTTTAGAAGTAGGTAACTACTCCAAGATAAAACATAAATCACATTTTAAATTAAACCTTCAAAAACACAACTGCGAAATCTGCATTCAATTTGATGCAGTAGTAGTAATAAAAAAAAATGTTTCTATAAATTTTATTAATCTCTCATATTAAATTCTTATCTCCTATGTACAGACATAATATATTATAATTACAATTTTATTATATGAGTAAGACAATCGTTATATAAAGTTGATTGAGGTATTTTTATCATATCTTTAGACGAAGGTTACTATATGTATTCCATCAAGTAGTAGATAAGTCATTTACCACTATCACTTGTATATAAAAGGCATTGGAAAGAGAAAATAATTTGAAAGGAAATATTTGAAACAATAAACTAACATCCTATTTTTATTTATAAAGGAGAATACTACTTTTTTTTTGTGAGTGACGCATGGACAGTCTTCTTTTCATTAATATTTTATTTATTAATAGGGAGACTTTGTACAAAAGTCGATTGCTTGGGTACCTTTGTCCCATTCGTGTTTCAACCGTGAAGCAGTTGTGTTTGCATGGTTGTGTTTCGGTTTGAAAGGTGGTATATGGCGCGAATTTACTGGGTACAGAGGAATAACACCTGAGTCCTCAGGAATGGCAACGCATGGGGGGTATCATGGGCGAAACAGTATACTGTGTTATGTCCATGGTACTGCTCATGTCTATAGGCGACGGTCACCACTTTCCATCAGGTGGGCTGTCAGCTTGTTTGCCATTCTATGTCGTAAAAAAAAAATTTGAGGCGTTAACTGTACACTGTTATACATAAGCCGTCCCCATAAGGGAAGTTTTGCCAGTAAATGCCATGCTTTGCAGGCAAGTTGGCAACTGCAGTTAGGCTTTTAAAGATGTTTTAAAAGGGACGCTGCTGCCATCCCTCGCCCTCCCTTAGTCGCCTCTTACGACACCCACGGGAAAGGAAGAGGTGGCCCATTCTATGCTGGAGTACACACGGTACACAGTCTTCTTACAAGGAATTAATTTTTCTTTTTTTTTCATACAACTTAGAATGGCAAACAAGCTGATGGCCCACCTGATGGAAAGTGGTAACCGTCGCCTATAGAGATGAGCAGTATCATGGACAGAGTATACTGTTTCGCCCATGATAACCCCCATGCATTGCCATTCCTGAGGACTCAGGTGTTATTCCTCTGTATCCTGTAAATTCACGCCATATCCCACCCTTTAAACCGAAACACAGCCATGCAAACACAACTGCTTTACGGTTGAAACATGAATCTTTTCTTAAATCAAATCAATATAAAACAAAAGACAGAGAACTATTAATGTTCTTAATTAATTTATCATACCTTATTGCATGATATGAAGGCAAGAGTTTTCAACCGCTTGCATCCATAAACAAGTGGATTCCAATTCTTTGTGTGCATTCCAACAACCTGAAAAAAGATAACAATATTAAATAGACATAACAATCCTTGCTAAAATTATTAACGTGAAAGTGAATTTGTTTGTTTGTTAACTTTTAGCGTTATAACGGCTTAACCAATCACAAATTTTATGTACATAAAGGAGACATATGAACAAACAAAAATAACTGCATACTCTGCTAACAAGCTTTTCTGACTGTAATCTGGGTTGAGTCTTCAGAAGTTCATTGCCTAGTTCCCTAACACAGATGTGTCCTGTGTTAACTAGGCAACAACAAATAACACATTATGGGGACCTAGGCAGATATCCTAGCTTGAGGTTCAGGCAATTGGTGTGATTATTAATCATAGGACAATTATGACTATAAAAAAATATCAATATAGGAGGTACCTTGAGTTCCTCGAGGTCGGGACAGAACTTGCCGATGGCGTGCGCGGTGCGGTCGTTGAGCGCGGACCAGGGGTGGTCGACGTGCAGCCGCACCAGCGTCAGCCGCGCCAGCACGTGCCGCAGCACCGCCGTCGTCAGCCGCACCGGCACGTATTGCCACCACGACGTCTTGAACGTGCGAATAGCTGCTCACCGCGAAAGGGAAAGATATTTTTAGTAGTGAGATCTATCGGCCTTTTTTCTAGCGAGATACACTATCGGGTCAAGCGCCACGCGGACTTCCCGGGAAACTATAGTGGGTAATTCTCAGAGAATTCATGACGATGCGCTGACAGATCAGACCTCATCCTCGTCTATCATCCCTAACTGGTGTCACGTGGGGGGAAAGGGATTATTAGTAATGGAGACTGAGAATACCATTGCTAGCAATATACCCAACCAGGTCGACCTCCTCGCGGCTCCCCCTGGAAACTATCATAGTTAATTCCTGATCAATTCACCACGATGGGCTAACTGGCCTGTTTTCATTTTCATCTATCACCCTTCACTGGGTAACCGCCAGCGTAACCCGTTAGCGCAGGCGGGGTTATCATTCCATTTTCACCCATCAAAAAAAAAACTGGTGTCATGCCAGCGTATACCGATTTCGCAGGCGGGGTTACCATTGTATTTCCAGTCATTAAAAAAAAAAACATACCACTCACAACCAATTAAAAACATTTCACAATTACATATTTGTGGTTCCGTATTAATAATCATTCGTCATACTCATACACAAGTACTGCTTGTTACGAGTAGTACTAGGCTGCTCGAGTTTATTACATTTAACTGACCGTAAAATTGTACTTTAATTAATACATAATATAAGTAAACACTATAACATTGATTGTCATTCATTAAACTTTGTAAATGAATTTAAATAACTCAGTGCTGATTATACTTTGTAATTTGCCTGTTGAGTTTGAAAAATTTAAAAAGTGACAATTTAAAAAAGCTTGATATTTTATTCGATTTTGGCCTAATTGGGGGACTGGCTAAATTTCGAATCGAAATTCTTACTTGACACTTTAATTGAAATAAGTTTAGAGGATTAGCAAAATCGCATTACGGTTACTCTTTTCGAACGGTAAAAAAGACAGTTTGTGACAAAAAAAAAAGCTTTCAACGAAAGTAGAAACAATGTATCAAGTTTTTATATAGATTGAGCTACGAGAGCGATGAGCAAAAAATGACACAAGTTGCGTCGTCTTTATCCATCTATATTGTCTTACAACACAAACAATACATGAGGTAAGAACGCGCAAAAAGCAGGCCCGTGTAATGTAGATAACGTATTGTTCAAATACAAATCATTAATTGCACATATCACATAATAAATTTTGAATCATAAAAACAATTAGAATAGAGATAAACTCACTTTGTAAATATTCGTGCACCATTTCTTGCCACCGCTTACTAACTCTCTCTGATCTGATAAGATCTCTTATTGGTACATATGTCATTATGTGATTTAAGCAGTCTCTGTTCAATATGTCCAGTATAGTATAGCAGGGTTCATTTTCAGACTCTTCCTTTCCATTCTGAGTTGAACCCTGTTCACTCTGAAAATAAAAAAAAAACATACAGATATTAATAACATACGAAAGTCGTATTCCAATAATTATTGTGTTAATGAAAAATTTCGATGCAAGCAAGATTTGACCCAGCAATTTCTATTCCATGCCGAAACCAGTTGATAAGCAAAGGCCATAAAACTGAATTTATCACTACAGTAGACTAAGTAAAACAAAGGAACTCACAGTTGTGGGATCTGTTTCTGAACTGGCTGCATTAGCATTATCTGTTGAAGATTCTGGACAATCTGAAACAAAATTGTTGTTTTCAAATAAACTTTCAGTTTTCAACCGATGTAAAAAAAAGTAGTACGCCAATTTTAAACAGAATTCTTTTTTATTTAAAAGTAGTCAAAAATCATCATTAAAAAAAACATATGCTATGTTACTTCATTCATACGTAAAGAAAGTCATATGAATCAATGTTTTAAATTATGACAGTTTTAGGATATAGGTACCTGTGTGAGGATAATTGAAACTGAACAGTTATTCACCTTTATATGGAATTGTGAATCTTGGTTTTTGTACATTAATATATGTACAACCTGTGGCTCTAGAGTCTGCTTACCTCGTAAAAGACCGTGTATCGGAATAATCAGATATATAAAAGTCGATTTTCTTAAAAAAAATTATAAGTCATATTCAACTTAGTCATTTAGGCCAAGCATTGATTAATCTTATTCATTTATCTTTTTTATTAAAAGAAAATGATAAACAAGATGTTGCATATTTAGTAATATATAGTCAAACTGATAATATTTAAGAAATAGTTCATAATAAAATCAATTGCAGAACTGAATTTACCTTCCTGTTCAATACTATTATTGCTATCTGCTTCATAGTAGCGACGATCAGAGCGTGGCCTCCAGCGCACTTTGCCATCTGAATCCTCAGCAGGCTGATGCCAACTGTCTGCAGGGTATGTTCTAAGGTTGCGTCCACGGAGCATTTTCTCATGACTAGGTGCTTGTAAAGCTCTACAAATAATAATTAAAATACATTGTTATTACACACATACATAATGGAAGACAATTATCCATTAAGCAGTGTAGGCAACTGCTTAGGACCCCCTCAATCACTAGACAGCAAGTGCTAGACCAGTGGGAGACTTTATACATATATATATATATACTATGTTATGTCCATGGTACTGCTTACGTCTATAGATAATGGTTACCACTTTCCATCAGGTGGGCCATCAGCTTGTGTGTCATTCTAAATTGCATAAAAAAAATCTTACAATATTTTTTCTTTGAGAAAATTTTATATCTACCAAACTCCAATGAAAATATGATTTCCATGTTTGTTTTTTTTTTATCATGTTTCAGTATACATTTCAATTTATTTTATAGAATAATATTATATCAGCTTTTTTTTTGTGAGTGAGACATGCTTAGGTCTGCAAGATGGTCAATCCAACCCTGTAGTAAGCAAATGACAAGTGAATCCATAAAATCATTATTGCAAGTCCATGACATAAAATGAGATAGCAATATCTGGAGTCTTTCTCATATGAACATTCACTAAAACTATTCTGTTGATGGAGTCATTTGTCACTTGTTAAGGGGCCTTTTTACAGTTTCTATAAAAATGTTTCTTTTTTCATTAATTAACTTATTTATTTATTCATCAATACATGTACATGTACAAGGCAGACATTCTATATATTGGGGAATATATTATCACAAAAAAGTATGTGTAATAGAATAGAATAGAAATCATTTATTCAAATAAACTTACATTGAAGCACTTTTGAAAAGTCATTACATTTTTTTTAATTTACCGCTCGTTCGGAAAGCTGTCTCATCACAAGAAGAACGAGCAAGAAACTTGCGTGATGCTCTTTTAAATAATTTTATTATTATTTTACATTTTTAAGTTTAATTGTGTGAATACAAACCACCAATTAGCACTAATTCAATTAAATACTCAAAAAGAAAAAAAAATTGAATACATAACCAACTGGTTAAACAATTAATAAGAGGAAATCAGTCATAGTGATTAGAGCAGACCAGTCCCTACAAGCAGCACCCGTTCACGAGTATGACGGATGAGCCAGCCATCACTGCGCTCGACCATATTTTAGGGAGCCCAATGACCCGGCCCACCACGCCGCCACAAGTCTGGACATTTTAGTGAGCATGACTACTCAAAACACTAGACCACGTCAAAGCTACTCACAATTGCCATCTGATAGTTATAGTATTCACATTTTACATAAGAATGCATGCGGCAATTAATACAAAAAACCGCTACGCTTTCATATTTCTAAAATTAATCAATTAAATCAAGAAAGCAATGAGAAAATAAAATTATAACGTTGTATGCTAATAAACTAATTATTTACTTGATATGTTGTCATCTATGAATTCGTCTATCCTGTAATAGGCTTTCTTACATAAAAATTGTTTAATATAAGATTTGAATTGCCTCTCTGTCAGATTTAATGCAGATTCCGGCAGTTTATTATAAAATCTTATGCAATTACCATAGAATGAATTACTGATTTTGTGCAGACGGCATTTAGGTAAAATAAGCTTATTTATATTGCGTAAGTTTCTACTTGTACAGTCTTTGAGTTTTTTAAAACTCGCTAAGTTCTTCCGTGTATACATAATATTTTCATAAATGTATTGTGAAGTAACTGTGAGGATATTTGAGTCTTTAAAGCACTGACGTAATGACTCTCTTGAACCCATACCATAAATAGAACGTATGGCTCTCTTTTGTAAAACAAATATAGTATTTATATCGGCTGCTTTACCCCACAGCAGTATGCCATAAGACATTATGCTATGGAAATAACTAAAATATACAAGTTTAGCCGTCGCCACGTCTGTTAATTGCCTAATTCTTCTAATTGCATATGCAGCAGAACTGAGTCTACTGGCCAATTTTGAAATATGGGGCCCCCATTGTAATTTCGAGTCCACTGTTATACCTAAAAAAACTGTATCATTAACAAAATTTACTATTTCGTCATTAAGCAATAACTGTGTATTTATTAGTCTTACATTAGGAAGTGTAAATTTTATACACTTTGTTTTGCTGGAATTTAATAATAGGTTATTACATGTAAACCAATTTAATATTGCAGACATAGCACAATTTACATCGTCTAATTGATTACTTTGACGTCCAATTTTAAACACTAACGAAGTATCATCCGCAAACAGCACTATATCTGCAATTTTCTCTACCATAAAGGGAAGGTCATTTATGTAGATTAAAAAGAGAAAGGGGCCTAAGATTGACCCTTGTGGAACGCCCATCTTAATATTAGCTCCCTTAGATTTTACACCGTCAATATCTACAGTTTGAACCCTATCCTCTAAATAAGTTCTCATTAATTTTAGATCATTATCTCTTATACCATAATGTTCGAGCTTGTACAAAAGCGTTTTATGATCCACACAATCAAATGCCTTTGATAGGTCACAAAAAACTCCGAGTGCATCCTGTGACCTCTCCCAAGATTCGAAAATATGTGTCATTAGCGCAACACCTGCGTCAGTGGTAGACTTGCCGGCGGTGAAACCATATTGCTGACTGTGAAGCAGTCCGTTAACCCTGAAGTGATGTAACATTTGATTTAACATTATCTTTTCAAACACCTTACTTAGAACTGGCAAAATAGATATAGGTCTATAGTTCCCTGGCTCAAATTTATCTCCTGATTTAAATAGTGGGATTAATTTGCTAAATTTCATTAAATGTGGAAAAACGCCATTATCAATACATTTATTAAAAATAGTGGCTAGATATGGAGCAACAATATCTATGAAAGAACTAACTACTTTTACAGACATGCCCCAAAGGTCTTCCGTATTTTTTAAATTTAGCTGTTTGAATATTTTTATGATATGAAAGGGGCTAACATGTGAAAATTTAAATCTTAAAGAACAACAACCGATATTAGTCTCTAGTAATTTTTTTGCTCGAGATTGAGATGAGTCCAGAGAAGATGTAATATCAATCGGAATATTAGCAAAAAAATCTTCAAAAATATTAACTACATCTTTTGTTGTTGTTATTAATTTATTATCATAATTTAATGTAAATTGATTACAGGCTATTTTAGATCTTCCAGTTTCTTTATTTATAATGCTCCAGATGGTTTTAATTTTGTCAGAAGACTGCTTAATTTGTTTATTAAAATAATTAGACTTAGCCATAATACAAACTTTTTTAAAAATTTTAGAATAATTTTTTACATAAGTGGTGAATTTGTCATCAAATCGATATTTTTTTTGATCGTATAAATCAAACAAAATATTTCTACTTTTAAGTATTCCTACTGTTGCCCATTCCGTGAATTTAGATTTAACATGAACTTCTTTTTTCTTGAAAAATTGTTCATATTCTCCGGATAAAATATTAATTAGCTTGGTGTAAAGATAATCAGGATTATTACTAGATTGTAACAGCAAATCCAATTTATTTTTAATCGCGCTTTTGTATTTATTAATATTGTAAACGTTTATTTGTCTTTTTGATTTTTTATTATTGTTGACTTTATTGATTTGACTGCTAAACTTAACAACTTGACCACAGTGATCTGAAGGAAGTTTATTTATTATGAATTTTTCTGTATACTCGCAGTTACAAAAAACATTGTCAAGACAAGTAGCAGACGTGGCAGTTACACGAGTGGGTTCATGAAAGACATGACATAAATCAAATGACTGAAATAAACTAATAATTTTTGTACATGTGGGTGTGTTACAAAGAATATCAACGTTAAAATCTCCACATACAATAATTTTTTTAATACTATTAAATACTTTTTTTAAAATATCCTCCATCACCCCTTCAAAAACATTGTAATCACTATTAGGAGGCCTGTACACACATATAAGGATATAATTTTCTAGTTCTATACAAGATAATTCTATACAACACTCAATAGAAAGTCTAACAATGTCAGCACGTTCCTTTACTTTAATATTATTTCTTGCAATTATCATAGACCCGCCTCTGTTAACTGACTTTCTATTGAAGCAGCTAATTATTCCTATAAACAAAAAATCTTTTTATGGGATGATATAGTATATAGTAAATAGGTATGGCAGTTCTTGCAAGACCAGGAGCCTTATTCACACACTAAAGATTTGGGGTCACAGTATCTGAAAATTCATACCATTTTCGACTACTGCTCTTATTATGTACAATTACTGTTAATAAAAAAATAATTTTAGTATTAAGTACATATTAATAATCTTACTTATGTGCATCCTCAGGATTACTGAATGTAACAAAAGCATATGTTGGTGTTGAAAGTCGATTTAACCCCTTATCACCCATCCGCAACCAGCAACTCTTAATGAAGCCATATGGTGCAAACACACCAAATAGTTCTGTACGAGTTGTCTGCAACAAGAGTTGTAATATTCAAAGATAAATTTATGTGAGTATTTAGCATAATATTTTAAATAATTTTCAAACATAGTACCTACCTTTGGAGGCAGATTAGTGACATATAATTTTCTGATAGGTATACCATCTTCTGTGTGGGTAGGAATATTTCTAAAACCATACGGCAAAATCTCGATATCACCAATCCCATCTGGAAAAACGCAGTACGTAAAATAAATGTAGGGTACCTGCACCGTTATACAAATAGGCTACGAAAAAATTAATTGTTGTATATCAAAATTTATATTACAAGTTATTTTAAAAATGTTCTATTTTAAATATCGAACTTGCTGAAATAATAATGTACAAAAAGAATACATACAGACTTCCCGACGAATGACCTGAAATATTTCGGGATTAAAAAATCTCTCTTCTTCACCGTCGAAGAGTGACATGATGTAAACGCTTTATTGCACAAAATAGATACCACCCTCAATTATATTAGTAAAAACATTCATAGAATTAATTATTAGACAAACGGATACAGAAAATTTCGAGTAAATAGTCAAAATAAAAACAGAAACAGAATAACGTAAATACAATCAACATATAACAGTCGTGTTATTTTTTTAAGCTCTGTCCGTGTTGCCAGATGCTATTTTTTTGCTTTTACCCAAATTTCGAATATTTTTCTCCAAATCAATATGGGTTTACTTTATTTTTATCCTCAGACGTATAATGATGAATTAGGCAAAGCATAAGATGAAAATATGAGTAACGTATTTTCCTTTTGCTCACTTCTATAAAACAAAAATTTCTGAATAAACTTACAACTTCTATTCCGGGTTGAGGAAAAAGCGCGGGAAACGTTTAAAAAAGCGGGAGTGTTTTTTGATCTTCTTTAAATTAATTTTATTTTTAATTATATAAGGATTAGTTTTATTTATATATTGTGTATTAGATTGTATATATAATTGTATATTTTGTAGTAATAGTGTTTGTTGCTGTAAATATTGGTAAGTAAATTACCTATATTAATTAGACATTATGGATCCACCTATAGACCCTGGGGGACAACCCCCCAGGTGTCTGCAAATATAACTATCCCATTTAATAATAGTTTTGATATATTGGGTGAATCTAGTATGGACACAGATGGTTCTAGCGTTGCAAGTTCTAAACGTAAGCGAGTACGTGGCGAACGTCGCATTTGCAAACATTGCAATAAAAAACGAAGGAGGCACACCAAAGGTCTTGAATCTAAAATTAAAGATAGTGATTGTCAATGTATTGAGGATGAGAATCAAACTCTAGTATCAATACCAGTTGTAAATAATACCGAGTCTGTTAAACCTGCTTCTCCACCCAGTACTTTAAGCAGAACTTTGTACAATGCCGAGGATGTAGCTCCTTATGTCGTTCATGTACAAAAAAATGAAACACATCCTAATGATAACACTACATTACATCCTATTGCATTTGGTCGCTTTTTACACACTAATAAGATAAATAATATAGTGAATGGTAGCCTCAAAAGAATAGGAAGAAACCGTTTATCGCTTTCTTTCTCAAATTTTGAAAATGCAAATGCATTTTTAAATAATAGTCACTTAGAAACACATAATTTTAAGGCATTTATACCTTCTTTCCATGTAACCCGTATGGGAATTGTGAGGGGTATTCCTAAAGATTGGACAGAAGAGGAAGTAATCCAAAATATATCAGTACCTATAGGTTGTGGGAGAATTCTAAAAACCAGAAGAATTAAGAAAAAGACCATTAATGAAGGACAACCAAGTTTTATTAATACTGAAACCATTGTTATTACTTTTGATGGACAAATATTACCAAAAAGAGTATTTATGTTTTACACATCATTAACTGTAGATTTGTACATTTACCCCACTATCCAATGCTATAACTGCTGTAGGTTCGGACATGTCAAGATGCAGTGTCGTTCAAATCCTCGGTGTTATAAATGCAGGCAAAATCATACAGGTGATAAATGTGAAGTAGATGAGGAAAATGTTTCTTGTATCTTGTGTAATGGTTCTCATTCAGCAATTAGTAAGAAATGTCCTGAATATGCACGTCAGAAAGCCATTAAAGAAACAATGGCCCACAGTTGTGTTTCTTATGCTGAAGCATCAAAATTTCATCCTCCCACTTCTAAACTATATTCAGATGTATTAACATCATCATCTCCGTCCAATAAATCTCATTTTCAATCTTCTTTCCTCAAAGAGAAATCATCATTACCACATATTCAATCATCACATAAAAAAACAGTTACACTTAAACCACGCTCTCCTCAAAAAGCACAACAAGGATATGATCGTTCTGCCCATGAAGCCATAGTTAAGGAATATAATATTCCTGCTCCCTCTAATGGTTGTGCATTATCATCAAATAATATTGACAATAATCAATCCATCTTTGATATTATTCTCATGCTTATTAAAGTGTTATCGCAATCGAAAATGATACAAACAACTTTACCACCGTCCAACGATGCCATTTACAATGTATTTTCTCAATTATTAACTTCTCACAATGGATTACAAAGTCCTAATAATTCAGTGGAACTGTCGTAGCATAACAAACAAGAAATCAGACTTATTTTATTTGATTAATAAATATAATCCTTTTATAATAGCTCTCCAAGAGACTTGGTTAAAGCCAGGATATCCTTTTAGGATTTCAGGCTTTACAAGTCTCCGTGATGATAGAGCTGACGGATATGGCGGTGTTGCCATATTGGTCAAAAACTCCCTTCCTTTTTCTTCTTTTTCGCTTCCTGTATATATATTATATGCATATATAATTATAAATGGTATCTGTTTTGTTATTTATATATTATATATATATATAATATATTCACAACTAGAACAATTATATATTATATTTTACCTAAACCTTTTCTCGTAATGGGCGATTTTAATGCTCAACACCAATCGTGGGGCAGTTCTACTTCTAATTTTTATGGTGGAAAACTCCTGACGATAATTGACACTTACAACTTATGTATTATTAACTCAGATGTACCAACACGTAGAACTGCACCGAATGAAGGGTTTAGTGCTCCTGACATTTCAATATGTTCTTCTGATTTAGCTTCTTCACTGTCGTGGTATCCTCATTCCTCTACTTTCGGAAGCGATCACTTTCCCCTCATTCTTTCTTTTCCAATTTCCATTCCCTCAAGTCGAAAGAGTGGTCCTCGGCTTAAATATAATTTATCAAATGTAGACTGGAATATTTACAAACAATATTTAGATAATAAAATATCGGAGTTACCTATTGTTTACCATGGAAATGAACATCAATGTTGTAATGACTTGATGATAAATATGAAGGAGGTTGCTGATTTATTATTTCCTGTTAAAAATAGTGCTTCAGGGAAAATTCCCTCGCCACCTTGGTGGGACAAAGATTGTACGGAAGCAATTAAAAATCGTAAAGAGGCTGAAAAAAATTATAATAATTACATGACACCAGAAAATTTTGAAATTTACACCGCAGTTTCACGTTCTACTCGAAAACTACTGAAAAAAAAGAAATTAGAAGGCTGGAGAAGATTTTGTTCTTCTATCTGTCCAGAAGTTAATTCATCAGTCGTTTGGAATAATATTAAAAGATTCAGATCTGCCTTTAGTGATCATACATCACGTTCTGCACTCGATTTAACTTTAGCGAATAAATTTTTAGATCGTCTTGCTCCTAGTTATGTGCCGGAATGCCTTTACAATATTTCTCTATCCGTCTCTGACGAATTATTCGAACTTGACTCTCCTTTTACTCTAGTAGAACTTAAAGGTGTTCTAGCTTCTATTAAAGACTCTGCACCGGGAGAAGACGGTATACCGTATTCCTTTTTTAAAAATGCTAGCGATGCGACATTAAGTTACTTTTTAAATATAATTAATTCCATAATTATATATATATATATACCTATATATATATATCATATTATTATACCATTTCTAAAGCCTCATAAACCACCTTCTGAACCATCTTCATACCGTCCTGTTGCACTTTCCTCTGTCTTACTAAAGCTAGCTGAACATTTAGTGAAAAACCGTCTAGAATGGTTTTAGAAAGTAATAACTTACTATCCCCGAACCAGTTTGGTTTTAGGAAAGGTAAGAGCACCTTAGATAATGTGAGCATTCTTATTTCAGATATTCATATAGCTTTCTCACAAAATTTGTCAATCCTCTCAGCCTTTTTAGATATAAATTCTGCCTATGATAATGTAATAATTTCTATTTTAAAAACTAAATTACAAGCTCTAAATGTACCGGTAATGCTTTCTAATTTCATTATTAATATTTTATCAGAAAGAACAATATATATGAATTTAGATGAAGATACCAAATTATCTAGAACAGTATGGAAAGGCCTTCCACAAGGATCTGTTCTCAGTCCAATCTTATTTAACATATACACATACGATCTAGAATTATTCCTTGATAAATCCGTCAAAATTTTACAATATGCTGATGATCTTTTATTATATTTTATTGCGAAGTCCATAGAATCTGCTTCTGCCAAATTATCTGATTCATTAGATTTGTTAAAAACGTGGTTAGATGCAAATGGTCTTAATCTTTCTGTAACCAAGAGTAGTGTAGTTTTGTTTTCAAGAATGAGATCACCGCAACAAATTAAGGTGCTTTATGATAACTCATACATTCCTATAAAGACTGAAATTAAATTTTTAGGTATCGTGCTAGATAATAAATTAACAGGTCTGTCCCACTGTAATTATATTTCTACGAAATGTGAGCGTAACCTCAACATTCTTAGGTGCCTTGCTGGAGTTTGGTGGGGAGCACATCCCGTTTCACTAAAACTTGCTTATAATGGTCTTATAAGGAGTGTCATTGATTATGGAACTTTTTTGTTAGCTCCAGGAAGTTCATTTGCTTTTAAGAAATTGGATTTAATTCAATCAAAGGCCTTGAGGATTATCTCTGGAGCAATGAAATCAAGTCCAATCAATGCTTTACAGCTCGAAGTCGGTGATCCACCTTTGGTTTTAAGAAGACAATATCTATCTGATCGCTTCTTTTTTCGTTGTTTACAATTATCTGATCATCCGCTTATTCAAAAGTTATCTCAACTACATATCTTTATTTCGTCTTCATCTTATTGGAAACATAAAAAACCTCCATGTTTAATACAAAGTTATGAAAAATATAAATCCATAGAATCTCCCACTTTTACATCGTCCTGTTTTCCCATTTATAAATGCTCATATCAATCTTTAGTTTTATCTCCTAATATTAAATATGATTTTGGGTTATTAAAAAATGATTCAGAATTGAATGCCAAATTTATGTTTATAACTGACATTGAATGGAATGAATGGCACTACATCTTTACTGATGCATCAAAACCAGACAATAGCGGTTGTGTAGGTGTGGGTGTGTTTCATTCACAATTTAATATCGTTCAAAAAATTAAACTTCCACCGGAGTCTTCAGTTTTTACCGGGGAATGTTATGGTATTTTAAAAGCTGTAGAATATATACTTTTAATGAAATTACATAAGGTAATAGTTTTCACTGACTCTATGAGCTCTTTGCAAGCTCTAGCCAAATATCCGTTTAAATCAAAACCAGTTTATCCCATTATTTGTGACATAAGACAAAGTCTTTATCTTTGCATGTTGAGAGGTTATTCCGTTTCTTTTGCCTGGTTACCAGGACACAGTGGTATTAGCGGCAATGACAAAGCTGACCTTATTGCAAGAGAGGCTGTAACTTGTGGTGATATGTATCCGTATCATAATTACTGTAGTGACCTAGCTTGTCTCCCAAAAATATATTTAAGGTATGCCTGGAAGGAATATTGGGAAAAAACAAGTACAATAAAAGGAAGATTTTATCGCCTTATACAACCCGATATTCCTTTCAAACCATGGTTTTGTAAATTAAAGCTTGGAAAGACCGCAACAACTATTATAACTCGTATGCGTCTAGGTCACGTATGCACACCTTCTCATTTATACAAGCTTGGTATTATACAAAGCTCGTCGTGTAATTGCGGTGCTGAAGTGGCGGACTTGAATCATATATTCTTCTCATGTTCTAAATTTGACCACACCTCCCTTTTTAATCATCTCCGATCCATCCGTGTTCCATTCCCAACTTCTATTCTTACTCTACTTTCTTCCAATGATCCTATTATCTATAAAATACTATCTTCATATATATATGATAACAATATTAAGATTTAGTTATATTACATGAATACATTTATAGTTGCATCAATTGCTTTTCCTATATATTTATAAGTATATTCTCATATGTACAAGTATATGTTTCATATCCTATAAATATCCTAGACCTAATCCTTATCCTTTCTAAATTCGTTTGTGTTAGGTATTTTTATTACTATTATCGTTTCCCCGTTTTGTTCTTGGCAAAATACCCTAATATCGGGGTGAACGCCACAAAAAAAGAAAAAAAAAAAAAAAAAAAAAACTTCTATTCCGAAATCTTTGCTTATAGTCTGGTGACTACTTGCTCTGTGCTACCCACAGATTATAGAGACTATCTCTAAAGATAAGGATTGATTAAACTGTCATTGGATATTAAAGATCTGTATTGTTTGTCAATCAAATAAACCAAATAAATATTTCCAATTTCCATAATAAAATTAAAACTCTCTCAATATAAAATTAATTATAAGAAAATGTTTTTTCTTATTAATTTTCATTAGTAGGCATTATTATAATTAATAGGTTAAATTTGAATTCGTAGGTAATCATACCGCTAAAATTTATCTATAAATCCGAAATAATAATATTACAGTTATCATTGGTGGTGTTTGCTCTTATTTTATTTTAAACAACATAGATATTCATTAAAATTATGCAAGACTCTAGAAAAAGAAATGTAAATAAGAATATTAGTGAAAAAAATAGCGTTGGCGAAAATGTATCTGAGAGGAAAAATAATGACATATCGTAAGATTTTCTATTTATTTTAAATTGTGTAAAATTCTATTTCTGTATAATGTGGTACTTAATTATATTCGCTACTTATTTTTTCAGAAGTTCGAAGAACAATAATTTATCATTGCGGGTTATTTCACGGAGTGTCGTCATATTTTCTCTTCTGATTATTGTATATTTTTCTTCTAATGACGATAAAACGAAGCCATTTGCGAAACAATCAGAAATATTAACAGGAAAAGGCCAAGTTATAGAATGCTCCTCTGACTATTTGAAGGAATTAGATAAATATGAGGGTTGTTTTCCCAAACAGTGTAAGAGATTTGTGAGCGATAAAGTTATATCAGAGAGAGAGGCAGATGAATTGCTTACAATAGCAAAGAAAGGCCTTCAGTTAGGAGGTTCATCTGGGGGTGCTTCTATACTGGATCTACATAGTGGTGCATTATCAATGGGAGAGCATTTTATCAATATTTATAAAATTGCTGCAGCTAAGAACACATTCTCAGAAAATGACTTCAATATTTACAGAGTACTATATAATTTACTTTACTAGTACTGTTTATTTTTAATATTTAAGTGATTAGATTTACATTTTTTATGTACATTTATATTGGACTTTATATTTACACTATTTAAGTATTAAGCAATAATATTAATTTAACATAAGTTACTTTTATTATTAGTAACTTATTTATTTATTTCTAATATACAGGTAGTAAAAGAGAAAGTAAAATATGCTGTGGCACATCATTTTGGGGTTAATCCAAATAAAATCTATCTGACTCATCCAACATTTTTTTCTGAAATAACTTCAAAAAAGTCAGTCACTGTACATGATGAATATTGGCACCCACATGTTGATAAGGTATATATAGTTATTTATTATAATATATATATATTTTTTAATTACCTATTAGAAAAATATATTTTTTATTCAATTATCTATTAGAAATAAGTACTCAACAATTATTTTTTTCAGGAAACATATAAATCATTCCACTATACCACATTGCTTTATTTGGGAGACTATAATAAAGATTTCAAAGGAGGTAGATTTGTATTTGTAGATGAAAATGTAAATAAAACTGTTGAGCCAAGAAAAGCTAGACTGAGCATGTTCACTAGTGGCAGTGAAAATCTACATTATGTTGAAAAAGTAACATCAGGTGTCAGATATGCTGTAACTATTTCATTTACTTGTGACAAACAACATGCTATAGAAAATCCTAGTACTGATAAATATAAAAATTAACATTCCATATGACACCTCTTTTTCTAAACACCTGTCAAGTACCTATTATATCCTTAAATTTTACCATTATCATCTCTTCAACTCCTATAGATATCTCCACTGCTGAACATATCAATACAGAAACTTTGTGTTTTTTTTAATTAAATTATATATATATATATATATATATATATATATATATATATATATATATATATATATATAATATATATATATATATATTTCTTATATCATGGTCCTATATAGATGCCTGTATGCAAAAACTTTAAATAACTCAGTGAGCTATAGCAAGGGCTATGCTCAGAATTTAATTGCATGACAGAATCCAAAATGATGTTATCCACAAAAGAAAGAAAGTTACTAACATAGCTTGAAGGATAAGCAAGCAGAAGGCTATATGGAGTGATGGCCCCAAATGCATTGCAGGGAGTCAGAAAATGTAGATAGCTCAAGACTGTTCCTTATAGCATTCTATGGAGGTGGCTTATGTTCAGCAGTAGATAGATAACGGTTGATGTGCTGATGATATACTTTTAAAATTTTATTCATATTTTATTATTATATATATTAAAATATCTATAATTTATGGAGTTTGATTTTAGAGATTTTTTTTTTATTAATGGATGAAAATTGAAATGAGAAAAAATAAATAAGGATAAAAGTAGGTCAGTTAACCCATTATGACGAATTTCACAAGAATTAGCCACAACAACAAAAAAAGAGCGCGTGGAGGTTGATCTGATAGGATAAATCATTAGTTGCATGTATAGTTAGCGTATAGGGCTGCTAGACCCTATACGCTAACAATTAGTGTCCGACCGAACTTTCGGTTTCGGGCAGAAATTCTACTTCTAGTTTCGGTTTCGGCCAAAAATTTGCTGAATCTCGCGGACGCACCGAAACTTGTGTGTAACTAAAAATTGATTTTTTTTTTTAATTTACTTCCAAGACTAAGTAATAATTTTAACATGTTTTTACATATAAATATATACGACAGATTTGTTACATACTTTAATTAGTTTTTATTATTACCCTTTAATTATCTGTGTGTTTGTGTAAAAAATACACTAGATTTCAGTAGTGAGAATAGCCCATCGTGACGAAATCCACAAGATTAAAATAGCGTGGATGTCGATCTAATAGGGTAGTTTGCTAACATTGAGGCTATTAGACTCTATTACTAACCTTATTATTACCACCAAAAATTACATGTCAGCAATATATATATATATATATATATATATATATATATATATATATATATATATATATATATATATATATATATATAAAAAATTGTGGCAAATTAAAAAGTAGGCCTCCCGTATCGAGGGATTTTGGTAGTTGTAGCCACGGTTAGCAAATTTGGCAACCGCAGTTAGAATTTAGTGATGTTCTAAGCTTGTTCTTAGGTTTTAATGCAGCTACCCATCACTGGACCATTAAGTTCCTTTTGTCGCCTCTTACGACACCCACGGGTAAGGAAGGTGGCTTATTCAATGCCAGTAGCACAAGGTCAACATATTTATTTATCAATTAATATTAATTAATTCTATACATATGATAAATATGATATACACATAGATATAGAAATGATAATTTTTTTTTTTATACTGAAACATCACAGGATACCTAGAAAGAAAGATATAAAGGGCTATGCACTTTCACAGATTTTGTTTTTGACGGATGCACTCTATGCCGTGCTATATGAATAGAAAAAAAACATACTAGGAAGAATGCTGGGACAAGAACACTACTATAAGCCAGCGAATTTTGCGTACGCGGAGCTCCACGCTCTCCTCACATACCTAAGAATTGGAATAATCTGGTTTATAGTATATTGAAAGAACTTTCTTTATATCTATTCCATAATAACATTAATCTCAGAGTAGATAACGAAATACTCGATCTGTGGCAAATATGGCTTTATAATCATATTCTTTTGCTGATAGGTGAGTTAAAGGGAACCAAAAAAATTTTTATGAATGAAACCAAAACAAAATAAAATCGTTTTGCTATTTTTTAATAAATTATTTAAAAACAAAAAAACATGTCTTACACTATTATTTTTTGAAAAGAAAAATTTCTTGTGTTCCCAGACTCCTCATCGCATCTATTGGATCTAAACAAATTATAGTTCTTGCATTGCTTTGAAATAAGTAAGTGATTGTACGAAAATATCTTCCTTTTTTCTTTTATTTGAATTTAATGGCTTACATTAATGATTCATTTTTAAATTTATAGTTTTAAATGGACGGGTCTCCAGTTGAACATAGTGGCAGCGATTCGGATTCGGGCGAAAGTTGGACAATACTGGAGGCTTCTCCAGCGTATGCTGATGAATTACCCGAATTACCAGAAAACGCTCCAGTTCCAGAAGGTGTACCACGTAACAGGTAATTTAATCCACCTTTCAGATATTTTGCTAATTTCTAGATTTGATTTAAAAAAATAGTTCAGTTAGTAAATGTAAACTTCATGACCTTGACTTGCATAATTATTTTAGCCTTAACAACATATTAAATTTAAAACGCAATACCTAATCATATGTTTATTCAGATGTTTATGTAATGTTCCAGTACTTTTTGCAGACTTATGGTAAATGTTTATCAGTAGTCAGTTTAGGTATGTTTTCACTTGTAGTATAAATAAATAGTAATGAGATGGATTGCAAAAAGTTAATTGTTCTTGAGGTTGATAGTACAACCAGATGTTACATTAGAGGTATTAATACTATTTCTAATATAATGTCTGGTTGTACTACCTACAATATAAAACATATTGTGCCACCTCTCAAATAATAGGATAAAACCCAGCCTTTATTCTTTATTAGAAATATTTTTGTGGTCCATACTCACTTCTCCAATATCCATAATCATTACCTTTCACACAATTTATAGATTTTTGTTTAAATATTTTAAATGAAAATAAGGTATTAAGAATAGAAATTCCTTTGTGATAGATTGCTATGTTAATAATACTATAGAAATACTATATACTCTAAAAATGAAATTTAAGTAGTGTATATTTTTTTTAACAATATGAAAATAGAATAAGTCCATCTGCACTATCATTAGTGATGAATTCACCAGGAATCACACAAGCATAACCCAAAACACCCAAACCTGTATCAATTCAGAAAAGTTTATATCTAAATTGGCTCAACTGGGTAATAAACCTGGGACCTAATTTATGTAAAGCAATGTGGAAACCACTCTGAGGTCAATTAACTACAGCAATTTCTAAGAGGGACTATATGGAGGTTGAATTGTTAAAGCTAATAGCTCCTGCTAGCAAAGGAGCTTTTAAACTCCATTACTAACAATCCCTTTCTTCAGTGCATGGTGGCTGTTATGCACTGAAATAGTTTTGTGTTTCAAGTTAAATGAGGGCACTATAAGTCGAACAGCAAGCTATGTCTCTACACAGCTTATTGAGGGCCTTACTTAGATTTTCATTCTGTTATAGAATTTAACAACATTTAATTATTACAAATTTGATGATTAGATGAAAATTAATGTCAGTTGATGAGAAAACTTCCTTCAAACCATAGAGATGGCTATTAAAAAATTTATAACTATTGGTTCATATAGATCATAAATAGAAAACACAATTCTTTTTATGATCTATATGAACTTCAATTCAAAACAGCAGTTATGCTTTTATATACATAAAAAACATAAAAAATATATTAAATTTTTTTCTAATATTTTGCAGTTTTATTCTATGAAAAAAGGCATATCTATAGGTTTGTAAAATAATTTTGCTTATAAATAATGCTTGTCTATGTTTGGAAATTACTAGATTGTTTTATTAGAAGTAATAACTCATGTCATAATAAAAGCTCAAAAACTATTAAAAGTTCATCCAGACAGGTTTAATGTCCACACAAACATTGTGTTGTCTGAGGTTGGAGAGTTGCCAATATGTTATGTTAATGACTTGCAGTATCTTTTGTTCCTTTGTAAAATACAGAAATATCACTGATTACTTGTTACTATATTTATATCTTTAAAATGAAACTTCTTCACATTGAAGTACATAAAAAGTTTTTTAAAATTTCATACTACAAGTGAACAGATTTTTTTATTAGGAGAGGAAAAATATAGAGGGAAAAATTTGATTAAAAATTTTTGTTCTTAAAAATAATACTATTTTAAATAAAACTAGTCAAGTGCAAGTTGAACTCACTTGCTAGGTTTCTTATACATAAAATTATCTGAAGAAATAGATTATTTTTATAGATATACATCATATCATTTATTTGAATATGTATATATATGAATTAAAATGACCTTATATACAATTATGTTTATTGTTTTTTTATTAAAAATATGGTTTTACAATGTTCAAATTATACACTTTCATATCATGCCCTCCTAGGTAAATTTTAATTTTAAGGATAGTGAAGGTTTCAGATTTGAATTCACATTCTTTGTACCTAAAAGTTGGGGTAGTGTACCACTAGGTACACTGTTATTATTGGATTCTGATCTCCTTTTTGGCAGTTATTTTTGCAATTTTTTCTTTAAGCAATATGGAATGGCAAAAAACTGACGTCCCACCTAATGGAATGTGGTAACCATCGCCTATAGACATAACAGAGTATACTGTTTCACCCTTTATACTCCCATGCATTGCCATTCCTGAGGACTAAGATGTTATGTCTCTGTACCCTGTAAATTCATTGCCATATCCCACCCTTCAAACCAAAACTTCAAACCATGCAAACACAACTGTTTCACAGTTGAAACATAAATAAGACAGAGGTACCCAAGAAAATGGCTTTTGTATAAAATCTCCCTCTAATGTTATTTCTCATATAAGTATTTTTCATTAAGTAAAAAACAATTTGTTGTGAAATAAAACTATTTCTATTGGTATAGCGTAGGTATGTATAGCTTTTTTATGGATTGTTTAACTTTATACAATTTTCTATTTATTGGGTTATAAAAATAAAATTTTGTATTGATACATATGTAACTGTTATGTTTTTATTTTTCAGGGATACTATTGAAATAAGCTGTGAGAAAGACGAAGATACTGATGGGATATCTATTATTAGTGACAGTGATCCAGAATCATCACTTCCCTGTGAATTGAATTGTCAGAAATGTCTTTTAGAAGAGAATCATCCGACAGATCAACAAAATGCTCAGTATTTTTCGATAAACCCATTACCTTCCGATAATGCTCATCATGAATCTATAAAGGATGAGGAAGATTTTCTTGGAGACAATGCTAGGATTCATAAAACATATGTACACCGCAGAAATAAGAGACTAAGCACAGTTCTTAACATAATAGTTTTAGGAAGTGTTATTACAGCAGCTGGTGTAGCTATTGGTCATATGTGGGGTGCTAAAAATGATTGCACAATGCAAAGTACACCCTCTGTTAATAAAATATTGTCTAATTTATATAAACTTCAAGAAGAAAATGCTTACTTGCGTAATAAATTAAAAGAGCTGACATTGATAAATAATTTACAAATGCAACAAAAAAAGTCTGGTTCAGAAAAATGGTTGAAACAACACAAATGTAAAAAAGTTTTTGAAGAGTCATTGGGTAATAGAAATGTTGAGAAATACACAAAGTGTGTTGATATTGATAATAGTGCAAAGGTACAACCACATATTGTAGAACCTGATTATGAAAAAGATTTTTTAAGTGATATAGAGCAACTCAAACTAGTTTATGAACACAACAAAAGTTGGTTAGATGAAGAAATATCGAAAAGAAACAACAAGAAAAAACAGACGGCTGATAAACTTAAACATGATATAATAGAAAACCTAGAGACTAAAACGTTTAAAGATAAAAATTTAGAGAGACAATTGGAAACAATAACTGAAGCCCCAAATTTGGAAAAGATTACATTAGAATCACTGAAAAGTAATTCATTAAATGTTTCTGGAAGTAGTAACTTTAAAACAGAAAAGAAAATAAGTTATGCTGATTCACTTCAGATGGAAACTAAAGGAAAAGTAATTGACAAAAGGGACATTAATATACATGATGAAAATATGTTAAAAGAATATCCATATAAACACAAAGCAAAGAAAATACGTGACTCAGTTTCTGAATACTCTGTTAGTGATGATGAACTAAAGAAAGATGATAGATATATAGCACCGAAGCACAAACAAGAGAGAAAGAAACATGATCGTCAGAAATCACACAAAAAACAAAAAAGAAAAAATAAATATGAGCAATGGGAAATGAAGGGGGGGTATATAAAAGACTATGATGTTTCATCTATATCGTCATTTCAGGATATAGAAATAGAAAATATATTAAACAATGAAGAAAAACACAAAATAAACGATGATAAGGATAATGTCGGTAAATTACCTGAGAGTGATGAAAATATCCAATATGCATCTTCTGTCAAATCTATGGTAAAAGAAGGGAAAAAGGTTATAAAAGGTAAAAATAACAAAGAAAAGGATACAACTTGGTTTGATAATAGAGCTTTACTTCGAATGGAGGCCAGAAAGAAACTCCATTTTGACCTTTTTGGTGAAACAAGTCCAAATACAGCTGGGTGGTATTTCCGACGCATGCAACGTCGAGAACAGTGTCGATCCAAAGGCGATAACAGTACACATAAGAAATTTATGAAACGTAATATGAATTTTAAAACAAAACATTAAACTAAAATGACTTCTAAATGAAACGATCCAAGCTATTACTCTATTGATAACAAATGCATTAAGTGAACATAAGATGGTTATTTTCCTGTCAAAGACATATTCATCATCATAATTATTATTAAAATGAATTTTGAAATAATTGGTTAGACATTTTTGGATCCCAGACATTACTTGGTATATTAATAATTTTTGAGTCTGTGCTTAATAGCTTTATTGAGGTGTGCTTAAAATTCATCTAACTTCGTCAATTCTCTATTTCTATGCATCTACATTCTATTGTGTAGTATTATTAATGTTTATGATTACATTATTATCTTTTAGCTTTAATGTTTGATAGACATTCTTTAAAGATTAATGTATTTATATATACTATACAAAAACATTATTTTGTAACTCATTATTACTCAGTGAATTTGATTATTGTTAACAACCTTACATATTTAAACTGATATATATTACATTACAGTTTGATGTATCTATCGGTTAGAAAACAATGTGGTTAGTGATGAACTGTAAATTATTATATTATTTATAGTTTTTAAACTTAACAAGTAGCACTTTGTATATATATTCAATAACACTATTTATAGATATGTCCTTGTTGGACTACTGAAGTATAGACACAGTATTACAATATTTCCCTACAGCAGCACAAGTACCTACGTTGAAAGATAGCGTCACCTGTGTAGTTTTACTGTTTTATGTGCACATACAATTGTTTAAATAACTATATTATACAGTATAATATTATTACTCTTGCCTCGACAGACCTAAAAACAGGTTTATATGAGAGCTATTCTCAAGTACATAAGTAAGTACCACAAATATAACTGTCTGTGATCATATGTTCAGTTATTTTTAAAATACAATTTTCCAGATAATTATAAAATACTGATGGTTTTTTTTTATAATTAAAATTCTGTGATAGCGAACTGAAAAATTACACAGTATATTCATACTGCGTAACTATCTATTAAACAATGCTTAAAATTTTGGATTTTGATCTTTAAAAATATTTGGAAACTTCAAAAGTAAAAAATGAAGTAATTGCTATATTTTTAGTAGTATATTTATGTGTAACCTACTATGATTAACATTTTAATTCACTATTAAAGAGAAAATAACATCGACAAACAATGCAGATGTCGCTATGCTATGTACGCTGAACACATACTTTAGGGTATTACAATGTCAAATGTATAGGATTATAGCTATATCACTTTTGTAGTTATTGATGTATTTTGAATATCTTTCTAAAGTTTTGCAATATCTAGTATTATTTTTGGTAGCTTAAGACTAACCTAGTAAGATCTGCTCTTGTTTCTATCCTGTGCATAGATATTAAGCTGTGCCCAACTAGGGATTGCAAAACTTATAGCGTTTACAAATTATTATTCTGATTGGGGCTTTGTCTCTTCTTACCGTCTTTTTATAATAAAATCATACCCCTTGACCTATTTTGTAATATTAACGACCAACCTGCAGAAAAACGGTGTAGGTACCTTGGAATTTTACTCATCGGACACATCTATAGTTAAATATCAAGTACTATGGTTTGACATAAATTAATAGATTTAGAAGTGTTTTATAATGAAGTATATATTTTTGTTGATAAAATATATATTGGTATTTCCTCTGGACCAAAATAGTTTCTATTGGCCCAAGAAAATTTTCTTTGAATTCAAAGTTTTCTCTTAAATGAAATGGTTTTTGTTATATAAGAAATAAAAAAATGATACTGATTGAACTGATAAAGATTGGCTTTTAGTACTTTGACTTTATAAGTATATATACTTAATAGCTTATAATTTACACTTTGTCGCCTTTACATATTTTATATTAGGTGATATTTTATTTTCTAAATCCAGAAGTACCTAATAATAAATATAAACTGTTAATGCTGTTTTATTTAACACCGTTTTTCAGGCAAATTAATAAAAAAAAAAAATATTGACTAATGTCAACTTACGGTAACAGTGGGTTGTCTATCCATCTTATTCAAATAGAATTTGTAATTGCCAGAGTTATTATAGTAATTCATTGGATGATCGTTTTAAAGGCAAAATTAATTAATCTTAACAAAATTTTGTACGGAATCGACCAATACAGAGTAGCAGTCACAGATGTCGTGTTTACAAAAAATACAATCTCAAATTGGAACTGTTTGATACAACATTAATAAATACGCCGGTTGGTGATGCAGTTATAGTATTTAATAAATTTATCGGTTTCAGTTTTACTTAAATAGATACAATAAAATTTGCAGAGCAACAATAAGAGTTTTGTAGTAGTATAGAGTCACACAGAGGGCGTCTCAACCGCGCCATTAATATAAAAATTTGCAGGGTATTATGGTGACCGATGCGCTGTATTATTATACACGGCCTACCCGCTATGTTCATGCTGGTCTGCCATTGCAGAGCATGTATTAGTGTCAACAGGAACCTATTTGAAAATACTTAGCAATAAAACACCAATTGACCAAATACATCGTTTTAATATGTAACAATCCAGATCAATAAGATAGTCCTTTTTTTCTGTACGATACTTGTATGAGAGATGTATATCTTCATCTCGCATTTGCAATGGCTCTTGTCATTTATATAATATGTATATGATTTCATCTAGATTACATATACGCATAAATTAATCATCTCCGATCGCCCCACTAAATACTAAATTTATTGCAGCATTTACATCACCTGAAAAAAAACAAAATTCTATAATACTACAAATAATTCTCAGTGATCCTTATTGTTTGTTACAATTTAGCGCCTAAACAGATCTACCAATCGTAATGATATATATTATAGTATAGTAGTCTCTGAGGTGAAGGACATATCGTCATAGTTGTAGAATACCTACTGACGGATCTACATATATCTATACTTATAATAAATCTGTAGAGAGGTCAATTCTATACATAAAATATATTTCCAAAATAACTATCAGGGGGTGATTAGTGATCGATACTGATGCCAAAAATGCAATTAGTAAAATTTATGTCTATCTGTCTGTATATTCGTTATAGAAACAAAAACTACTCGACGGATTTTATCGAAACTTGGTACAATTATTCTTCATACTCCTGGGCAGGTTATAGTATACTTTTCATAACGCTACGATCAATAGGAGTAGAGCAGTGAAGGAAAATGTTGGGAAAACGGGAGAAGTTACTCCATTTTTAAGCTTCCATCGCGTGTGCAGCCTTAATGGCCACTTTTTAAAATGTAAAAATGTCCACCCGTGCGAAGTCTGAACGGGCCGCTAGTATGTATATGTATTTAATAAAAAAAAATGTTTATTAGTAGTCTGAACACAAGTTTAGTTTGAAACTAGAGATGTTGTTATACCCAGTAATAATAATAATAATTTCTCAAATTCCATGTTCGTTAGATTTCTGAAATAATCGACTTGTTTGCAACAAAATTTCAACATAGCATGACATAAAAAACAAAAAAGGGGAATATTTTGTACATAAGAGGGGGGGGGGGCTCTTATTTACAAAATATTCTCCTAAATATTTATTCAGTTATCGAATGATAATGACTAAATAAATTAGTATATAAATAAAATAATAGTATTCGTGTAATAAATATACAGTACAGTAATATTGTCATTTATCTATCGCAATAACAATACCAGATGGACGAAGTACATATACAGCTAATATCCACAAAGTCTCAGCTCTTGCAATTACTGTGAATAGATACCGTGTGGTCCCGGCATAGAATAGGCGACCCCTTCTTTACCCGTGGATGTCGTAAGACCCGACTAAGGGAGGGCGAGGGATAGGCAGCAGCATCCCTCTTAAAACATCTCTAAAGTCTAACTGCGGTTGTCAATCCGCTTGCCAAGCGTGGCAACTACTGGTAAAACCTCCCAAGGGGGAGGCTTATGTTTAGCAGTGAACAGTTAAAGGCTGATGTGATGACGCGCATAGGCCTTGCTATGAGTCGCTGAAACCTCATAGAATAGAAATCATTTATTCAAATAAACTTACATTGAAGCACTTTTGAAAAGTCATTACATTTTTTTTAATTTACCGCTCGTTCGGAAAGCTGTCTCATCACAAGAAGAACGAGCAAGAAACTTGCGTGATGCTCTTTTAAATAATTTTATTATTATTTTACATTTTTAAGTTTAATTGTGTGAATACAAACCACCAATTAGCACTAATTCAATTAAATACTCAAAAAGAAAAAAAAAATTGAATACATAACCAACTGGTTAAACAATTAATAAGAGGAAATCAGTCATAGTGATTAGAGCAGACCAGTCCCTACAAGCAGCACCCGTTCACGAGTATGACGGATGAGCCAGCCATCACTGCGCTCGACCATATTTTAGGGAGCCCAATGACCCGGCCCACCACGCCGCCACAAGTCTGGACATTTTAGTGAGCATGACTACTCAAAACACTAGACCACGTCAAAGCTACTCACAATTGCCATCTGATAGTTACAGTATTCACATTTTACATAAGAATGCATGCGGCAATTAATACAAAAAACCGCTACGCTTTCATATTTCTAAAATTAATCAATTAAATCAAGAAAGCAATGAGAAAATAAAATTATAACGTTGTATGCTAATAAACTAATTATTTACTTGATATGTTGTCATCTATGAATTCGTCTATCCTGTAATAGGCTTTCTTACATAAAAATTGTTTAATATAAGATTTGAATTGCCTCTCTGTCAGATTTAATGCAGATTCCGGCAGTTTATTATAAAATCTTATGCAATTACCATAGAATGAATTACTGATTTTGTGCAGACGGCATTTAGGTAAAATAAGCTTATTTATATTGCGTAAGTTTCTACTTGTACAGTCTTTGAGTTTTTTAAAACTCGCTAAGTTCTTCCGTGTATACATAATATTTTCATAAATGTATTGTGAAGTAACTGTGAGGATATTTGAGTCTTTAAAGCACTGACGTAATGACTCTCTTGAACCCATACCATAAATAGAACGTATGGCTCTCTTTTGTAAAACAAATATAGTATTTATATCGGCTGCTTTACCCCACAGCAGTATGCCATAAGACATTATGCTATGGAAATAACTAAAATATACAAGTTTAGCCGTCGCCACGTCTGTTAATTGCCTAATTCTTCTAATTGCATATGCAGCAGAACTGAGTCTACTGGCCAATTTTGAAATATGGGGCCCCCATTGTAATTTCGAGTCCACTGTTATACCTAAAAAAACTGTATCATTAACAAAATTTACTATTTCGTCATTAAGCAATAACTGTGTATTTATTAGTCTTACATTAGGAAGTGTAAATTTTATACACTTTGTTTTGCTGGAATTTAATAATAGGTTATTACATGTAAACCAATTTAATATTGCAGACATAGCACAATTTACATCGTCTAATTGATTACTTTGACGTCCAATTTTAAACACTAACGAAGTATCATCCGCAAACAGCACTATATCTGCAATTTTCTCTACCATAAAGGGAAGGTCATTTATGTAGATTAAAAAGAGAAAGGGGCCTAAGATTGACCCTTGTGGAACGCCCATCTTAATATTAGCTCCCTTAGATTTTACACCGTCAATATCTACAGTTTGAACCCTATCCTCTAAATAAGTTCTCATTAATTTTAGATCATTATCTCTTATACCATAATGTTCGAGCTTGTACAAAAGCGTTTTATGATCCACACAATCAAATGCCTTTGATAGGTCACAAAAAACTCCGAGTGCATCCTGTGACCTCTCCCAAGATTCGAAAATATGTGTCATTAGCGCAACACCTGCGTCAGTGGTAGACTTGCCGGCGGTGAAACCATATTGCTGACTGTGAAGCAGTCCGTTAACCCTGAATAGAATAATATATAAGTACATATTTACCTGAACAAATAAGTAAAGCGCGAACATTGAGGGCATCATCTAACAGCCCCATTTCATGCATATGTTGTAACTGAGCTACAAAGTCTTCGTCTCGTGCTACAGGACTTTGGGATGACGAGGCTAATAAAGAAAGAAATACATAATAAATATAAGAATTGCTAAAAACAATAATCATATTGTTATCCATAGTCTGTCAAGAAATTGACGGACTATAATAAAACAAAATAAACGAGATATATTATTGAAATATGAGAATATCTATTAATTACCAGAATGAGATTTTGTACAAAAGCCGTTTGCTTAGGTATTTCTATCATCGTTTCCATTTGTGTTTTTACCGTGAAGCAGTTATGTTTGCATAGCTGTGTTTCGGTTTGAAGGCTGGGATATGGCAGTGAATTTACAGGGAATAGAGGAATAATACCCGAATCCTCAGGAACGGCAACGCATGGGGAGTATCATGAGCAAAACAATATACTCTGTTATGTCCACAGTACTGCTCATGTCTATAGGTGACGGTTACCACTTTCCATCAGGTGGGCCGTCAGCTTGTTTGCCATTCTAAGTTACATAAAAAAAATTACTTTTGAGTGACTGAAAAAATTCTAAGAGATGGTATATGATTTTCTTAGAATTTTTATTGAAATAATGTTGACTTTAAATTGATTTATTTTATTCGATACATATAAGTAGTATTATGATAATAACCTGCAGTGCTTTGTTCCATCGGTGTGTCCGCAGATTCTCTAGTGCTGCTTCCTCTGTTGGAAGCAATCGCTTCCGAAATAGCATCTCTAAACATTTCAGGTGTTATTACGGAACGGCTTGTGCCTGAAAATATAGTATAAATAGCATAAATGTACTGCTCTCGTTTTGAATAGTCTACATTTTATCCTAGTCAATCATTAGTAGTTGTGTTTGTGCGTTGAAATAGTCACGCGCAGGCACAGTTAGTAATTTGTTATTTTTCTAAACAAACTAAATGACCCTGAGAACGTCGTATCGCCTACAACGCGTCTATTCTAAGTAATTGAAATTCGCGTAGAAAAAATAAAAAAAAAAAAAACATTCAAATCACTCGAGCAGTTTTTTGAGTTTTAGAAATACTAACGAACAGCAATTGTTTTATATATATATATATATATATATATATATATATATATATATAAATATATATAAAACAATTGCTCGTTTATCTGTTTACAGATGATTGAGTAACAAACATCCAAACATGTTTACAAACTTTCATAATATTATTATGTACAAAACAGGCGTATTTTGGGTGGGGAGGGGTGCCGTTGTTTGGTTGTTATTGAATGATAACCCCGTCTGCACTATCAGTATACTGGGCATTAGTGAGTGGATATAGGTGAGGATGAAACTAGGTCAATTAAGCCATTGTGACGGATTCAACAAGAATTAATTAAGATGGTTTCCAGAGGGAATCATGTGGAGGTCGACCTAACAGGATGTATAGGGGGGAAGGGTTTGTTAGTAATTGGGAGGTTAGTCCCCATTTATCAATATACCCTATCAGGTCAACCTCCACGCGGTTCCCCCTGGAAACCATCGTGACTAATTTATCGTTGAATTCGTCACAATGGGCTAACTAACCTGATTTCATACTCATCTATCATCCCTCAATGGTGCCCAGCCAGTGTATACCCATAGCGCAGGTGGGGATACCATTCCATTTTCACCCATCAAAAAACAGGGTGTATAACTAACATTGAGGATTAACATCCTCTTTACTAACAATCCATATCCCCCTGCCATTATCTGATACCCACCCCAGAAAGTGAGTAGAGCTTTCAACTATGGATAAAGCCATATCTAACAGGTTCCTCCTGAAAAATAATCTTAAATAAGCCATTGTGTATGATGCTATTAATGAATGAATCCAAAGTGTTCGTTATTCTTTCATGCAAAAACTACTGAACAAATTTGAATGAAACTTGGTGCATTAGTAGGTTATATCCCAAATAAGTACATAAAATGTGATACACGCGAGTGAAGCCATGAGATATATCTACTGTGTAATATGTGTAGTGGTAAAATAAATTATATTCTTAGTCTCTATTTACCTGAAGCGGTTGGTGTGCCCGTCTCCGTACCAGACGAAGTACTGCGAGTAGATTGATCTGCAGCTTGGAGCAGCCGTAACAGGCTCTCTTGACCACTACCTCTGCTGGTTGATGATGATACTGCCTCTGTAGCGGCCTGCAACATGTAAATATTATAATATGTACCTTCAGTATGTCACATTATGATCATATGGAGAGAAACCAGATTAGATGTAACTGAAATTATCAAAACTGAACAGAGAGTAGAAGATAAGGTGTTGGTATTACCCTACTGTTCTTTATATTTATCATCTTCTTCATTTTACATAACTGTAACCATAATAGAAGAACATAACTGTTGTTTAAATGCTTATACCTTTGAGGCACGAGGTCTCTTAAACCATGAGGTCTATATCCTTCTTTCTATACTTCTATACACCTTAACCAACCTGTAAAGCAGCTGCTAACTGTTCCTGTGTAATTGGATTCCTCTCGCTTTCTTCATTGTCATCCTCATCTCCATCTTCATCTTCAGACAAAGCCTCTAGAGAATATGCAAAACCAGATGTTGGCACTGCAATATAATATATATATCTTAAATGATGAATTCCTACAGACATCACAATTTGTCATATTTGAGGCTTAAAACAATTCTATTTGTATTTCTCTTTTTGTGTATAAATTTGACTGTCAAAATTATTTAGAGTGATTAAATTATTACCATTGTCGTTAGTCGATGCTGTACTAGAGCGTGCTCGTACAAGACGTGTCAGGTGGCGTAAAGCAGCTGGGAGTTCTGGATGGGCATTTGCACCTCTTCGCATAGTCTGTTCATTTGCACCTAATGCTGCTAACAGTTCAACTTCATGTAAAATGGATAACATGACACAGTCTTCTGCTAGAGATGGTGCTTGCTCCATAATTTCGGCCATTGCAGACTCATCATTAAGCAACTGAAAATGATAGATTGCATAGGTACTTCTAGCTGTATTCCTGTAGGTATTTAGTTTAAATGGGTGAGCCATCTTTTAAAGTTACCAAACTCATCTAGAACGTTTATTTTCAGAATGATCAGTCAAAACAGGGCTAAGTATTCATTTTAAATTATTGGTTGAGCTGAAAGTGACATTTATTTCCAAGCTAGAGCAGTTGACAATCATACAATTCCCTTCATACAATTCCCCCTGGAAATCATCTTGACTAATTTATCATTGAATTCATTATAATAGGCTAACTGACCTGTCTTTTCATCATCACCAATAATCCCTCAGTGGTGCCCCATCAGCATATACTGATAGCTCAGGTGGGGATATTATTTCATTATCATCCATTAAAAAAAGAATTATCACTATTAGTATTGATTTCTTCATTTTATAACTTGGCAAAAGCTAATGTCAACTTAAAAAGTCAAAGCCAAAAAACAAAAATAAATATCCTGATAGCAATTTCAGCTTTTGTTACCTGCATAGCTCTAGTCCAGCCAGGTGCATTAGGAGTGCATCCCAAAGTCCTCAATGATGTATTCAACTGATGTATTTCAGAATCGGTGAATGTTGGAGGAGGAAGCAAGCTTGACGGAACCTTCTTCTTTACAACATGAATCATTTCCCCATTTTTCACACCACTATCTTGAAGAGTGACATCATCTTTGAGTATTTTTCCATGATGTATTAATTCTACAAGAAGCAGGATTTTGCATTGACTATCATTAATTATCATATACTTAGATAATATTTAATGCAATAATGTTTCTACATTAAACATAAAGAATGAATGAAGGCTTTAGAGAACTTCTTAAAGTAATTCTTCTTATTAGGTACATTGTATGATTAAGGTAAGGCCTATGTTCAGAAGTGGACCTTTAATGGCTGATATAATGATGATGATTGTATGATTAAGGACACCTAATCAACAGATTTTTCTGAAATCAAGGTAAAGATGCTGGCTTCAAATATTGGCAAACAAATGTTTATGATAAATGCTGGTGTTTGCAGCCTCATCACTTATATGAGATTAAATTCTAACAGATATCAACGTATTTAAAATTATTTTCCAACGGAAACTTAACATCTTAAAAGAGGAGCATGTCCATTCTTAGACATGAGTTTACGCATAGCATAAAGCTACATTCGCATTACACGGGCATCAAACTATGATGGGAAAGGATTAACGTATTATTAACGAATATACTTACCAAGAGATGCAGATGGTATATTAGCTTTCTTTTCTGCTTCTGTTTTTAAATGTACCACAGTATTATCTAGACCAAAATTCTCCAATTTAATGCGTTCTATTGGTCCAGGTTTTACTTTTATTCCCAAAAACAGACAAGTTTGAGTTTCCATTGTTTAGAAAACGGAAAAAGTTCTTACTATAAAATACAAAGAAAAACTCGCGAAAAAAGCTTGTTTTCACCAATTTTTTATATAATTTTTGGTTTCTTATTAGCAGAATAATATTTGTTTATAATGACAAGGTATAATTTGAACCACAGATTAGAGAGACTATGTTGGCCTTCTGTCTTCTAAATCAAGATTGTCAGATGCAATTTTTTATTTTTGCCAAAATATCAAATGTTTTTCTGGAAATTGACAAAATTTCAAGAATTTTTACCCCATTACATACTTGCATCGTTTTTCAATTCGTCATGCCATGTAGTGAAGTGAACGACGACAAACCCTACTTTCAATTTTACTATTATTTTATCTTCTGCCTCCTTCTCTTAATTCTTTCTCTGTTTGCATTACACACATTTTATTGTATTTATGGATCTCCATAGCCTTCATAAACACCAAAACTACCCATAAAAATTACCCAAATTTTATTATTCAAACCGGTACAGGACTTTTAACAAATCAGAAATTTGCATCGTTTTCACTACGTTTTATCATGTTTCATAAAATGAACGAAAAAAGAGAACACCAGAGGGAGACTTTGTACAAAAGTCGATTGCTTGGGTACCTCTGTCCCACTCGTGTTTCAACCGTGAAGCAGTTGTGTTTGCATAACTGTGTTTCGGTTTGAAGGGTGGGATATGGCGTGAATTTACTGGGTACAGAGGAATAACACCTGAGTCCTCAGGAATGGCAACGCATGGGGGGTATCATGGGCGAAACAGTATACTCTATTATGTCCATGGTACTGCTCATGTCTATAGGCGACGGTTACCACTTTCCATCAGGTGGGCCATCAGCTTGTTTGCCATTCTAAGTTGTATAAAAAAAAAAAAAAAAACAAAAAACCATTTCTTAAGTTTCTTTTTTTTAGCTTATCTTACCTTCTTCTTCTCTATCTCATCCCAAGAACAAGGAATTACACAGAAGAAATGATAAAATAAAAACTGTAAATCATAGAGTTACCTTCTTTTTTCTTATGCAAATATAATTAGTAAAAAGAGGACGAAAGATACACCATCGCTGTCACAACACAACGCTGCGTTGTTTCCATGGTTTCCATTATATAAGAGTCAGCACTACCCTTATAATGTGTTCCCTACGGAACTGCAAAATAAATGTATGCAAACTTTTCAAAAAATCAATATTAATAGGTGTCGTAAAGATCTAGTTTCTTTATAGACCAGAACTTTTAATAGAGTGTTTGCACAGATTTTATATAAACGTTTATTGTGTGTTTCTTTATTAATTATCAAAATCTTTTATTTTTATTTTAGGTATTTGTTTATTGTATGTAATATGTAGTATATATATAACAATAATCTAGGCACTAAATGTACCATAGATTTTTATTATCCAAAATTTACTTAATAAAATGTTTTTGTTGATCTGTTGTAGCTGTCATGAAATATCCTTTTTTAACTGTGGTCGCAAAATTTACCAGTCACATTAAAAAATATCTTTGTTCTATTTTCAGGAAATGTGTAAAATGTTCCTGGAGAAATGATCGATACGAATGTTGATAGTAATATTCAGAAGTCAAAGAATTTAATTCCAATAACAACATCTTGACAAGGTAGTACAATGACTTGAAAATGAAGAACGGATGTAAAGACATTTTGGAGGCTAAAGTTGCTGATCGTAATGAACGTGCCAAAAAACTTTATTGGTGAGGATTTCTCTCTTTTTATTATAGAAATTATTTTTTAAAAATATATATGTGATAGTATTTCATCAACTATCTTTTACATTGTAAATGTAATGTCAATGCATTGGTTATATTTACAGCTATGTTACCGACGTAGCCAGGCGTGTCAGCGAAACCACAACTTCCAGCCGATCTATCACTGACCTTTTCGCAACTCATCTTGAAGTTCAACGTCAAAAACTAAGGGACAATTGTGAGAAACTACTGTTTTTGGACCCATTGAACTATGGAAAAAAAGCAATTGAACTACTGTGGCGAAAAGTTTACTATGAAGTTGTTTATGCTGCAAAAAAATTGCGTGAATCTGACAATGAGTATGACAGTTACCTATTCACACATATAGTGTGTGGAATAGGACATTTTCATCATTTTATCACAAGAATACAATCTGAAATGAAGTTACATTTTAAAGAATTAGATTACATTCCACTGCATAAGGATGAGGAAACAGGAGAATCAAATCTAACTCCAGGAGAAGAAGAATTGCAGTTTGGAAAATTTGCATTGCATTCATGTTTAATTTATCTGGGAGATCTAAGTCGCTATCAAGCAGAAATATTTCATACATTTGATTCTTCAATTGCAGCACGCTATTATCTCCAAGCTGCACATATTGACATGTCTTCTGGAATGCCATTTAACCAATTAGGTAATCTATATTTAGACAAAAATTACAATTTGGACTCTGTCTGTTACTATATTCACTGTCTTAGTTGTGCATCACCTTTTGATGGAGCTATGGGCAATTTGACAAAAATATTTGAAAAAAATTCTCAGTTTTGTGAAACATTAAATATTTCTGAATCTTTGACACAGACAGAACATATTCAAAATACAATTGCTAATTTCCTTTCCTTAATTGAAATTTGGTATTTGGGAAGTAATGACACAAACATCCCACAAAGATGTAATACTATTGCTCATGAACTAAAAATTGCACTAGAATTTGAGAAGTCCCCACTGCCTGATATGAATAAAAATTATGACGATTATGTGCAGGCTATAGAAGAGGAGAGCATTAATCCATCTTACTTTAATTGCAATCTTGTTCATAAAACAGTTCTTATATGTTTGTTGACAATGTCAAAAATGATTGAAACAGATGAAGCAAAAGCATTTGCTTGTAAAGCTTTTACTTTGGCTTTGTTATCACAATTATTACAGAAACTATTACAACAAATTGAAAGCTTTGGACTTAAAAATCCAGCTCACAATTATAGAACTAAAGTTTTTCATGCACAACATTCAAAATTAGATGAACAGACAGAAAAGTTGGAAAAACAGGAGTCTGATGTGGTTGAAAAAGCAGGTGTCAATGATGTTAAAAATACTGTGGATAGTCAAGAGGAAACTCTTGAAAAGATAACTGATAATAATGAAAAACTACAAAATGGTGATATAAAGAGTCATAATAATAAAAAGACACCAGCAAAAAGACGTCGTCGAAGACGCTTAGCTTCATCAGAAAGTTCTGATATGACTGATGCAGATACAGAAAGTAGTGAAGTAGATACTGACGAGTCAAATTCTGATGAAGATGAATCATCGGACTCCAGCTATGAATCTGAAGATGTTGATGTTAAAAGTGATGATTCAATGTATGATGGTACTGATACAGAAGAATGTGATACTAAACTGAATGGAGATGTTGATAAAGGAGAACTAAAAGATATAAAAAAAGAAGAAGAACTCAATGGAGATATTCAAATAAACTGTTCTAAATCAAATGATAAAAATGAAGCACTTCAAATCCAAGATATTCAAAATTTTTTGCTTGGAAATAACTTTTTACCTAGTATAAAATTATTGCAAGATTGGATTCTTACAGAAAAAGATTTGATATTATCCTGTGGTGATAGTGGGGAAACTTTATTTCAGTGTGTGGTAGACTTGCTAAATATATTTTCATATTATTTCAAATCTAAAATAGAATTCTATGAAAACAAAGACTGTAAAGTACTGAAGTATGCTAAACATGTAGCTCAAAAATTTATGCTGGAGTATAAAACTATACCTTTGCCAGAAGATGTTAATTTACGAGGAACAAATATTTGTAAATTTGATAAAGATGCTGCAGAATGGCAAATTCTAGATAGGTATACACCTTCCGTTTATGAAGAGAACATTATACGAATTTTGAACTTTATAGATTTTGGGAATCAAATTGCAAAGATTGTACCACGCATCAGATTTAATAGATCTATGAAAATATTTTATTTGAAAAAAACTCAACCTCCTAAGCTTAATACTAAAATTAACCAGAAGAGAAGCAGGGAATGGCACAATTCTAAAAAACATGTAAGTATATTTTTTACTATAGAGAACATTGTTTGTGTCTTAATACAAGAATTATCATCATCATCATCATCATCATCATCATCATATTAGCCATTATCTGTCAACTGCTGAACATAGGCCTCCCCTATAGTCCCCTCAGCTTGCTTATCCATCTGCAATAATGTACTCTATTATTCTTTGAATACATAATACATATTAATATTCACTTACAAATAGATAACAGAATCCATTTGTGTTTTTTTGATGCATATCATATAAAATAATAGTCATGTTAGGGACCTGAGGACTGCTCACGTTATGGTATTTCTATAAGCATTATTCAGATTACAGAGATTCATTCCTGTTAGATCAGTTGATAGGGTCCTTATCCTATGAACTGATTTACCTTCATAGGTAGCCATGATAATTTCTGTTGTTGATAGACATCAACATTAAAACTTTCTTAGTAATTATAATAAAATTTTAACTAGATGATATTTGTACATAGACATGGAGATATTTAAGCAATATTGATATGAGGGGTAGAATAATTTAAGAAGATTAATAAGAATGATAGATACCAAAATAATAATTTTTAAGAATTTTGTCTGTATTTTTAGGAATTTTTGTGCGTTCAGCATCATGCAAAGACTACAAATGGGATGTGATTTTCACAATTGTGTTTATGAAAAAAAAGGCAGTGAAAAAAATCTGTTGTATTTTTCATTTAGATACACCATTTATAATTAGTTTATTTAATTGGTTTTCCTAATTCTAAATTCCTCGCATACTATCTAGTCGACAAAAAGCCAGTACATATATATAATAAATTTATCCTATATCAACTATTTTATTTTTTCATGCATGCTAGATGGAGGCAGGGGGCGGCGGAACTAACGCCGCGGCCGGGGGAACTAGCGGGCTGCTGCGGCGATTGGGTCGGCTCTGGCTGGCGTCGCAGGTGCGCGAGTTAGAACGCAGCGGCCGCGCCGCCGCCGCCGCCGCGCCCGCGCTGCTCGTGCTCGACTCTGCCGCGCTCAACATCCATCTGCGCAAAGTTAAACACCTACTTCGCGCGCGCAACTTTATTCTACTTATTCCATCTGTCGGTATGTATATGTCTGGCGCACAGATTTTAGTTTTTACTATTGGGCCAATTTTCTACAGAAGCACGAAATTGAGTCAATTTACTTCATTATTTTTCCATTATAATTCAGATGATGATTATGAGGCAGATTTTACCACCAAAGTTGATTATCAAAATGACTCAGAGATATGTGGAATGGCAAACTAAGTAGACCCATGTCTGTAATTAATAATGGATTGAAAAAATTTGCTTATACCGGCCGAAAATAATAAATGGACAAAAAAGTCTATTTCTCTTATATTTCCATAAGAGTTTTATATATCATATTAAATTTACATATATAAAAGAGCCTATTAATTTTAATAGCTTGCTAACTTGTTTGCCACTTTAAGTTCTTTAAAGATTTTTCTTATTTCCAGTGCTACAAGAACTTGACAATTTGAAACGTGAACAGAGCACAGCGCGCGACGCCATCCGTTGGCTCGAGATCCAACTAAAAAGCGGATCACGGTTTTTACGTGCTCAACGACCTGGTCAATCGAGGCCATTACCATTGCTCAAATATCCTCGCAAAGCACCTCCACACGTTCATAACTATATACAGATATTGGAATTTTGCAACCATTTCATAGCAGATGAGAAACAAGGCCAGGGAGGTAATGGCGACCCCGATAGCACGGTTCAAGGGAAATCGACACCGTTGCTTATATTACTAGTAGGCAACGAGCCCAGCATCGACGAACAACACAAGGAATTCAGTTTGACAGGTGCAGCTCAAGCAGCTGCAATATCTGTGGAACACATCGGCGATTTCTATACAAAATGGCGTCAAAGCGTTCATAAGAATGGCAAGAAGAGATGAACAAATTTTCATTGAATTGAGGTTTTGACTGCAGAGAAAAGAATGGACAGCGACGCTCTTCACTTGCAATTGCGAATTGAATCATCTCGGTCAGAAAGACCATGATTGATATTATTGCGCAATTACGTTGAGCGTATGTCATAAAGTAATATCGTAACAAATATTTCGGCTCACGATAAGTCGATGATAATAACGATTTCTGATCATTATCAATGGATGTCAATGAAATGTTTATATTGTAACATTTATTATCACTACGATCATCTATTTTTTCATAAATTCATTATTTATCATCTATTGTCTACATGGTATGTGTAATTACCTGTCCACATTTCGGGGATAATTATCATTTTCTGAGTTCAGTCATCATTATTTTAGTTACCTACATAATTCATCTATCATCTATAGGTATCAAATGTATTGGGCTCTAAGTTTCGTACTTTGGTCTTGTATATTTGGTTTCTTTATTCGGAAATATAATTTTCATTCTTTAAATAAATATGTTGTTACAGTAATTTTGCATTTTTACTTTAATATCCTTAAGCCAAACGCCATAAAAATATTTTTTTTCTGGATAGGGACACCGTAATCTAGCTATATGGAATATACTTTACGACGTTATATATATGTTTCCATCAATGTTCTGATGAAAATCAGGGGCTTTCATGAATCATACTAAGCTACCTTCCGTAGAATCTGCCAACAACTGTATTAATTCGTTAATGACGCCCTCGCTGCAAAATATCTATTAGACACGGTGGATTATACAAAATGAATCATTACGATTTGACTAAAGCTGTTTTCTTAAACTCCAGAATTTGAGTAATATACGTATAGATGGAAATATAATGGATTTAAGAGTCGGGTGATGGTTAAACTACATCTAAGGAGCAGGATATACAAGGTTATTAAATATAAAATTCTTTTTTCATTTCTTGTGCACATTTCATGCTAATTTGTATTAAATAATAAACTGTTAAACAATCGCAAACACTTCCAGTAGACGATCTTCCATATGAAGGTTGTAATGGAACGGGCGTATCAATCTAAAACTCAGTGACAGTACCTACACATGAATATGGGTGATATAAGATAATGAGACTAAACGTTTACGTGCCCAATGCAGGTAGTAGGTGCTTAATGATTACCACCACCTGCAGACTCGCAACTGTATAAAAAAATATTAAATACGCGTGAAAAATTAAATAACTTTTTGTTTAATTTTTTTTCTAAAAACTACACATCATACTTTCATTCTTAATTTTATTCATTATTTTTGTGTACGGTATATTTTAAACAGTTTTTATTCTAATGTTTTACCTGAGGGAGACTGTACAAAAGTCGATTGTTTGGGCACCTCTGTCCCATTCGTGTTACTACCGCAGTTGTGTTTGCATAACTGTGTTTCGGTTTGAAGGGTGGGATATGGCGTAAATTTACAGGGTACAGAGGAATAACACCTGAGTCCTCAGGAATGGCAACGCATGGGGGATATCATGGGCGAAGCAGTATACTCTATTATGTCCATAGTACTGCTCATGTCTATAGACGACGGTTACGACTTTCCATCAGGTGGGCCGTCAGCTTGTTTACCATTCTAAGTTGTATAAAAAAAATGTTTAAAAAACATTTAGTGCAAATGGATTCATTCATCTATATGAGTAAAATTCTGTTTGGAATTTTAATAACTTACTTCAAGGAAATCTTATCCAATAAAATGAATTATAGTAATTTAATATTTATACAATTATCGCCAGATACGCTTAAGATTTGAAAAACACCCTCAATCAGTGGTGAACAGACCTTCTAGACAAGTGCTAAGCGAATTCGTTGATGGAATTGACGAGTCTAGCGAGTAAGAGAAGGGTTTGTTAATAAGGAGGTCCACTTCCACGCGGTTCCCCCTGGAAACTATCGTGACTAATTTATCGTTGAATTCGTCAGGATGGGCTGACTTGTTTTTTCATCCTCCTTCTGGTAGCTCGCTAGCGTATACCGATAGCGCAGGCATTGTAACCATGCCAGTTTCACCCATTAAAAAAACAATTCGTCATAAATCCTACCATAATAGTCCAAAGGAATAAAATTTTTAAACGGTATGTATTATGTATTATTCTGCACCGAAATTTAGGAAAATATTTCATGGTAGACCTTCCCTCAGGTACGCTTAAATTATATATAGACTGAAGTATCTTCCTACATCTGTGTATCTGTAATTGCAATTGTGAACAAAAAAAACCAAAAGGACACTCTATGTATCTTTATTTTATACCTAAAATACTAGTTAAATAAAAAAATAAGTTATACAACAAACATAATATACAGATGCCGATTAAAACCAAAGCAAAACATTTTAGAAAGATTCAAAATAATCTTATTCTTATAATATTTCATTCAAAATGTTCGATTAAAATATTATACCATTTAAAATGTGATGTTTTAAAAATATCATCTATGTAAAAAAATTATGGTTATCTCTTCATAATATCGAAGTAAATACTCACAATTATATTAATTTCGAACAAAAAATAAAATATTTAATAAGAGATTGTGATGAACTAAGAAAATAATAATTACATCTAGCATTATTACCTATTATACAATTATTAACATAACCCCCAATGTCGAGGGTTAATTAAAAACTCTCAAATTTTTTAACTTATAATAGTTATCAATATATTAAATGTACAAAATATACATTACGATTTCAACAATCTTTCAACAGTCTTATAGCTTTACATACCTTTACAGTATTGCACTTAGCACTCAAGTGTAGAGCAGTGTGAATATATCCATACAATAATTAATATAGAATTAATGAGATTAGCCTGGCTATCATTCACATTTTTACAGCTCACAAAAGACATAATCCTTATTATAATTGTGAAAGTTAATTTATTTGTTACCTCTTAACGTCTTAATCGCTTAACCGATCACTACGAAATTTGGTGAGATATAAAAGGACATACGGTACTTTTATTTCCGTCAGTAAACATATTTCGTTTACATGGACCTAGACATGGGTAAAAGCTAGTGGCATATGAGCATATGTGTTTTATTATAATAAAAAAATGTCCACTAGGAACTCTATAGCTACCATCACTTTTGTTTTTAAAATAACATCGTACATTGCTTACAATACACTGTAGAGTTTCATTCTCACTGCGATTATTAGCTAGCATCCTACCAACTGTATAAGCTGCTGCACTGTTGAGCGATCCAATAAACACAAGTCAAAATCAAATGTTTGTGTAGTAACTTCATACCGACCAGTTTCTGCTATTAAATTCACAACACGTTCTAGATCTTCATTGTTGTTGATAGTCATTATACGTTTTTGCAGATCACGTAACTGCCCCATATATTCAGGTGATAAGTCTCCAGGCTCAGCATCCTCTCCTAGACTACTAGAAACTCCATTGTCCTGTACTTTTGTCTCTACTGAAGTAGAGCCACTACTTTCTCCACGTTCTATGTCATTGTTTGGGAGTATAGGTTCTGAGACTTTTGCCATTTTTCTATTTTCAGCTTCTTCTTCTTCAGCAGCTTTCCGTTTACGTCGTTTTTCTTCTCTCTTTGAAGATTTATCTTTATGTTTCTTTGACTTTTCTTTTTGTGGAGGTGGTTCTATTATAGGCTCGGGTTCTGGTTCCATTTCTGGCTCTGGTTCAGGTTCGGGCTCAGGTTCCGGTTCTGGTGATGGTTCATGTTTCAGTAGTTCAGGAGAAGGATTTTCAATTTTAATTTTCGGTTCTTCTTCATCAACAATCATTGAGCTTTCTGAATCAGAATGACTACTGTTTATATCTTCATTGCCAGTATGCAAAGTTTTAGCAAGCCCACTCTTAGAACTGCACTGAGAGGCTGTGTCTATAGATATTGGTGAAGCTGATTCAGGCAGAGAACGTTCTTTAGGAATAGGTGTCTCTCGCCGTTCAATAACCTCTGGTTTTTCCTGAGGTATATCTCGATTTTTTTCATGCTTATGTTTTTTCTCTTTATTAGACTCTTTATGTTTCTCTCTAGACTCATCTCGCTTCTTGTCTTTCTTCTTGTGTTTGTGTTTTCTCTCTGATTCACTTTTATCTTTTAATTTATGATTTTCTACACGATCCATATTTTCTGGAGGAGTTTTTCTGAGATTTTCTATAGAAAATTTGTTATTTTTTTCAGATTTGGTTTGTTTTTCTTTTACTGGGTGTGATTCCTTTAGTAATTCTTTTTCCCTTGGAATTTCTTTTGATTTTGATATTTCTTTTGAAACTTCTTTTGGCAAATCTTTAGGTGACTCTTTTATTTTATGACTTTCTTTTTTATGCTCCCTTTTGTCCTTACGATCTTTGTCTCTATCATGGCTCTTTTTATCTTTCTTTTTTTTTTCTTTTTCAGTTTTAACTTCGGGAAGCTTTTCTTCAACTTTTGGCCTTTTCTGCTCCATATTTTCTAAATTATGTTTAGATGATTTATATTCATCTTTAAAACTAGATGCACTACTAGAACGGGCTGGGGGACTGGGTGGTTTTCTAACAGGACTAAGACATCTTTTCTTATTTGCTTCCGGTGTTGGTGGCCTTTCATTGGGCCTTTTATTAGATTTATCCTTAGACCGTTCTTGCTCTTTATTATGACTTTTAGTTTTATCTGATCGCACCTTCTCTTTCTCTTCTTTTATCTTTACTTTTTCTGTTTTTAGTTCTTTATGCTCATGTTTAGATTTTTTGTCTGAACTTGTTCTTTCTTTATCTTTTTTCTCTGCCTTAGAATTTTGAAAACTGGCAGTTTTATCATTTTTTTTTGGATCTGTTGAGACTTTAGGCGGTTTTTGTATAGGCGGTCCAAAGAGATTTTCGAAACTACTAGTTCTGTGTGGTATTTCCTCCTTGTGTTCTTTAGACTTATGTTTTTTTATATTTTCAGAAGACATTTTTGGTTTACTAATAAGTTGTTTATCATCACTGAAAGAGTCTCTACTTCTACTTTCTTGGTCTGGATTAGTATAAAATGCATTATTATTTATTGTGATACCACCACCTTTTAATAATTTTTTTCTAAAGTCATCATTGGGGTTTTGGAAAATATACCTGTCTTTAAGAAGTCCACTTTGTTGTAATGATAAATCATAAGAAAATTGGATCTTTTTAGGTTCATCTTTATTCATCAAGTGGATTTCAATTGGTAACATAAATCCTGCATAGCCAGACTCTTTGAGTGAAAATGGAGGTGCCTTGACAGCTGAAAAAGAATATAAGTAGTAATTTATTATTGTGTAAATTTTTCATATTTTGATACTAAGTTACCTAAATTAGTCTAGAATTTTTGTACAAAACTCAATGGCATGAGTACATCTGTCCTACTTACATTTTTGAATGGACAGAGTACAGAAGTATTACATGATAGTTGTTGTCATAACGACACATGAAGAGTATCATTAGGGTCACAGTGTATTATGTAATGTCCATGGTACTGTTCATGTCAGTTACCATTTTCCATCAGGTGGACATTTGTGAAGTTTGGTTGCCATTTTATGGAAAGTTGGCTGTTTATATTTGCTCTATCTGGATGTTATTGATATAAGAAATGAAGTGTGTTCTTGTATTTTATCATCCTGGGGATGTTATATAAGATAACTATGAATACAAATCACAATACACCAATACATAAAACGGTAACATTACTACCATTACATATATCAAATACCAGAGGAAAACTCTGTACAAAAGTCATTTTCTTTTGGTCTGTCCCATTTGTATTTCTACTGTGAAGCAGTTGTGTTTGTATGGCTGTGTTTCAGTTTGAAGGATGGGATGTGGTAGTGAATTTACAGGGTACAGAGGAATAACACCTGACTCCTGAGGAATGGCAACAAATAAACCCCCATTCGTTGATTATTCATGGACGAAACATTATACACTGTTATTTCTATGGTACTGCTCATGTCTATAGGCGACAGTTACCACTTTCCATCAGGTGAGCTGTCAGCTCGTTTTATATTCTAAGTTGCATAAAAAAATCATTGCTTGAGCAATACATGGACAAAATGCCATACTGTTTGTTAAGCTACTAAGCATTATAATTGCATATGTTGCTATGTATTTATATTAGGAGTAATAGAACCAGATTTTTTATAATATTAAATTAAGTAATTTAAAAGGAATTTATTCAAGGGAAAAATACACACATCAAAAAAGTCTAAGCAACACATACTATTTCAAATTATTAATTATTATGTCATTTCTTAACAAGTAGGTAATACCTTTTACCTTATGTCTATCTATTTGCATAAACACTTGGCTCCGATTTCACGTTGATGCATGATAATGCGCATTCGCATACAGTTTTACACACACGGGAGGCAATTTGTTTTGCCTTATGAAGTATGCAAGGGAAAACAAACTGCCTTGGCCTGCACAATCGCCAGACCTCAACCCCATCGAACATGCATTGTACATGCTCCAGAGATGTGTTTTAAAGAACTTGGATGGAGTGGCAACAACCGAACAACTGACGGACTTACTAAACAGTCTCATCGATTCTATGAATAATCGGTGCCAACAAGTTCTCCATAACAGAGAAGGCCACACTTTGTATTAATTTATGCAATTTTTGTACAACCATTTAATTTTAGTTTAAGTTTAGTTGATGTACCTTACTTTGTACTATGTACATACAGTACTTATTCGTAATTATTATTAAAATATAAATAAAAAAAAATTGTTGTTTAATATCAAAAATAATATAAATAAGAAAATACTAAGGATTTAATGTGAAAACACATTGTAAAATTGAAATTTGTATGTGTTGCTTAAACTTTTTTGATATGTGTAGTATTCAATTATGACAAAACTCATAGTGCAAACACAGGGGTAAACCACATCAATTACTAAGAAACATTAGAAAATATAACACAACACACACAAAAAAAAAAAAAATACAGGGAAAAAGAAATATACTTAATGTTTTAGAATTCCGAAATAGAAATCCCCTTATATTACAATTTATTTATTATAACCAACTTTAAAAAAGAGGTGATTTTTAATTTAACTGAATATTTCCTTATTATTTGTGTTTACGTTTTCCTATATTTCACCATAAGTTTCATTATTATTATAAAGAATAGTTATTATCCAACAGTGTTCTATTTGTTTCTGATTTAAATTCATATTGGTGACATAAAGTTCAAAATACTTGATAGCTATAATTTAATCAAATGTGGAGTAATTAGACGTGAACATATATATGGTTATTTCTAGCTACTCTTTACGGGGTCTGATGGATAAATATAAATAGACAAAGTTGTTTTAAAATTTTACAGAAGAAATGCATAACAATTTCATAATGATCATAATTTGTGGAAAGTTAATAAATTTATAGCAGAGTTTGTATTATTAATAAATAAATCTTACCTCTTTTTGGCTTCGGAAAGGTGTCGTGAAGAATAAACACAACTTTTTCCACAAAATTACTAATATCGGCTCCTTCTTGTCCACGAACGAAAACTTCCCAATCATGAGTAAACCCTTCTGGGGTTTTCTTTGATCGCAAAGAAGCTACGTGTCCAATCTCAAAATTCACTTTTATTGCCGACATTCTATGTCTGAAAATAAAAACCTATCTTCATTTAGGATACCTATATTTACACTGAAATGTATAAATCACCACAGTGGAGAAAACTATAAACTGCGTATTTTTATTTAGTCACTTACAGTCACACAATATTATTACTGCAATAGAAATTTCGTACATGACATTTGTAAAATGGACATTTACTAATTATTTAGCACAAGAAATTGCAATTTTTGACGAAAATAATCTTTTAGCGCCCTTGTTATTTTGGTCCGCCATATTATTATTACAAATTACTTTTTTTTATTAATATTTAAAAGTTTTTACGGCCCTGGGTGGATTCCTTTAAAAGCCCAATACAAATTACCACAGACTATAGACCTAGATACCACAGAGCAAGTAATCCTTATGTTACAAGTAGGGATGTAACATCGATCATAAAAAACATCGATATTAAAACATCTGTGGCGTATTTACTGGCCATCACAATACGCTTTTTATATAACTGGCCATCATATTCCGTCTTTTATATTTCACAGTCATAATACTGTCCTTGAAATTGTTAAGGTGCAAACTAGTTATTAATAAGTTAGTAAAATTTGAAAATAGAAAAAGAAAAATATTATTGCCTAGTAACCTTAATATTTGTTGTTCTAATAATTTACTTTTGTCTAAAATTGTCTTTACAAATGATTTAATATTTTAATATAATAGTGTGATATAGTGTTTTATATATTTAGTGTGTGTTGTGTTATAAATAAACTGTCAATTACTTGGACTATAAAAAAACTAAATCTATTGTGTTATATTAGTACTACTACTTTCACGCTGGTCATCTTTCCTAAAATCTACTCCTAACAAGGTAGGTTTTCAACTGCAACTCTAACAGTCGATGTTTAGAGTTTCAATATCGATGTTAAAACATCGATGTTTTAACATTTATGAATTAGATTTTTTAAAAAATCAATGTTTCGTTTGCTTCTCTAGTTACAAGAATTGGCATCAGCTTCATATTAACGGAACCTGAGAAAAAAATTGAAATGCATGTTACAACATACAAATATGCATTGAAATATCCAAACATAATTAAAAAATAATAATAATTGTTATTATCATATATAAATTGAAGACTGTGTAGGCTTAGTCCTTTTGGCTTCCCTATGTTATACATACGAAAAAACGAAACCAAAAAAAGTTACTTATGTTATAAAAATGTTATTAATTGCTTTGCATAACCTCCTAACTAGCTTTTAATGTGTGTATTTGGTCAGAAAACATCACGGCAACGTTTAGTAATGACTTAACAAAAATGCTGTCGAATCTGATGCAAACGGTTGCCATCTAAACTATTTATGGAACAGTTTTAGCTTTGTATTTCTTATTATTTTGACGTAGAAATCACGACTATATATTTTTTGTGTAAAGTTGCAAGATATTACTGACCGAACGTAGCTTGTATGAGGTACATACTCTTATCCCTTGGTAATTTACTCTTTGCTCTAATCTGTGGTATGAAGTGCATTCTATTATTCTTTGGTTACATACTCTTTGTGGGTAACTGAATAAAATTTTCAGTAATACATATATTTCTTTTAAAAAAATTGTTTTTGTTATTATTATCACTGTTATTTTGGTTAAATTATAAAAACATTTGTAATTATGTCAGCACTAATGACATTATTTCTTCAGCCATTGAGGTTAGTTAGATACAATAAAATTGAGATTATAGAGACATTGTTGAAGACGAATGATGCCAGTTTTTAAAAATGCAGACATAAAGAATCTGTTGTTAATGTTTCAGATTAGTCAAGCAAAGTCTTAGCACAGTTTCTTCAACTGGTATTGCATCTAGTTTGGTAAAACCAGAATGCTTTTCAGTAACCGCTATAAGAACTAAGGTTCGCTGCTATTTCCCTCGACCAAATGAAGTGAAACGTGTCCGCCGACATGGTTGGCAAACTCGAATATCGACACCAAATGGACGTAGAGTTATCATGAGAAGACTACTCAAAGGTCGATATGTGTTAACGCATTAAAAAGAAGAAATAATTTTATGGTAATAATGAAAAAGATAATTTATATATTATAGAATTAGAACGTAACTTTTATTGATTTTAATTATTTTAAAATAAAGTAAAACATATAAATACCAACTTTTATTTCAAACCTATTTCTTTTCTATATTTTCCTTAATATCTATATCTATTATTTCTAAAAAATAATAATAAAAAAACATTCTATATAATGAATATCATTCATACTGATTTCAAACTAAAAGTAGTTTATCTCAACATTAATAAAATAATTATCGTTATAATTTTTCAACCAATGAATTTTTAGAAATAACAAAAACAATTGCATCAGTTGTTGCTGACTGTTGTATGTGCAAACAGGTAATGTTTTATTTTACACTAGTCTTGGATAATTATAATTTAATTAAATAAATATTTTTGTTGTGAGTGTACAGAGTCCTCAGAGTTTGAAGGAGATTTGGCTGGTTTTAAAAGGTTGGATACTTCTGCTACAACTAATGTTGTTAACTTAATGATTGCCAAATGAGCAGCAAGTTGGAGTACCAATGCACCAAAACCTTTATACAAGCCAGCCACACCCTCCCTGGCTATTGTTGTGTTGTAGCAATCCACAAATCCTTCATATCCAGTCAAAATAGGGGTTACTGATGTTCCAGTGTCTAAGTTGTCTATTATTGTTCTTGTGCCCTGAAAAATAATTATAGTTAGAAGAAGTTCATTTATAGTTATAGATATTGAACTTGATTCTTAGCAAATAGATAGAAACTTTAATCAGTTATGATTTTCTATATGGACATAACTGAGTATACTCTTTCAAGTACCCCGTTTTAAAATTTTTAATGATATCATAATCTGCATAGTCTTCTCGCTTATACTTTAAAGTTTATAACTCCAGGATAGCACAACATGTATCGGTTGGAGGGAAAGGGATTGTTAGTAATAGAGTCTAATGGGCACCATTGTTAGCAATATATTCTATCAGGTTGATCTCCACACAATACCCCCTGGAAACCAATATGATTAAGTCTTGTTGAATTTGTCACAATGGGCCAACTAACTTGTTATTATCCTCACCTATCATTTCACTGATACCCTGCCAGTGTATACCAATAATGCAGGTAGGGTTACCATTCCATTGTCATCCATAAAAAAAAGCAAGCAAGTAGGAATATTATAATACTAATATAAATATGCAATTCTTCCAATACTAAATATTGCTTTAAAGAATAAGTAATGTATTATTATTAATCTATTTATTAGTAATCTATAATTGAGATACCTGTATGTGAAGTCTATGTATGATTGTTTCTACAGGATAGAACATAATTTCCATAGCAATGAAGGAGAAAATGTTGGCCTTCAAGTTGATATCTTCTATCAGAGGATTCTGTGTGCTTTTATGATAATTCATATTGTAAGAATCACTTAGTTCATGTTTGTGTCTTTGTTGAAATCTGAGAACTCTTGCAGTTAAACTTTTTATTGTAACACTAAAATAGAAATAATGAATTAATTATAAAAGAGCTTTTTATAAATGATAATTATAAAACAATATTTTTTTACACTACTTAACATAATTTACTCACTGTGCTAAATATTTAGAGACCCCCAGAGCTGCTGTAGGCAAAACAATTGCCCATATAGGTAACATCCTACCTCTGCTTGGTGTTCCCCATTCTAAGATGCGCACAAATCCTTCTCGGAACACATCAAAGAGAGCTGGTTTGTCACTTGCTATGTCACTCTGTACAGTTTCCACCAAACTGGCTGAATAGAATGGTGTAATGATTGCTAAACTAATACTGCAATAAAATACAATGTTAATGAAACAATGTAAAGTTAAATGTTTATTGTACATAGGACATGGGACAGATAAAGGAAACACTAGGTGTCGTGTCATATAGGGAGGTCAAAGATATGGCCTGGGATAGAGCTGGCTGGAAGATGCATGAATTAGTTACATGGACAAGAGTAAACTTTAATGAAGAGAGAGATTGTACATAGATAATTGTAATCTCAGGTTAGACCATTACCCAACCTAAATTAGAGCAATAACATTTAACTTATCTGCATTTCATGAGCGTAATAGAATTGAAATGGTAGAGGAACAAGCTTACGCTTGTTCCTCTACCATTCAATGTAATAGTGCTATGTCAGCTTTATTAGATTTAGCAGTATTTGTCATCACTCACGGGATAGTTAAAAATTTGAAAGTCATAAATTATTTATTTTAAGCTCTATAAGTGCTTACCATTTTAATGTTATGTGTTGCAGAAATTGTAAGACAGAACTACATTTTCCAATTTCTCTGTAACAAATGGAACAAATATTAAATATTTCTAAATAAAATGTTCATGCTATATTTAAAGGGCCCGAGGTTACAGGATGGAGAGAACCTATCACGGGAAAGGCCATTTCATAATCTTTCAGCACGGCTTATGAAAGAATTAGCGAACTTATTTTAATCACATTCAAATTAGGATGGTCAATTGTGTAAGACAATATTAACAACAAAGACAATACCTAAGAACAATTGTTGGAATACTTTTGTGTTTACTAGCTTTATATGTATCAAAAGGTATTGAAGAAACACAGCAAAGTTTGCCCATGATACAGTAAAAAGGGTGATGATTTTTCTACACTCAATAAAGATTTGCTGTTTTTTAAGTAGTGATTCTTGATTTTATATTTAATTATAATCTACAGAGAATGTGGTAAGGAAAGTATTAAGTTTAATTTAAGTCTAGAAAATATTAACTGTGAAAGATGACATGACCAAAAGAATTGAGACAATTTCAAAAAGAGGTAAATGGAAAACATGCTGACTTTAAATATGGAACAAGGTCAGGAAGATAGTGACTTAAACAAATAAATGCTAATACTAGAATTCTAGAATTGTAAACATTTTTAAACAATAATACTCACTTTGGCCAACCTGTTCCTTTAGCAACCACATCTTCAACAGCCAAATTGAGACCCTTTACAATGCAGGTTGACCCAATGCCCTTCCACAAGGTAGTGATATCTTGTCTCCTGTGTAATCTCACTACTACTGGCAATAGGGTATATGGAACAATGTGAAAGTTCTTGAGACTATTGTGTACCTGTAACAGAGCTGCCATATGGTATCAATTGCTTCAAAAATGAGGAGAATGTGAGGATCTGAATCCATATTCTATCTATCTTAATGTAAAGCCACTTACAATCTGTTTCATTCACTTTTGAATTTATGTAAAGCATATATATCAATTACGGTTTATTTACTTATTTTTGAAACAGTATATTATACCTAAAAAATATATCATAATCTACATCTGCTTTATAAAGGTATAAAATATACTGTTATGTATAGGCTGTGCTAAAAAGTTGCCAAAGTCCTTTTCTATGTATTTCAAGTTCTATGTTTATATAAATATGTAGATGTTAAAATTCATGAAAATATTAAAATCATTAAGGCACAAATGATCTAACTAAAAAAATATTTTCCCTTTAGGACACTAAGGGTATCTATTGACCAGAAAATGTATGTAGACTTATTTACTTAAACATATATAAGGATCTAAACATATAAGCAAGGGTGAAAGGAATTATTAGTAATGGGTAATAATAGCATCCATTGCTAGCAATATACCATATCAGGTCAACCTCCACGCGGTTCCCCCTGGAAACCATCTTGAGTAATTTTTGTCAAATTCTTTACAATGGGCCAACTGACCTGCTTTTATCTTTACGTATCATCTATCACTGGTGCCTCGCCAGCCTATACCGATAGCGCAGGCGGTGTTACCATTCCATTTTCACCAATAAAAAAAAGCTATGAGAAATATTACCTGGCATTGTCTTCTCAATACAATAAATGGATGACTTAACAAATTCTCTGTGATGAGACTTGCTACACTTATTGCTGTTGTTACATAGGAACTATTATCTGAAACAACACAGGGTATTATAATATTATTTTACGTAATAATAATGTGTAATATATTTTATGTGAGATTAATGTACAAATTTGACAAAATGGTTCAGCTAAGGTATGTTATGATTATGATATATACCTTCGTCAGGGGGATCGTCCAGAATCAGCGGAGGGCCCTGATACTCTTCAGTGATAGGGGTGTGATATCCATAAATTTGCTGATAACGGGTATCATACAAATCATTCGTCTCTCTATTGGGATCCAGACCAAAAGGTCTATTATATCCAGAATAATCTCCAAAACCTGCCATTGTTAACAATACACACTACCACATATTTTATTTAGTAAGATAAATAATCCTATAAACATAACAATTATTTTAAACTTAATAAAATACAAGAAACAACGAAGTATAAAGCATGAGATATCAAAAGCTCAAGAAGACAGAGATTAGGCCTGTATTATTGCAAATATTTTTTTTGTATAAAACTATGTTACCGTTCTCAGCTAATATTCCAATTGGTCTATCATAGCAGATTATGTTCATCTTATGAACCATATAAGTCGGAATCTTGACTCCATTTCAAAATTATTAAATAACTAATTTGTGATAGGTGTGATGTAATGGAAGGAATAAGCGACGTTTTTAGGATAATTTTTAATAGATATAAGTTAAAATTGAAGTAGATCGAAATAAAGTAATTTAATATAAGCCCTTATCTTATTGTAAATGTCTAACATACAATTTATAAAATCGATATCAATATTTTGCATTATTATTAAGCATATAGCGATAATGGTTCAGCATTAAAACTGCTCATTTATTTCATTGCGATATTGCTTAGGTAAAGGTCAGGTAAGTAAAAAGTAACATGCGTTTCATATTCTAGGTTTCCTGGATATAAGGGCACTGCCAACTCTTTTAACGTAGAATGTGATTACATGCTATTTTTTTTAATGTGGCGATGAATTAGTATTGTTTTAAACATAGTCTCTCCGATCTCTGGTATTGCCCAATATATAACTTACAGATGAATGCCTGTTCCCCTTTACAGGAAATTAATAGTGATACTACGCATACGTTAGGTACTTGTCTTTCAAAGATTTTTTGTTCTTAAATTTCGTTGATATAAAGGAAGTGGTAATATAAGTATAAATAATATTTATAACGTATATCTGTGATCTCTAACTGTCATTAACAGATGACAATGCAGAGGGAGCATTTCTTTAATATCTACCTCGACACTTTAAATAAAAACAATCAGTATGATATCTATGCAACCAATTCATTAAATTAGCAAATTATACACAATGTATGGTGTTAACAAGTTATATACACACATGTATACACGTGACGACAATAATATAATTTCAGATGTCAAATGTCATAAAACTTTTCATACAAAAATATCCTTAATAAATGTAAATTTTCTATCTTGTATAAAAATATCTTTAAAAAGCGATATTGTCGTTGTATTCGCCGCTATTGTCTAAAAATAAAAAAATGCATTTTATTCTATATAGATCTTCGATTATCGTGCTATACTGAATTATAACCAATGACAGAGTAATCTTGTGAAAGCGCTGCATTTCGCACATACGCGGTTAGTTCGTGTGAATTCTCGGGAATCATGACTAAAAAATATATTCACTAGTTAGTTGTGATTGGGTAAAAGTTCTAGAACTCGAACCGATTTGGAGAATAAAATATTTAATGTTTGAGTAAAAATCAATATTGACATTTAGTACCTAAAGTATAAATATTAATGTAACGTACTATGCACGGTACTATATTATGAATTTTAACTGAATTATTGGTAGTCATATTGAAAATAAAACAAATCTAATTTGCATGCTTAATATTAGCCGAATTTATAACTGTTTATGTATTTTATAATAACTTTGTCAATACTTATTCAAAGCAAATAAAGTTTTCTATTCGAATGATGTAACCAAACCATTGCCACTTCAACTTGTTTATCCTCTGGGTTATGTCGGTAACTTTATCTGTCACGCAAAGCATACCAATATAGTTTTTGTTGTTGGCCGCAGATGGCCTTTATAACTTCATCGAACGCGTGAAAACAGGAGCGAGTGCAGATGGCACTCCAAACCCGCGAGAGGGGAGCGACAGAGGTGTCAACTCTTTCTAATGAACTGCGGCGTGCGCCCGAGGGCGCCTAAGTGGCTCGAACCTCAGGTCGGGCCGCCACACTTCGGCCCCCGTCAAGGGACGGTGGATAATATTATCTATATGCAGATCAAGATGCAATTTATTATCAAAAGTAATTCCTAAGTCGTTAATAGGTATATGTATAATGACTTACTTGCCTTTTCTAAGTGAAAGTTATAGTTTTACATTTATTAATACTCAGTGACAATTTATTACTTACGCAATAATCAGTAAAGCGGTCTAAATCAGCTTGAAACCTATAATGGTCATCCAAACTACTTATTGTGTGAAACATTTTTAAGTCATTTGCATATAATAATAATTGGCAAAATTTAAAACATTTTGCAATGTTATTGATAAAAAGTAGAAATAGCAATGGTGTTAGAAATAGGTTTATTTTCATACAGCTATAAAGTACTGTCCGGTTGTAATTTAAAAAGTTATGGTTTTAAATTAAGTTGACACACTCTTAGAAACAATTGTTGCTTTCTGTATTTGCTCTTCTATTAAATTTTATCGTACTTTTATATTGTGTTTATCCTATTCCCTTCCACTACGGAAATATTAGCTGATATCTCAAGCTAAATACCAACAAATGGCCCCAAAATGGATCCTTGCAGAACTCCAGAAGTAACCGGAACAAATTCTGACTCATAACCATTAATAGTTATCTTTTGTGTACGATTTGATATATAGGACTTAAACCAGTGCCACAATCACCATGCAATCATCATTATATGCAAGTTTATCAAGCAATATTTTATGATCTACTCTATTAATTGCCCTATGTATATCAGTGTATGTACTATTTATTTGTACATTAGCATCTAGACCCTCAAAGAGATATGTATTGTATATTAACAGATTAGTAGCAGTGGATCGTGGATTAAGATTGTTAAGGCGCTATAAAGTAACAAACAAATTTTATTTCATAATTATAAAATTAGTAAAGATTTACACTTCTACGTGGATGCATAGATATATTTTCCATGTTAGTCAATATAAGAGGTGTTATCTCTCAAATAACGTAGTTATTACCAAAGAGTATTGTGATTATTACCTACTCTGTACTGTACCCGATGGCTCAATAGCGCAATCGCAAAAGCATTTTCATTTTGCAAATTACATAGCTACCTATCTACCTAAGACGCATGTACAAAAAAAAAGATTTTAGAGTTGAGTTTACATGGCCAACGAACTAAAGCCAATATCGATTATAAAATAAGACAAAAGTTATCTGCCTCTCCAAAATGGGGCTTATAATTTTATTTGTTATTTGACTTATAATAAATTGATTAAAATGTTGGGCAAGGCTGTGTTGTGTTTGTCAACTTTACATTTTTATAGTTAGTATTCAATGGACGTTTTTGTAATACAATTAAATTGAATGTTCGTGTATTATAATTATTAATTTTTTTCACCGTATTATTAAAGTGTTTGACGATTTCAGGTGTAGCCGCACAGGGAGAATGTACCGACTTACGAGGGCGTACTATATCCCATGGTTTACATTACGTGCCTGGTCCCGATACCTGTACACTGTGTGTTTGCGATAATGGCTTGCCAAAAGTCTGTAAAGCAGTCCTGTGTTCGCCTCCTCAGGTATTTTAGTTCAAATAAATAATTATACCTCGAAATGCAATTTCGATTATATTTGTTTTCATTGATCTTTAAGGCCCAAAGAGATTGTGACAAGATTTTAAAATGTTATTCTTTTCATATTTATACCAAAGATTTTTATTTTGATGAAATTGGACTTAGTTTTTTATATCCAATTTTTATTTTATCTCAATAATAATACTGTTTATTTTCCTAGTTGTGATATTGTTTTAGTGCTTTTTGTGGCAATGGAAAGCCCCAGATAATTTTCATTGGTCACTAGATAGGTAATAGCAAATTCATCCATTTATTTTTATTGACCCTTGACATTTATTTTTGTTAATGTGTTAATTCTTTATGCATACAATATGCTTATGATTATGGACATTGCATGTTTTTTTATTTCATACTTGCAGTTTCCATAGTGTTAATTATATATAGTGCTAACTGACCTGCTTCATCCTCACCTATCATCCTTCACTGGTGCCCCACCGGTGTATACTGATAGCGCGGGTGGGGTTACCATTCCATTATCAGCTATGAAAAAAAAAACCTTTCAAACCAAAACACAGCCATGCAAACACAACTGCTTCACGGTAAAAACATGAATGGGGTAGAGGTGCCCAAGTAAACGACTTTTGTACAAAAGAGGGGGTATTGTATTGCTCAGTATAAAGGTGTTTAGCAATTGTTCTACCTTTGGTTGCTTTACTATGGTGTCTAGAGGAATCGCAAGGATGATGTCCTGCAGGGTTTTTTTTTAAATGGATGATAATGGAATGGTGACCCCACCCGCGCTATCAATATACACCGGCGGGGCACCAGTGAAGGATGATAGGTGAGGATGAAGTAGGTCAATTAGCCCATTGTGATGAATTCAACAAGAATTGTTCATGATGGTTTCCAGGGGGAACCACGTGGAGGTCGATCTAATAAGGTATATTGCTAGCATGTCCTGTAGGGTTGGTTGATTATTAGATGAAAAGTAACCTCTGTTTTTCTCTATTCTAATTACCACATGTAGCTATGTTAAATATCATAATGTTTAGTTTAGCTATTTAAACGCCAAAAAGAAATGTGTTTATACATTTCTCATTCATATTTATAATATCATTAATGGTATAAAAAATCTCTAACCAACTATGTACATTCACAAAACCTCATTTAAATCGGTTAGATGAGATTGCTTAGCATTAATAATTTACTCTATTTATTATTTAAATTTCTGGTGCAATAAGGTGTAAAAAAATAGATGGTTTTAGAGATTTAATGGTATAGTAATCCCGTCTGTGTTATTGTTATACATTGACAGAGTACTAGTGAAGGATGATAAAATGCAGCAGATCAGTTGGCCTATCATGACTGTTTGTTTGACTGTTTCGTTTCCAGGGAGAACCGCGTGGAGGTCAATCTAATAGGGTGTATTGCTAGCAATGGAGTTGCTAATTGTTAAACTATCCCTTCTCCATCCCGTTTTGAAGATTAGCGTTGTGTATGGATATAGGATGAATTTATTTGATTTTTATTGATATTATTTATATCAGATAGTTATTTTTGAATACGGTTTATAAAATACGGTAAAAATTGCGTGCAGGACTGCCGGTCGTTTCGCGTGGGCAACACGTGTTGCGAGTTTATCTGCCTGGACGACGTGGTGAAGCCAGCGGAGGGCGCGGAGGCGAACGTGCGCGTGGCGGCGGGCGGCGCGGCGGGTGTGGTGCTACTCACGGTGGCGCTGGTCGTGTACCGCGTCCGCAAGCAGAAGCGGCGCCGGCCGCCCCACACTGATGACCAGAGGAGCTTGACTAGTATTGGGTCTGTATTATTTTGTTTGAGAGCCCAGTGATTAATCTAAAATTTAATTCTGTATAAAGTATTATACACTAGTGGAAAAGATTCAGGAATAAAAAAAAGTCTAATATTTTGGCAATTTTGTGAATGGCTGTGTCTTTGATAACAATGGTCGTATTGCAGTAAACGAAGTTGTACACAAAAAGTAAGATAGGAAAAAAATTCGAATATTTTTTTAATGATATTCATTAAGATTGCCCTATACGTGTTACTTAGATTTTTTTGCGAAACTTAAATTACTTTTTTTTTTCATAATAGTAAAACACCGTCTTTCAAAAAAAAAAAAGTTCACGCTCACTTTTTTACTTTATCCGAGCAGTAAGTGTTTTATATTAATCTCACTTTCGTGTATAATATATTATAGTATTTGTCATATATGTGTAAGTATATTTATTATTCATATATATTTATTAGTTTATATATGTAATTTTAGTATGTATATATATAAATAATTACTAGTACCGCATTCGAGTATTCTGACACTTCCCTATAGTTGACTGGGAAAGAATGCTTTTAGCATTAAGTCCGCCATGTACACATATTTGTACTAATAAATAAATAAAATAAATTAAATAATAGCTTGGGCGGTTCAAGCGCCAAGAAGTTAAAACATGCATACAAACTCACTTTCACATTTATTGTGGTTTAGTAAAGGTTAACTAAAAATTGTTTTATGGGTGATAATGGTAAGTAACTCCGCCTGTGGTATACACTGGCATGGCAACAGTGGGGGATGATAGGTGAGGATGAAGCAGGTCAGTAATCTTATAAGGCTCATATCGTAAGGCTCAGATTATAAGGCTCATCGTGATGAATCCAATAATAAATAAATCGCGATGGTTTCCATAGGAACCGCGGGGAGGTCGACGTGATAAGGTATATTGCTATCTTCTTCTCTCTTTTCAACTAAAAATGTTTGCCACCAGTATATTAATTCTTGTTTCATTTATTCATGTTGGCAAATCAGATATATTAGCGGCAGTATGGGTTACATGGGAGGGACATGCGAGACCGCTCTGGCAGCGTGGAAGCCACCAAGTAATTACCTGCCACGCGGGGAAGCACCACCGCCGTACGACGAGGCCATGGCCCAGTGCCGACCTGAAGCTATGAGGTAATTTATTTTTTATTTTAATATAGTTTAACAAGAACAAGCCAATTTAACCGCCTTGTTCCTCGTTTATCCGAAAAGTATTTTTTTTTATATACAGCCTCTGTTGGATTTTTTGACAGATTCTCACATCTCATCATGAATTTAGAACAGTTTACAATATTTTTGTTCAAATTGCTTATTGTAGTCAACATTATTAAAAAAAAAAGACAAGTAGAATGTAAAATTGCATGGTTGTTAGGAGTGTTAGGGCCACGGCAACTGCAACAAAGTCTAGCAAAAGATTGACCCCTTATTCCTAAACACTAGCATCTCCCTACAAACATACTTTAGTATTGAAGTATTTTGACATTTTTTTAATTGAATATTTGATACAAAAGAAAAATAGAACAAAAAAAAGTTTATGAGAGGTTTAATTTTTTTTATGCAACTAACAATGAACTATTAACGCCTATAGACCTGAGCGGTATCATAGACAAAATAGAGTATACTGTTTCACCCATCATACCCCCATGCATTGCCATTCTTAACATGCCTCTGTGCCCTGTAAATTCACTGCCATATCCCACTCTCCAAACCGTAACACAGCCATGCAAATACAGTTGTATTTGCTGTTTCATAGTTGAAACACGAATGGGACAGAGGTACCATTCGTGTTTCAACTGTGTGTTTCAAATTGTGTGTTTAAATCACTTTTATACAAGTCTCCCTCTGTTTCTATGAATTGTGTGTAGCATTAGTGTAGTGAAAATATATTGTTCTGTTGTCAGAATAAGCAATGAGACGCCGTTTCATCGTTCGTATCCGGCTACCATGGAGACACTGGTGCGGTCTGAGGACGCCATCCAGTGCTCTGGTCACAGCTACGTCAATATCCCGCGGCCTGTCCAACAGGTATTGGTACGATATTCGATTGTTCACTTAATGTTTTATAGTCCTCTAAGAGTCCTACTAATATTATAAATACTTATAAATAAGTATTGTTGTATTATAATATATTCAATTTTTTTACTGGGTATTTAGTTTATCTTTAATTGTACGGTTATTACCCTTGTACATTCTACAGTTTTCTTTCAGCTTCTCAAAGGTTGACTGTAAGAGATCCCTTTATGGGATAAGTCCGCCATTGTATATTAAATCATTTTATCAGTGCTCAATTTGAATTATGTGCAATAAAGACTTTACAATACAATACAATACTTATAAATAAGTTTATATTTTTGTTATTCAATCACACTTGAATAATTGTTTAATTACACTGTACTATACATTACTATTACTAATTATGTGTAAATCCAAATTTATATGAATCTGTAATTATATATTATATATATATATATATATATATATATATATATATATATATATATATATATATATATATATATATATATATATATATATATATATATATATATATATATATATATATAAGAGCATCGAGTTTCGAAAACGGGTCAACATTTTGTCAGCTAATTGTCAAATTATCTGATACATTTTTTTATCAGTGTATACTTATGCATAAAAAGTATTTTGATGTATTATTTAATAAATAAAATGAGTGTTTAACACATTTAAAAGAATGCAAAAATTATAAAACAAAATAAATGTAGAAGTTATAGAGGAAACACTCATAACTATTTATCACGGAAAATTGTATGAAAAAGTTAACCTGCTTTTTCTCGAAGCAATTGTAAGCTCTATTTTTATTTTTTATACAACTTAGAATGGCAAACAAGCTGATGGCCCACCTGATGGAAAGTGGTAACCGTCGCCTATAGACCTGAGCAGTACCATGGACATAACAGAGTGTACTGTTTCGCCCATGATACCTCCCATGCGTTGCCATTCCTGAGGACTCAGGTGTTATTCCTCTGTACCCTGTAAATTCACGCCATATCCCACTCTTCAAACCGAAACACAGCCATGCAAACACAACTGCTTCACGGTTGAAACACGAATGGGACAGAGGTACCCAAGCAATCGACTTTTGTACAAAGTCTCCCTATCTATATAATCTAAAATATAGACATACTATATGATTTATTTGATGTCCACAAATGTGAACAAATTCACATTTTTTTACGTTGGTTTGCATTTGTGAGTCTTGTTTATGCAGTATGATTATCATAGTTTGTAGATTATTTTAGACTAAACAAAGTTTTGATTTAAAAATCGTTTTTAGTTGTTTCGAATTTTTTAATTACACAAATTAATTAATGACGTGTCTTATTCCACAGATCGCGAACACACAAAGCTGCTTCAATGCCCCATTGCTGCAGCCAGTACATGCATCAGAAGCAAGAGAATCTATCCCCATCCCACATCATCCGCTCGCTCCCACTGGTGAGTGATTATTTATTTACTGAATATCAGATACAGTAAAGTAGAAAGTATTTCAAGTCTATTATAAATTTATTAGCACATATGGCACGATTTCGCAATACTTTCACAACTTTATATTTTACTTTGGTAAAATATTCCATTATCATAGGAAAATTAATAGATTGCGAAACAGTTGCAGTGCTTACATTTGACTAATTCATCTGACTCTTTAGACTTTGAAACAAAAGAGTTATTACAGAAATATATTAATTGGAGACATGGTGGTACCAGTGGTAGGGTTCCCGAGCGCGATCCGGCTGACGGGGTCGCTGGGCGCGATCAGCAATCGCGGGCTGCTGAGCGTGCTGCAGCGCGAGCCCGAGCACGAGCGGCCGCACAACGTGCCCGGCTTCTACACCGCCGCGCCCGCGCCCGCCGCCGCGCCCGCCGCCGCCGCCGCCACCGCGGCCGCCACCATGCACACCTCGCTGTCAGTCTTCACACAACCTAATCATTAAAAACCGTGGGAAAGCGATTGTTAGTAATGAGGTCTAATAGCCCCATTGCTACCAATATACATTCTTAGGTCGATCTCCACGCGGTTCCCCCTGGAAACCATCGTGGTTAATTTTTGACAAATTCATCATGGTCGGCCGACTGACCTGCATTCATTCTTACCTATCGTCTTCCACTGGTGGCTCGCTGGTGTATACCGATAGCGCGGGCGGGGTTACCATTCTATTATCACCTATTAAAAAAAAAAAAAGCACCTCGCGCGGGTTGTCCGTCGTTTGACGAATCGCTACTCATTTAGAAATAAAATTAAAAGCAAGTACAAGTAGCGCTGGTAATTTTAGCTGCGACAAGATCAATAAACTAAAAATAATTATTGATTTATTGCACTTCATTATATTACAGTTGAAATTTTATACATAAATGTTGTTTGTTTATTAAGTTCGTAAAAATGTGCCTACGGCTCACTACACATTTTGGGAAACTGTAAGTGAAGTGAGCAATTTATACTTAATTCAAATTGAAATGTCATGTCACACTCACGATGTACAACACTAGATTTCGTTAAAGTGATCGAAATTCAAAATTAATGCTGTCTTAATTATTATTTTATATATTTTCTGTATATATCAGGCACCGCACTATCCCGCGTATCGCGACTGCAGCAGAGATGAGCGCGCTAGAGGCGACGCTGGGCTTCTCCCGCGCGGATCGTTCGCTGCACTCGGAGATCCGGCGCTCGTTCCACAAGCCCACCGAGCGGCACGACACCGGCCGCAGCATGCCGCGCAATCTTAACATCGCCTCCGCCGCCTGCCTCGCTTCTGCGTCGGCTTCCGCTTCCGCCTCCGCCTCAGCGGACTCCACTCTGGACGATAGGTACAATTCACAGCTAATTACAGTCGTTTGAAAGGACAAAGGATTAGTAATGGGCACTTTTTTTTTAATGGATGATAATGGAATGGTAGCCCCACCTACGCTAGCGGTTTACACTGGTGTGGCACCAGTGAAGGATGATAAGTGAGGATGAAAAGGCAGGTCAGTTAGCCCATCGTGATGAATATACCTGGGATTTAGTACGATGGTTTTCAGGGATGACCACGTAGAGGTCGACCTGACAGGGTATATGGCTATTAATGGGACTGGTAGTACGTATCACTAACAATCTATTCCGTCCCAGTAATGTGAACTAATGTTTCCATTGCTAGAAGTATCAGGTCAACCTTCGCGTCGCCTGCCCTGGAAACTATCGCGATTAATCGGTTACGATGGGCTGTTTGCGCTTGAAGGTGAGAAGCTCTTGGTTGAAATGAAATGCTTGTCCGTGCCTCAAGTTTTATAATAAATTAAAATAAATACAAAAGTGCGTGTAGTTCTATCCGTTAACAAAATTTGAATGTTTGACCTTCTAGCGGTTAAACGGTCTATATCTATGGTTCTAATATTGCAAGTGCGAAAAATTTAACTTTTATTAAAACAACTATAATGTCTAATCTTGAACATGCCCCCGGCCTTGAAAGCTTCAGCTTTCAATTTTAAAACTTCAAAACTAGAATTAGTCATCAAGTAAGGGACATATCTTGCTGTAAGCGCGTCTCACGACACCTGACGATGTGCGAATATCGGCTACTCTAGTGATGCCGTCTTTGCCAGGGAAGATCTTCACTATTCGACCGAGATGCCATTTTAGCGGCGGTAGGTTGTCGTCCTTAATAACTACTAGCATATCAGGCTGCAGTTCAAGTGTGTTCTTCCTTCCTTTAGTCCTTATTTGAAGTTCTGACACGTATTCCTTCGCCCAACGGGACCAAAATTGCTGTCAAATCTGCTCAACTCGTTGATAACGTGTCAGTCGATGAACAGGCGTCTCAGTGAAGTCATCACTAGCAGGCACAGTAAGTGGACGTCCCACCAGAAAATGGCCTGGACTAAGAGGCGACAAATCTTGTGGATCTGAGGACATAGGGCTTAAAGGACGGGAGTTCAGGACCGCTTCAATTTGTGTCAACACTGTACTGAACTCCTCGTAGGTTAAGTGCGCGTTTCCTACTATACGACGTAAAATATTCTTACAGGACCGAATTCCAGCTTCCCATAATCCGCCAAAATGAGGCGCATAAGGCGGTATGAATGTGAATTGAATATTCTGAGCCGTGGCATATTCTATAATCTGTGACGAACAATTAGCTAAAAAATGTTTAAAGTCATTCATCAATCCAACAAAATTTCTACCATTATCAGAAAAAATCTCACATGGTTTGCCACGCCTAGATATAAATCTCTTTAACGCTAATAAATATGCATCTGTTGACAAGTCACTGACGAGTTCTAAATGTACAGCGCGCGTTACAAAACAAATAAATAAGCATACATAGCATTTTGTCGTCCTAGCACCTTTACCCTTACGATTAAGTATGAGCATTGGTCCGGCGTAGTCCACCCCAGAACGCATAAAAGGAAAGCCCGAAGTTAAGCGTTCCTTTGGTAAATCTCCCATAAGGGGAGTAGGGGTCATACCTCTCAAGCGTTTACAAATAATGCAATCATAAACAACCTTCCTTGCTAAGTTTCTACCGCCAATTGGCCACCACGTTTCACGTAAGTTATAAAGAAGCGCCTGTGGAGCTGCGTGCAACAACTGCTTGTGTTCGTGTCTGAATAGTAGTAGGGAGAAAATATGTTTAGATGAAATTAAAATCGGATGTTTTTTATCCAAATTAAAGTCGGGAGAATTTACAATCCGACCACCAACACGAATTAGTTTATTTTTATCAATAAATAAATTTAATTTAGACAAATTATGCTTATTAACTAGAGTACTATTATTTGTGAGTAACCTATACTCATCTGGAAACGATTCTAGTTGAGACAGTCGAGCCAAAGTTATATCAGATTCCCTCAATTCATCGACAGTGAGAGTACCTGACCGTTGAGTATTTTTATTGCGCGTATTATGAATAAAACGTTGTATATACGCGACAGTTCGTCTCATGCGACTATATTGAGAAAATCTAACAAATGGAAATAATGTACGTTCGCAGTCTTGATCAGTAGCGTAGGAATGCGTCACACTGGATTTCAGCTCAGGCAATAGTTGCTGAGAGTCAAATGAATTTAACGGTACATTATTGCAACTGAAGTTAGTGTGACGAAGAAAAAATGGGCCTTCCCACCATAAAGTAGAAGATGAAAGGTCCTCCATCTGAACACCACGCGAGACCAGATCAGCTGGGTTTTCCTTCCCACTGACATGACGCCATGGAAGTTCCTTCACCAACTCATGTATTTCTGCCGTTCTATTTTGTACAAAAGTTTTTTGTAAATTAGGCGACATGTGTAACCATCCTAGTACTATGGTCGAGTCAGTCCAGAACATGATGTTATCAAAATGACGACGAAGTGATTTAATTACTTTATCATAAAGTCGAGCCCCAAGTAAAGCTCCGCATAATTCTAGTCGCGGGATACTGACAGGTTTTAAAGGTGCAACCTTACCCTTTGAACATAACAATTTTACCGATACAAGTCCGTTATTAGTTACTGTTCGAACGTAGATGCAAGCGCCGTATGCAGTCTGCGATGCATCGGTAAAGATGTGTAGCTCTGTACATATCGCTTCGTTAGCTGTAACATGACGGGGTATGCGGATGGTATTAAGCATTGATAAGCCCTTTACAAATACGGTCCATGCGCGCAACACGTCTCGCGGTACCTCATCATCCCATCCTAGTTGTAATAACCATAGTTTTTGCAATAAAACTTTGGCTATTATAATGGTCGGACTTAATAATCCCAATGGATCAAATATTTGAGAAACGTGCGATAAAATGGTTCGTTTACTAATCTTGTACGTATCAACTTTAACTTGAGTATTAAAATAAAACTCGTCTGATGCATAGTACCATCCAAGACCTAATGTCTTGCACTGAACATTTTCTCCTAATGTTAATTCCTGTGATGCGTTATTATTTGGAATTTGATGAACCAACAATTCATCACATTTAAAATTAAATATCCATTTTCTTAAGTGAAATCCACCAGAACTTAAGACATCAGTGACCTTCTTACAGAGTACAAGCAACTCCTCCTTGTCATCTGAACCTGTAATCATATCATCTACATAAAAATCATTTAAAATTATTTGTTGGACGGCTGAGTCCTTACATTCGAGTGCCAGCTGCTTTAGACACCTAACACTAAGAAACGACGGTGCGGAGGCTGTCCCATACGTTACCGTGTTCAGTCGGTAAATACCTAACGGTTCAGATGGATTGTCACGCCACACAATCAACTGGAGATCGCGTTGTAATTCGTTTAAGAGACACTGCCTGTACATCTTTTCGACGTCTGCACAAGCAGTGTATCTATGTTGTCTGAAACGAAGCAGGATGTCAACTAAATCACGCTGCAAAGGAGGTCCGACTTGTTGAATGTCATTTAAAGACACTCCACTACTTGTGGCGGCACTTGCATCGAACACCACGCGAAGTTTTGTTGTGCTGCTGTGCTCACGATACACGCCGTGATGAGGTAAGAAATAGTGTGGGGTTCCATATGAAGTTACTCGCGTCATATGACCTAATTCGATGTATTCGTGTATAAATTCAATATATAATTTTTTATAGTTAGAATTACGTTCTAATCGCCTCTCTAGTGCCAAAAAACGACGTTCAGCTTGTGACAAAGATTCACCCAAAACAGATGGCGACTGTTTCAGTGGCAAGCTGACGCAAAACCTTCCGTCACTATTGCGCGTGGTAGTACGAATGAAAGCTTCCTCACAAGAGCGTTCTTCGTCAGTCTGTATGTCACTAGTTTTAGGCACCTCTTCTAACTCCCAAAACCGTCGTAACTGAGTGTCAATGGATTGAGTGAAGTTACATTGGACAGACGTATTGATATTGTGCGTGTTAAACTCAATAGGCCCTGAAATAATCCAACCTAACCTTGTATTTTGTAAAAAGGGTCCATTGGGTAATCTCATTTTACCTTCGCATAATAAGTCCCAAAATAAGTCTGCGCCTATTAAAATATCAATATTTTGAGATTCATAATATTGTGGATCAGCCAGCTGTATATAGTCAGGTATCATAAAAGACTGCGCGCGTTGACTATACATCGCAGTAGGTAGCGTAGATGTAATGTGCGGCAACACAAAACATTTAATGCGTGCGGAGTAATTGTCAATGCGTGATTTGATCTCGATATCACATATCTGTGATGACGTTGTTACTGTGTTGCCGACACCTCGAATTTCGCAAGTGGACTGTATTAAATTTATATTAATTAAATCGCATAGTGGTTTAGAAATAAAACAATGTTGACTACCACAGTCGAGAAGCGCGCGTGCTAAGTGAAACTTATTGTACCTATCGGCTATCTCGACTATAGCTGTAGACAATAAAACGGGTCGCATAGTAGATTGTTTGTGAATTAAATTAAAATTATCTATGTGTGTACTGTTTACTCGAGACGAATGAATTTGCGCGGGGATGGACTGCGCGGGCGATGCGACGGTCGCGGGGGTCATTTGACTAGAACCCGGGGTTTCGTTGTCGGCTAGATGCATTGATACGACCGCTACTCGATCAGTCACGTTATTATGAATAAGCGTGTTGTGTTTTTTAAAACACAGTCTGCAAGGTCCAAATTTGCACATACTAACTGAATGCCCTGGACGTAAACAGTTCTCACATAATTTATTTGCGGTTATAAATTGCAGTTTAGCGTCTAAGTTAGTGTCCAAAAATGTTTGACATGAATAAAGTGGATGATCGGCGTTACACATTAAACACGATTTTTTAGTAGACGTGATTCGACCTTGCTGTGACTTATTGGTGGAAACATTGCAGTGCACTTTATGTTGTGATTTTTTATGTGACGGATAATATATGACGATTGTTGTGAAGTCGCGTTTTGAGTTTTAACGTCACTGTTAACCCTGTGTGAAACTAGCAATGTTTCCAACATGTCAGCCCTGTCTCTGAGGAACATAAGTAAATCATCTACCTTCAGTGAAGAATTATCATTAATATATTTTCGTGTGGTGCATTTAAATTGTTCCCATTCACGTTCGGTGGTTTCATCTAACTTAGACGTTATAATAAATATGATTAAAGTATCCCAGTACTCAGTAGGCTCACCTAATATTTTTAATGCGCGTAAATTTCTTAGAATAATGTCTGTTAGTTTTCTGAGTGCATGTGGTGATTCCTTAGAAAGTTTTTGAATAGTAAATAAGGCCTTAACGTGGTTATGCACCAACAGACTGCTATTGTTGTATCTGTTGAGAAGTAGTTCCCATGCTACCACATAGTTACTAGCAGAGAATTCTAAGGAATCGATAACTAACTCCGCGCTTCCCTTTAGTGACGATTTTAGGTAGTGGAATTTCTGAATATCGCTAATTTCATCGGAATTGTGTACTAGAGATAGAAAAATGTCTCTGTATTCGATCCAATGCTCATACGTTCCATCATATACAGGTAGGGAGATGGTCGGAAGTTTTATAGACTGTGACGCCCTATTACTGCCCTTACTGGACGCGCTAGTGACCTCTACCGATTTGAGCAAACATTCAGCTTGAGCTAGTGCATGATAATAGCAATCTTCAAACAATTCTCGTTGCGTCAGCTGTGAATCTAAATCTGAATCTCGTACAATTTTTTCGATTTTTGTTTGAACATCGCTAAACTCTGCAAATAAGCTTGTAATACCTTGCATGCGTAATTTTACATCGGCACATTTTTGATTCGTTAATTGCTCGAGGGTAATATCACTAACGGCCTTAGAAAATTTAGTAAGCCTGCTTTTTAATATGCCACGCGTCTTGACTAGGTCCCTAAGCAATTCATTATCATTTTCATTATTAGCGATTAGCCTATTAGGGGATCTTTCACGATTAATTTTAACACTAGCCTCATTTATACTCATTTTGGCAAATTATGAAGGTACTTACGTTTGATTCTTGGTCTGTAAGATCAGCCTGTGCTAGCTGCGACACAAAGCTGCTTCTTATTGCTGAACACAAGAACTGTAACGTGACTAAAGGCACGGTGTGACACAATTGAAGCGAAGGAGATGGGGTTAGGGAGGATGGCAGACCGCTCCGGAATGCGCTTATGGACGATTGCTGTCTGCTGCTGCTCCTCCGACGCCTTAACCTCGATCCTTACTAGATGTCTTCTCACTTCTCGTAGTCCAAAACTTGTGCGATGAATTGGCATACGATGAGTCCAATGGTCGCTGACTCGTACTTTGCGTATTATTATTCGGCAACGAAGGTCCAAAACACGTATGTTTGCGCTTGAAGGTGAGAAGCTCTTGGTTGAAATGAAATGCTTGTCCGTGCCTCAAGTTTTATAATAAATTAAAATAAATACAAAAGTGCGTGTAGTTCTATCCGTTAACAAAATTTGAATGTTTGACCTTCTAGCGGTTAAACGGTCTATATCTATGGTTCTAATATTGCAAGTGCGAAAAATTTAACTTTTATTAAAACAACTATAATGTCTAATCTTGAACAGGGCCAATTGTCTTGACTTCAGCCTCACAGTGACTGGTAATCTGACAGTGTATAACAACACTATTTTCATTCCATTAAAAAACAGTTGTCCAAAGAATTTGTCTAGATCTACTCCGAGATTTACAAAGTATGTGTCTCTTGTAATGATATTTCAAACTACTCATTATCTCTTGCTATAATTATAATTTCATGTTTGAATTGTAATATGTATGATATCAGTTATTACTCTACCATACAATTTCGAATTTACATTTACCTTCAAAATTATGAGTAAATTTGGACCGACCCGCCGTTCATTCCAACAAGTATGAGCGGCTTAAAACTAGTTAAAATTTTATTACTATTATATATTATAAAACTATTATTAAAAAATTAAGTTTATTGAGGTGTCGTGTACTCGTACTGTGCAGGGTGTGCCGCGCGCGCGCCCACAGCGAGGAATACAACGTGGGCGGCGAGCCGCGGCCGGCCGCCAAGCCCGCCAGGCCGCCGCCCGCGCCCGCCGCCGCGCCCGCGCCCGCCTCCGCCTCCGCCTCCGCCTCCGCCTCCGCTGCCGCGCCCGCGCCCGCGCCCGCCGCGCCTGCCGCGCCCGCGCCCACCACGCTGCCGCTCACCGTCGATAAGGTTGCTCATAATTCTATTTATAACACCTATTTTGTCTCATCAATACGAGAATATAATTTATTTAACAAAGTACCACTGTACTTAAATTACAAATGATGGTAGGTCGTTTTGAGGACGCGTATTACTGCGTATTGTTACGAAATGCGTAAACTATGTTTTTGATATATTAATGTTAAACATATTACTTTTTGTAATATTACTAGCTAGCTCGACAAACAATACGCAGCAAGCAATACATTTTTACACAATCCATTGACAGGTATACCCAAAGTAGTATCGTCTATAGGAATTGTACCCAAAAATCTCGATATTTTACAAATTCCTTCCTACCAAATAGATTTGTTACAGAAATCGGTCATCCTCAATACCTGTCGCATAGTTAGAAAATTTCTTTTGTCGTCATTGTCATCGTCTTCATACATACTTAGGTCCGTATGGCTGAACATTTTACCCCCATAAAAAGGGAAATATTAAATACAATATATATACAAATAATTATATTCATTTATTGAAACAACATAAGGCCCTTTTTGTTAGTTATAATTTACTTAACCTATGTTAGTAAATGAGCGGTCGTGACGCTCTTGCATTGATAACATCTATGCAAGAGCTTAGATTAGATTCATTATTTAGATAGCAGAATAGATTCTGTCATCTATTCTTATAATAAATCTGTAAAGAGGTCTATTCTGTACATGAAATATATTTCCAAAATAATTATCAGGGGGTGATTAGTGATCGATACTGATGCCAAAAATGCAAGCAATAAAATTTTTGTCTGTCTGTATGTTCGTTATAGAAACAAAAACTACGCTACGGATTTTAACGAAACTTGGCACAATTATTCTTCATACTCCTGTGCAGGTTATAGTATACTTTTCATCCCGCTACGATCAATAGGAGCAGAGCAGTGAAGGGGAATGTTAAAAATGTCCACCTGTACGACGCCGGGACGGGACGCTAGTATATAATAATGACATATGAATGTTGTGATTGGCAGCCGTCGTGCGTGTGCAGCTACGAGGGCCCGAGCGCGGGCGGCGGCGAGGACGCGGACGATTACCGCAACGAGTGCGAGAACTGCAAGGCCGCCAGCAGCTCCAGGCACATATTACATTTTGTACCTACTACTGTTCACACTCACCGTTGTTACTGTAGACGCGGCTTCCATTACAATACAGTGCGATCAAAATATGTGTAGGATTGATTCACCGCCATATTGTGACGTGTTAGCTATCGGAATAATTATTTTCTTAACTCTTAATGACTACAAAGGTTTAGCCAATGTTTACCCAAACAAAAACAATCGCAATTTATTAAAAAGCTTGAGAATTGTACTTGCGAAGTCTATAGAATGGCTATGAATTTTTTAGGTCCGTCAGCTTGTTTGCCATTCTAAGTTGTATAAAAAAAGGTCTAATATTGCATATTTGATTTCCTAGATATTTTTTTTAACCAGTGGAAAAAAGTACACCAGTGTATGTAGTGTGTACATTACGGTATCGAAGTGTGGCTATTCAGGATTAATTTATATACATACGACTTAGTTATATTTGAATGAAAGTATTATATATTTATTTAACTGTGCGATCCCGATATAGAATGGGCCGTCACTTCCTGTAGGTGTCGTAGGTGGCGACTAAGGAAAATTAAAGGTAGAGGGATGGGCAGCAGTGTCCCTCTTACAATATCACTATAAGCCTAATTGCAGTTGCCAACCCGTCTGCCAAGCATGGCAACTACGGCAAAATCTCCATTATGGGAAGGCCTATGTTCAATAGTTAATGTCTGATATGAATGAAGGAGAGAATATTTTTTTAGACTTACTTTAATATGTAAAAACATAAGACTATATACGTAAAATACTCGAGTTTTCTTTAACGATTGCAATCTGTACTCTTCAAGTCTACAGTTCACAGGTCTAGGACATTGGCGTTTCTGATATTTTAATCGCATTGTTCAACTATTTTGCTCATGCTTTGTAGATATGTATTTAGTTGTATATTATTAATGTAAGATATTTTTAATAAATATTTAAAGCGGTTTTACTCACGTGTTAACTTCGGGGTTGCCAGACTAGTCATCAAAATACTGATATTTAGTAATTCAATTACGGTAAACCCTGATCGTGAATAAAAATGTTTAAAAAACGCTAAAGTTAAAAAATAACTGTCGATGTATTATTTCTCAAGCGACTTCAACGAGGAGGGAGTTCTTAATTCGGTTGTTTTTATATTTGTTATTATATAAAATCATAATTCCAACATTTATAAATCGTTTTGGAAGATTATTTTTTATCTGAATGGATATACATACAGTTGGTTAATTTTTGAAACAAAACTGGTTTTGTCACAATCGCAATCTGTGGCTAAAAATTTAAGATTTTGTTCCACAAAAGTGGAACATAATCTTAAATTATGGATGTTATTACTTTGATAAATATCTGTTGTTGCTACCCCGAAGGCGATACGTGAAGGAAGGGAATACAAAGAGATAAGACGGTGGTGGTGTGCACAGGTGGGCCCCGGAGGCGGCGTGGGAGGCGGGCGCGGCGGACGCGGGCGGCACGCAGACGCTGCAGCGCCGCGCGCCGCCCGCCGGCCCGCCGCCGCCCGCCACCGCCACGCTGCCGCAGCCCGTCACCAAGCAGAGGTACAACTACACAGCAGCGCCTTCACCCCCGAGATGGATTACCATTACAACAACAACCCTAGATGGATTAGCCATTTGAAAAATGACCAAAAATTTAGATTTTTATTTTATCCCTTATTTTTTTTCGGTAATCTATGCTGAACATGGCAGGTATATAGGCTTCTAAATATAGTACATTACTGCAGCGGCCAGCAACTGAGGCATTGATGGACGAACGTGCAAATATGGGCCGAGACGTAGCCGAGGCACACATACGCGAGTCCATCAATGCCTAGTTGTGGCCAAGGCTTGTATAGTACTTTTCTCAAACAATGCGCAGAAATCATCTATTTTTTTTTTGTGTAGAACAATATGTAATTATTTAAACACCAAGTTAATGTATAGTAATAAAGAGGAAAGATTAGATTGTTTGTAATGGATTAACCCAAAAACCATTAAATCGATTTTAAAAATTCTTTCATTTATAGAAAGCTATGTTATTAGCAAGTAACATATTATTTTTGAAAATTCTATCTACTCATGCGAAGCCAGATTGGATCGCTAGTTAATAATATTTAATTTTATTTAATCTACAGTCGAACTGTCATGGGCCCGCCATCCAACTGGGAGAATTGGTTCAACACTATTCCAGATTCGGACACAGAGTCTGAAGAAGAGTAACGCCCCACCGAACACGTGAGTGTAACACATATGATGATGCGTTCAGATATTACTAACGGATATTTCAAGGTCACGATACCAGGGTCAATGTAAACATTGCTCATTAGCTGTTTCAACTGATTTTCATATAATTTGAATTGACATATAAAATTCTAATTTTAATAATAGATTATTATCGTGACTTTTATTTTTATTTATTTGCATGATATTAAATTGAGAACAGTTGTCTTCCTATCTTCAGATAAATTTTATACTGTGACGCCATTATTTTTGTACTATACGCCATTCCAAAAAAACTGTGTATAACTTAAAACATCACAATCCAGTGATAATGTTTAATGCTTTAATTTTTTTTATATTTTTATTACACATATGATGTGTTTTGTTTTGTCTATGTACGTAATATATTTTGATAGATTTATTTTGCACTCTATTGAGTTTATTATACAGATTGTAAACCAAAGAATATTATGTTGTATTCCAAATGCACGTTGTTGTTTTAATTATTGTTTTAAACGTAAACATTATTTATTATTAATATATTTATTAATTTGGGTGTTTTGCCTATAATTAGTTTTTGTTGGGAACATATTGTATGGGTACTCATACATATTGCTTTATATAATAAGTGCGTAGTTTTAAGCAGATTTTATTGTAGTGTTAAAAATGTCATTTCAAAAAAATTGATGTTAATATTATCCAGTTCAAACATAACTCGACGCTCTCTAGATAAATTAATTGACGTTTGTAGTTTTAAAAAGGAAATATGGTGCCAAATGGGAACTGAATACAAGGATAGTTCAGGAATGAGAGTGGTGGTAATTCTACTTTTACAATGTGTAGGTAGATAGATAAACACAATACATACATGTCTGATATTAACTCAAGTCTATTCATATAAGAAATTGACCTGTTACTGCCATAGAATAAAATTTGTTTTTATTTCAAAGGTGATCTTTTATTGCTCTAAAAATGGGAAGGAGATCAGAATCAAAGAGAGAAATTAATTACAATGACGAAATATTTAATTATTCATCTGGTATATATTCTAGAATATTATATTATTAAGTCTTGCATTCTATTATTATTGGAGTTTTTTTCACATGAATTGAATGAAGTTTCTACTTAACGATCTTCTTACTGAGAAATTGTTAAATATATTTTGAAATTACAAATTACCGACTAATCTATTTTTGTCTAAGATAGTCTAGTTAAGTTTAGCTATGTAAGAAATGTTTAGAAATTTAGTGAATAAATAACAATATCAGAATGTAAAAAAATATTTTTCTCCCTCTCAAATAACTGTTAGGTATGATTAAATTATATTCCTTTTGTGAAAAAGATCTCTTCACTAGGCAGCTCGAAATGGAAGTAAATTATAGGATTTTAAGTCTGACTTTTCAGGGTTGTAAGCATTAACGATTATAATTATATGTATAAATAATTTATAATTGAAAAGTATAAAATCTAAAATATAGCATATTTCAAACATATTGACGATTTAAAAATTAATGAAGATAAATATTTTTGTCGATTATCAGACGAGTTCTACCCACCATTAACTAATGTTTTAAAGCTACTACTGTCTATATGTTCTAACTTTTTAATAAATTTATATTTGGAGATGTGAGCGGAGAAAATAAAGCCTATGGTCTGTTGCATTATTGTGTTTTGACACAAAATGTGTAATAAATAGAAACCAATGAGTCTTCAGTAATATTTATTTAGGAGTATATTAAATAGGCAATTTCTAACTACAATATATAATAAACACATATTTATTCGCAGACTATATTCACCGTACTTGCCGATATTTGTGTCTCATTGTTGTTGCAGAAAATTAATGTAATAAATGAAATATGGGAAAATGTTACTTGTGTGTGTAGACATGATCAGTATTATAGATATTTCCGAACCAAATAACTAAGTGAAATCATTGAATTAAACGAGTTAATTGAAATTTAAATGGACGTTTTATTTTCTTTATAACTGTACATATAAATTGTTTATATATATAAGTAGCAGAACGGGGACGACGTGTGGCATCAACTTGGTTAGTTCGCTGTGACTAGCCGTCTCTGGATCCGGGTCGGGCAACCAGGGGCCGCACTGTCTGTAGCCCTCCTCCTAAAAACAAATCTTGTTCATATTTGACAATAACAGATTACTTCTAAAATGTAATAACTCAACTCATATTTCTTTTTTGTTTATATATACTTGATATCTTGCAAATAATCAGAATTCAAAGTAATTAAATATAAAAGTAACAAACATATGATACATTTAAAAACTAGTTTCTTGACAGCTCAAAGCCTTGTTTTGTTTTTAACTATATTTTTTTAAAGTTATATTTATTTCAAAAGAATAAAAAGGGTCCCATATCAACCGGGTTCGTAATAGGCATTGTGAATATAAATACCATATTCATGAGAAGTGAAGAGTAATAAACTATTATTATTTTATGTTCAAGACCAGGCTAATATGATAAGTATCTAAGTATATGTGCAAGGACCTTCTAATAACGATTCACTTCATTTCTTTAATACATTCAATTCTTGATACTATGGGGTCCATTTTGAAACTTAAAACTACATAATATGTTTTTTTTTCCATCCCATTTAATATATGTATACCATATTACAGAGTGATCAGTTAAGCCGATGAGATGCTAAAAAAGGTAACAAAAAACATACTTTCACATTTATATGATAGTCGTAAGTGTGGCCCCGACAGAATGAGCCACCTATTCCTTTCCTATGGGTGTCGTAAAGACGACAAAGAGAATTTAGCGGTCGAGGTGTCCCTCTTAAAATGTCAAAGCTTAATTGTGTTGTCAACCCGTCTGCCAAGTGTGGCAACTATTGGCACAACACCTCAAGGAGGAAGCCTATGTTCAGCAGTGGACAGTTAACGGCTGATATGGCGATGAATCGTAATTATATTAATATTTACTTGTGTGTAATTGTGTGGATAGCACTGCATGTGCGGCGGCCGTCCCGGCAGAGGTTCAATGTTGCGCCAGCACGCGAGCCTACTCGCCGGGTCCAGCATGTTCCAGTCTACTTCTTTCTTCATTAACTTTGTTACTTTGACCATATCGACCTATAAATAATATGAATAACATGAAACAGGGCAGTTGCTAGACTCAAGTTTAAGGTAGGCGAAAGAACTTTTTGATAGGGCAGAAGTTTTCTTGAAGGCTTTTAAGGTAGGGAATTGCCCGTTAATGCCGTCCCTCGGGGAAAAGGGATTGTTAGCAATGGAGCCAAATAGCCCCATTACTAGCAATATACCCTACCAGGTCGACCTCCACGTGGTTCCCCCTGGAAACCATCGTTGTTTCTAGTTGAATTCGTCAGGATGGGCTAACTGACCTGCTTTCATCCTCATCAGTCATCTATCACTGGTGCCCCGCCAGTGTATACCGATAGCGCAGGTGGGGTTACCATACCATTATCACCCATTAAAGAAAATGCCTTCCCCCCCCCAGCTACAGCCATCATATGAACACTTAAATTCTTACTTAAGAAACCGTCAAAGTAATATAATTGATTTAATGATTGTTAATAGATGTTATAAGCTTTTAATTGTAGAGTTTATAAAACAACGTCATTTTGACAAGTATAGTAGTGGTCTAAATTTTTTTTATTTATATAATAATTAAATTCTTACTTAAGAAACCGTCAAAGTAATATAATTGATTTAATGATTGTTAATAGATGTTATAAGCTTTTAATTGTAGAGTTTATAAAACAACGTCATTTTGACAAGTATAGTAGTGGTCTAAATTTTTTTATCTATGTAATAATGTTTTCATTATTTTAAAATAACGGCAATGTAAAATGAAGCATTTAGTTCGTCTGATGAAGAGCGGAATGGTGAACATGAAATTCAGGTCTAAAACTTCGGAGTTAGGTTTCATAATAGATCCAATGAGATTAGTTCAGATAAATTCGTATTTCTTATTTAAATTTTCATTGAAATACATAAGCATGATCGTTTACTGGTTCGTTGTTGAGAGGGTCTGGCACCGGCTTGCCAGTGTATGGGCAGACGTTGTAAATTGCAAGCAGGAGTAGATTGGTGTCCGGCACTATAGCAGCTCCTAGAGGCCAACTACAAGCGGCGGGCGTACGCTTTAGCGCTGACATGGCCTGCGCAGTACGCTGCAACAAATATATATTAAAATGAATATTATGCAGTGACCGTGAAATGACCATAAATGTTACTAATATAATAAAACTGTAACTATGTCTAAGTCGTATAAAAAAAAATAAAAAAATAAAATAAAGGTAATACGTTGAGTGAGAAACCGGGAGTTTTCTGGAACTGTATGTTTCTTATATTGAAATTAAATCATAGCTGCGTTACTGCAGAACAAGAAAGAAGATATAGTTTTGGTTATCGACATATGACTTTATATCTAACAAACAGTACAGAATACCTGTAATTCGTACATGGGGCGTGAACGGTCGCATGCTGCGAACGTGGTGCGGTTTACCAGCACCTTTTCATCGAATAGACGATCGAACTTCTCTCGCTCATAATCACGTTTCAGGCGATTACGACGTTTCTCTTTCTCCGCTTCTGTGTCTGCCCATGCTCTGTTACCTAAAATAGTTTTATCTATTTATAAGTTGCATTTCTTGATTTAGGAAGGCAATTGTAAGAAATGTTCATGTCTATAGGCGACGTTTACCACTTTCGATCAGGTGAGCCGTCAGCTTGTTTGCCATTCTAAGATGCATAAAAAAAAAATAAAGAAATTTTTGTAAAAAACTGACGTCAAGCTTATAAATCGAGGCATTTTGAATCCAGAGTGAGACTTTGTACAAAAGTCGATTGTTTGGGTACCTCTGTCCCATTCGTGTTTCAACCGTGAAGCAGTTGTGTTTGCATGGCTGTGTTTCGGTTTGAAGGATGGGATATGGCGTAAATTTACAGGGTACAGAGGAATAACACCTGAGTCCTCAGGAATGGCAACGCATGAGGGTATCATGGGCGAAACAGTGTACTCTGTTGTGTCCATGGTGCTGCTCGTGTCTATGGGCGACGGTTATCACTTTCCATCAGGTGGGCCGTTAGCTTGTTTGCCATTCTAAATTGCATAAAAAAAATCCTTGGTATCAATGTTACCGCTATCATGCGGAAGAAAGATAAGGTAATTTATCACGTGTTAATTAATGATAGGTAATGTATGGAGTTTTCACCATTAACTGCCACCAAAAATAATTGTTATAGACACCTTATTCAAGTACTATGCATTATTATCATTTATCGCTGGTACCATTTAATTTTCACCTAAAATCATTCCATTTTCACTCATAAAAAGGTGCTCCTTGTACAGTGAATTTGTATGCATTATGTATTCGAGTACCTAATCTTCATCATCCTAAGTGAAAAATGCAACTATACTTACTATTGATCAATAGCGTTAATATTGTTGCGATCTCCCTCGATACCGTTAATAAAAGCGTCACAGATCTCCATATTGATTTCAATAGTGATGGTACCATCTAGAAAATACACAATATAAAAAAAATATTTTGTTTAAAAATTTTATAGAATAAAATATAAATAACTTGTTACCTAGATAACGGATAGGAGACTTGAAGTACCTATAACTATTTTGATGCTAGCGACTTCTATAGGTTTTTTTTCATAGAAGTTACACAAGTAAGAAGATAAAAGGTAAGTTTCATGGCCTAAGTTATATCAAAGTCAATTAGAATGGGTTTTATAAAACACTAGCTGTATCTCGCGGCTTTGCTCGCATGAATTGCTATATAACACATCTCATGTTTTAAGTTGGAATATAATATATCTGCGTACCAAATTTCAATCGAATCCATTTAGTAGCTTTGTGTTAAAGAGTAACAAACATTCATACAACCTCACAAACATTCACATGTATGATAGTAAAGGAAATATTTAAAATAAGATAAAAACTTACAATGGAGGTAGCACTATCTTTACTATCCTCATAATTGAAGCAGACACCTTGATAATCATGGATCCAGTTGAGACGAAACACTTTGGCGTCGAGCAGGGCGGCCATGGCGGCGGGGTGTACCGCGGCGAGGTGCCTCCTTACCGGGTCCTCGTTGCTAGTCCTTGTGTAGGACGTGTCGCCAGCCACTATCCATCCACCCTCGTCCACCAGTACGCAAGACCAAATTGTACCGTCGCATTTAGTTTCGCAGTCGTCCTCCTCTTCATTACACTAAACAATAAATAGATTTAAACATATCACATAACGCTATATACTTAGTTCTAAAGTCGATTTTATATTATGGGATTAAACAACTGATAAATGTTTTTTTTTATGTTTATAATTGTCACTAAAGCTATTTATAATTTACTCCCCCATAGACTGCCATAAGGTACAATTTTGGGCTAACTGTATCGACTGTATCTACTTGTCTACCACTGAAGACTCGTTGTCTGTTTAATTTTAGCGTTTTCCTCAGATATTGTTATAGTTTGCTTAGGTGGCCGGTCGTAAAACTAAAAACTAAATCTTTTTGTAATATGGATAAAAACATATTACGCCGACCCCAAATAATAATTGGGATAAGGGTAGGAAGACGATGATTGCCATAGTTTGAGACAGTGTTGTGCTTCTTCTATGCAATTTAAATTTCCTTATATTATAAGTAAAGTATTTATGTTCAGCAGTGGACGACGGAAGAATTATTATGTTGAGTATAACATCATTACAATTCTTCCTTATATTTTGCCACAAATATTATAAGTAGGTATAACAGATATTGTCATTAAGATTAATAGATAACGATTATTTACATTGCCTGTATTATCATTTATCTGTATTTGTAATAACTTACAGGAAAATTTGTGATAAGCTCAAGGAAATCCTCCAAATGTTGTGGGTAAAAGTGAAATCCGGCCACACCAATAATGCCTTTTTCCGAGTGTCCAATGGTTCTGGCCGCTGTCAGCCACTCTGCCCGAGTCCCTACCTATATAAAATAACATTTTTATTACAAGATCTTTTGTTTGGTATGTTGATTGTCCGAGATAAATCGCATATAGTAATATGCGATGGAGAAGAGCATAGGCTAAATTACTAAACTTCATAACTATTGGTTGAGCCATTTATATGTTTATAATATATATTAGCACAGTACAAAAACTCCATTTTATAAGTAAGCATAGTAACGATATTAATTAGTATTAATTTTGCGATTTTATGGTATGTTTCATAGAACATACCATAAAATGCGACATATCGCAAGTAAGTTCAAAAATCCATTTTAATTTGATGTAAAACTTAAATATAATATTGTTATAATAAATGGTAAGTAATGGAGATATTAGTAGCTTATTACACATATCAGGTCAATCTCCATGCGCCTTCCCATCATATTTACTGATGGGATTTATGTTCTAGTGGTGCCCCCCAATTGTATATTATTAGCATAAACGGGGTTATCGTTTTTCCATTTAAAAAAGCATCCCCATTAAACAATTTTTTCTCCAATACAATTGATTGTAATTGTAACAGAAAGTATCCCAATATGTACACGTAAGTTAAACTATCTCGTATAAGTGTTATAATATAAAGGAGAGAAGAGAGTTGTGGCGATGGCGGTGGGCACTGACTGGGGCGACGGTGGCGTCCGAGCTGCGCAGGCGGCGGTGCGGCGTGACGGGCGCGTGCAGCAGCAGCGCGCCGGGCGCGGCGGCGGCGCGCGCGTACCACGGCTCGTCGGGCCCGCGCGCCCACTCCGCGCCGCTCGGCGGGTCCGCGTGCCGGCTGGCCGCGTGGTACTGCTGCCACCGCGACAGCCCGCTCTCTGTACCACCAACTCGAACTTGTTAGCTATCTAGTCGCTTAAATTCTACCACCGAGGAATTAAAATATTCACCATTTTGTGTAGGTTGAGAGGCGTATTGGTATTTTGACCACTTATTAACAAGAATTTGAATCTTAAAAATAAACAATCTTGAAGTAGGCATATAAAGTAAAATTGAATAGTTTTCTTTTTTAGGATAAGGTTGCTTTTTTTTTTAATTCATTAACCTTAACTGTTCGAAGTCATTTTTTTAAATATTACGTATTTTATAATTACGTATCGAATGCGCATTCACATCGCCTCTTTGCTTTGTGCCAATTCGATCTACATTCAGTGTACGCCTCTTCATATTAAATATGCACAAGTAAAGTAATAGAAATACTATATAAAATAATAAATAGTTAAATAATAATAAAAAAATATTAAAGTGGGTTTAAATTTATAAGCATTTTTGATAGTTTTAGTGTAATAAATATTGAGGCGCGCATTCAGGATCGCGCTCGCGTCATAGTCACTCATGACTACGGATCCCGAATGGTCTCGAAACTAGTCGAGTTTTCTCGACTAAAATACACCGAAAGTTATCAGTAGTTGTTACATTAGAATAAAAAACGTACGAAATTTTTAATAATAAAATTTTCAACACTATTTTATGAAATTACTGCCCATTCAGAATGCAATTTCAGCTAAGAAGAATGAAACTCAGCTGGTGTTTTTTCCAAACAAAAGTTGAAATGTAAATACACAATTGGGACATAATGCGATGTAAAAGCCTTTACAGGTAAATAGTACCTACATATCTGCTTTTTTATTGCCGACGTATCGACGTGGATTGTATCACGTCGTGGTTACGGCAGGACGTATTTAAAATATGTGTAAACAACGCGAAAGTTTAAAATTAAATTGAAATGTAAAGTTATATACAAAAAATTGTAAAGGTATACAATGAATATTATTTAATACGAACCACTAGCGAAGAATGCTGTGACGGAGCCGAGCTGAACGGAGGCATCTTCATCGGGGTCTTTTTGATCCTCGGCCCATTGGCTCGTAGCGATTGCTTCTTTGCACATGTGAGCCATTAGTTCCTCGTCACCTATCAATGTACAATATGCGAATGTTAGTAAAAATATTTGGTTATTTAGATGGTTGAGTTTTAATATCATACTGAAATGTTTGAACAGTTTGAATGAAAAATTTTAGCATGTTTTTTACTTTAAGTATATACGATACAACGTTTCTAGCATAAAATACAAAATTGATCCTCTATTATTTGATAAGGTTTTAAAATGGTCATTCTTCATCACAGAAGGTAAACTAGAACCTAATTAATTATATAAATTGTTCAAAGGTTGAGTTTATATATTTTAAAATTTTGAATATTGCATATCTATATAGTTCTAGGATATATATACCATGTAAGTAAATCATTAATTCAAAAGTTAGTAGTGGACAATTAATTGCTGAAAATTATTATACTGATGAAGTATTTAATCGAAATAAATATTGAATAAGACTAACATTGGTACGTTTTCTCTAATAATGATGGTGGTATTGGTGAAAACAGATGTTTGAGTTTTTTCATTACAAAGTTCGGTTCGTCGCTACGGCGCCTGATGAAGTGTAGCACTTCAGCATTCCGGGAGTCGAAATATGGTTCCACATGGCGACAGTACAGCCTGTACACACAGAAAATATTATTTTAGGCTTCTCTTTAGCATAATATACATCTATTTTCTAATCTATTGGTTCAATTCTTGGCGTATGGGGTCATGCGATATTGATGTACAGTTTTAATTGCTTGGTTTGTTCGCTGATTGATTAACCTGGTAAATAATAAAATTTCTACAATATAAAAATCAGCAAGAAAGTGACATATTAAGGGCTGTTTCATACCTACGTGGTTAGGGTGATAGTATATCTTTGATGGAAATTATTATGTATTATAAGTATAACAATAAATATTACCAATCTGGGTGTATCGAGAAGTCTGATCTGGACAGAGTTTTCAAGCACTCCTTAGCTAATTCTTGGGTGAAGTTCCCGCTGGGGACGGCTCGCCGCCGGTTGTACTTGGGAATGACGACCACAGCTGTGTAGTGGTCTAGGATTCTACTCCAATGGTACTCTCTTTCTTCAACGATGGCTCGCATACCTCCCTCGAAGATATTCTTAGACAATATAGTTCTAGTGCCTTGTGCTTGATCTATCACTAATGCTTTGCGGAACTAAAAAAATAAATAAATAAACAGGATTACTTGAGTAACGTCTATGATTTAAAATTTACATTGAGGTGTTGTCCACGAGTTATACTGAAAAGTGCAACAACAAAAACTATTGGAAACTATTTATAGTTTTTTCTTTATGTAGATATATTTTAGTCATTAATAATACATAAAAAAAATATGTACATAAGATATTTTACTCATCATCATCATATCAGCCTTAACTGTTCCGTGCTGGACACAGACCTTCCACACAGACTGCCATCAGAAACGATTATGACCGTATTGCAGGGTTTTGTCAACATTTGCCACGCTTGGAAGCCTGGATGAGAGCCAAGGTTGGTAACTTGGTAACCGTAATTAGGTTCTGGTGATGTTTTAACAGGGACGCTGCTACTTATCCCTCGATCATTATGTTTCCTTAGTCACCTCTTATTTGTAGTGAGGGATAATAAGTGAGGATGAAACGTACGTTAGTTAGTTCAACGTGTAGTGTCACTTGGAATTCACCATGATGGTTTCCAAGGAGACCACGGAGATATCGACCTGATAGGGTAAATTGCAGCAACAGGACTAGTAGTCCTTATTACTAACAATCCTTCCCCCCAGAAAGGAAGGGTGGGCCATTCTATGCCGAGACCCCACAGCATAAATTTTATTAAACATTATAAAATGAACTAACCTCTTTCCATTCTTGGGGGTAATATCTAGGTGGGTGACTGATACCCGCTTGTTCTATATCTGAAAAATCGATGGTGCGGTATCCAGGTTTAAGAATGTCCCCATCAAACTGTAAAAAGAGTATCAATATTAGTCTATAATTAATTTGAATTTTTGTTTGATTTATAAGATGATACGCAAATTAATGACTTACAGTAGGTTTTAAATTATCATGTAATACTATATTGCCGCGATGATCAATAAGGAACAAAGTCCCACCAGCGCCCACCTGTAAAACAGAAAAACATAAAAAAAGAAATAGATTTTTTTTACATTTTTCAATATAATTTAGTTAATTGTATTGATATATTATTTGTTGTATTTTCATTACATTGACTCAGAACAGTGAGATCGTGACGTACACACAATTATTTAGTAATAATTAAATCTACCTAATTAATAATAATTCATAGTTAAATGTGTTATGTATAGTAACGAAAACTATATTAAAATCGGTCTAGCTGAATGTACCTAACATATATCATGATGCTCTAAGACGAAAATATAAAGTGTTTTATTTATAATTATTTTTTTCAAATTTTTTTTTTCAAAGAATAAAATTACAATGTTTCAATCAATTTGTTTGTTTTGAATTGGAATATTTCTTACTGTGATTAACGACACTGGTTATCGATATAATAATATAATCTTATGTTGGCTTAATTACGTAAACCAATTAAGAGTTTAATGCACAATACATACATTTAATAAGTTTATATTGTCTGCTATAATACATATACAGATAATTTTTAAAGGTTCATTGATTTTATTCAATTATTTGATATTTTTTTGTATGTGATTTCGCCATATGATATCACATAAAGGCATGATCACATAAATAAATTCTTACTTGTTATTCAAATAAAACATCGTGAAATAATTATTTTTCTTCTCTAAAATTAAATTGATAACCAGGCCCTTATTTAAGATAATTGAAAAAAGGGGAACAGTTGGTTTTATAATATTTGTAACATATTTGAAAAAAAGAAGTTTTTAATTTGACTATTTATTTTATTTATTACACTATTGTATCAAAATTACAGTATTTCTTAATGAATTTTCAATAAGTATAGTGTAGTACAAAAGGCGGTCTTATTGCTAAGCAATCTCTTCCAGACAACCTTTGGGTAGAAAGAATTAATAATTAAATAGGTAGGTGGCGCGTAAAATAGATCTGTAAGAATAATATGAAAATCCTTTTGTGTGTCTACGCTTTATATTCTACTATTGTATTTCAAGATTCCTTTCATTTATCGCATTGGTCTTATGGCTTTAGATAAATATTATGCTTTAAAGTTACAGTATGACGGTATAATGGAATTACCTGATGGTAAGGTAGAAGCATCTTCAAATGATCGACTGGTATGTCCACTCCAGCTACGCCTAGTAGCCTGTTGACAGGGTACTGTAAACATAGTTTATTGTTATTTATTTATGCTAGAGCGACAAACAATTTGATAGTCTACCTGATAGTGATCAATGCTTAGTATACATATGTACTACACATAAAAACATCATGACATCACAAGAATATACTGTACCACTTGAAATGATCCCTGTAAGCATGTATTATATATATTAACCTGTACTAAGGTTAATATATATAATAAATACTCAAATGTTAGATATTGTACTGATTATCAACGTTTGAATTCTTTAAAATTATCTTTAAATACTTTTAAAAATATTTATCTTAATATTTTGTGAAGCCGCGTCAAATATTTCTGTTTACTAGAAAAGTAGCCTAGAAAGTCTTCACGTCAGCGAGTATCAACAACAAACAAGTAGTGTCAAAACAACGAAAATTGGTCTAATTAGAATCATTGGCGTATTTAATATATGAAGTTTCATTCGCATCCTGAAGTGGGCACCAGCTAATTATGGGGTGGGCACGGTTCACATGGACCCCGTCTAAATACGTTTATGGTTAGAATATAAAAGTATAATAAATATTTTTGTACAATACATTCTATTTCTGCGGACGAATTCTTAGGAATAGCAACAAATGGTAAAATTTCGATAGGTTTGGATACTTCATAGTAGAGTGTGTGTGTAAATAAATGATTTTCCGAATCGGAGGTTTATGATACCATTATAGTAGTATTACATTGTACAAACAGGCGTGTTAATTACGTTTCATGGTAGACCCCGGGTAGTGAAGTTATCGTATTGGTAGTTCGGAACATTTCTTTTATTCTGATAACGTATCATAAATACTATATTAGTATAGGTTGTTTAGATAATTGATTAACTTGTTTACTTACCGTTCTCGTAGAATTCCTTTGCCATTCCTAAAATCACAATTTTAATATGTTTTAATTATTACTTGATAAGATCAATTGATTATGAATAAATAAAGTTTGATACATCGATAATTCAGTGTAATTGACACAAAGGACGATTTTAGAGATTATAAATGTACACGATAAAGACATCTCGCCTCTTATTTTGTAATAAATTAGGTATTTTGGTTTACTTAAAAATGATTAAACTTATAACTTTATTCTTTAATTAAAAGTAAAAATAAATATATAAATTAAAAGTAGAAACTATCTACTACAACTTTCCATTTTTCATCGCATAATTATATTTCTGTTTTGCCAAAGGTTGATTGAGAGAAAATGCTATATATCATTAAGTCCGCTTTTTGTACTAAACATTTATTGTAATGTTGTCAATAAAGTATAAATAAATAAAATTCCATAACAAAGCAAACAACATAAAAAACGTTATCATACTTTATCATAATACTGAATTCAATAAATAAGTTTTGCAATATATAGTTACATATTAATTTAATATTCTATGTAAATCAAGTATTTAGTGAATATTGGATCTGGTCATATAAACAAGTTATATTCTTCGATCTTATTTAAGTGATGCGCTATTAAATATGCGATAGTTACCTCATCCAATGTTTTTGTAATATTCTGAAAAAAAAGGAAATATTAATAGCATTGATATAAAGTATATAAATAATAAATAATAATAATAAGTATATAAATAATATATAAGTATAGTAAATAATAATTTATAAATTCATCTGTATTATTAAAGAAGAAAAGAAAAACAGTCGCAATGATAATAGTAAAAATTTTATCCTTGTCCTATTTTATCTAATGTATTAAGGTTCCTTCAGGGTCAGCAATGCATACGTGATATCCCTAGTGCTGCTGGCGTCCATAGACTACAGTGACTGTTTACCATCACACAAATTGTTCGCATTTTAACAAAATTCTGTGACAATTTTATGTCGAATCAAATCGTAGAATTAAAAGGATATCGTAGAACTACAAGGATAAAATTACAATTTCTAAGCTAGTTTTGCCTAATCACATAGTTTTTGCTTCTATTGCCCATATACGTACTTTAGTTTTTAGTTACAAGTACAATTTGGTATGTAAAGAAAACGACTTCACATTTACATACATTAACATACAGCCTCCAACGAATGATGAGATATACGTAGACCAAACTTAGAGGTAAATCTTATTAACTAGAAAATCAATTTTCGAAATTATGTAAAATAGCAAAAAAACAGTCATCATTAACGAATTAGCTTTTTTATACTCCATAGACATTCATATCTAGTAAGTACTTACTTATTAGGATACATCATTATATCAGCCTTTAATTGTCCACTGCTGAACATAAGCCTCCCCCTTGGGGGGTTTTGCCAGTAATAATAATAATAAAAAAATTTATTGCCATTCTTCACAAATTATAATGTACATAAATTAATTAATCAATATATTGTCCATTAATCGTATGCGCCTGGCAATAGGTACAAACTCAGCTTTTGCTGGACTGATGTTCGTAATTGCCATACTTGGCAGGCGGATTGGCAACCTCAGTCAGGCTTTAGTGATATATATTGTATTGTATTTACCTCAACCGTTATGTGGTCAAACACAGGTACTGAAATACTTATTTGAAGACGGTAGTTTATATCTTCTCCTTCATAATAGTAGCCATATTTTTCCTGCAACAAAAGTCTATATAGGTCTTTTAATCATTCTCTCATTGTGAGTCCGTGAGTATGTATTTTACGTAAGTTTGGAACCATGGACGAGTGATGTCAGTAAAAATTTGACGCAAACAACGTTGCGTGTAGTAATATTTATAATTGACTAGTAAAATAATATAATAAGTTCCAAATTAATTTAATATTTTTCCATCAAAAAAAAAAAATTTATAAATTAAACCAAAAAAAAAAACAGATTTGTTTTAAAATTTCTATAAGACCCATCTGAAGATCCTTTTCGATAAAAAATAATTTTCCAAAACGATTTATAAATACCGAGAGTTAAGAGGTAACATACTCGTATATAAAAAATATAATCGAATCGTGAATCTTCTCCTTTTTTGAAGTTGGTTAACAATGAGGAATAATGATTAATTTGTTTACCACATTCAAGATTTATCATTGTTTATAAAGGACGTATAATTATGACATATTGCGATGTTGATTTTTAATATATTACTTATCTATTGGATCAATGAGACTTTGTTTAGTTCCGCCACTATCAAACAACAAGTACAACGACCTTCTCCACCACTATCGAAGTCCCACCACCCAGCGCCGTTTTTAGACTATGTAGATACATATATGTTATGTTTTATACAATTTGCAATAGTTTATTTGCTATTGCAAATTGTATAAAAAAATTTGTGTACAAGCTATTGGAAGTTGAAGAAGGGACATAAATATTGTATACTCGCATTGTCAAACCCGTCCCTATAATTGTGTTCTAAATGAAATCTCAATATGCAGAAGAAATAATTAACTTTGAGTTGATTATTTCTTCTGATTACAAAAACGAACTGGGCAATTTATGAAACGAATGAGATAAAAATTAAATAGGTAAGAGATTAGGTATATATACTTCATAATATTTCAACCATAACTTCGGTTAGGAAATATAAACAAATTTTAAACTCTATAAGTACCTAATAGAACACTGTTTAGCAAAGACACAAAATGAGGTTTTTATGCAACTTAGAATGGCAAACAAGCTGATGGCCCACTTGATGAAAAGTGGTAACCGTCGCCTATAGTCATGAGCAGTACCATGGACATAACAGAGTATACTGTTTCGCCCATGATACACCCCATGCGTTGCCATTCCTGAGGGCTCAAGTGTTATTCCTCTGTACCCAGTAAATTCACTGCTATATCCCACCATTCAAACCGAAACAGCCATTCAAACATAACTGCTTTACGGTAAAAACACGAATAGGACAGAGGAGCCCAAGTAAACAACTTTTGTACAAAGTCTCTCTCTGGTGAATTTTGTGTATAACAATCTCATCTAGAAAATTTGTAAGTACAACGTACAAGGCTTTCCTGATGCATATAGTCTTTATAGAGGCGTTGATCGCTGAGTAAATTCTTCTTATCGCGACGTAGCTCTCTGTATCGGTACGCTTGTTCCGCATTCTCTTTTTGTGACCAATAGTATTCTGCTCTTCGGGGATCCTGTTGGGATTTCATATTTTTGTTTAAGAAAAAAACAAATTTTACTTTTTTTCTGGTATTATGTGTATTTTTTGCATTTATGATATCTATCTTTTCCTAATTCTACCAGTGCTTTAAAATGTTGTAATTGGAACTTTGTATTTAATTTTTATTTATGTCACTGGAATTGGTAAGCAAGCCGACAAGCCATGTGATGGAAAAAAGGTAATTGTTGTTTATAGACATGAACAGCATCTTAGACATTGAACACACACTGTGGCGTACATGATAGATACACTTCAGTATTGTTATTTTGAGGACTAAGTTATTATGAGACCGTGTGGTCCCGGCATAGAATTAATCACCCCTTCCTTTCCCGTGGGTGTTATAAAAGTCGACTCAGGGACGGCAAGAGATGGGCAGCAGTGTCCCTCTTAAAACATCTCTAAGGGCTAACTGCGGTTGCCAAACCGCTTAACGAACTTGGCAATTACTGGCAAAACTCTGCAAGGGGGAGGCTTATGTTCAGCAATGAACAGTTAAAGGCTGATATGATGATGATGATGATGAAATTATTATGTACCCCGTATCCTGTTAATGTAATAAAACTATCCTTTGAAGTGGAATATTGAAAAGTTTGAAAATAGAATGTTACCTCAACATGAGCATATACATCGCTGAAGACTCTGAGGCGTTGTTCGCGTTGCGCTACTAGAGGACGTTCTAGAATGCGCAGAATCCTCATGACCTGTTCAGTAACATCGGCGTCGGTGCTTAACTCTGCGAAGTGTCCGTCTCGATCGCAAGTTATTATATCTCCATATTCACGTGTACTGTCGCGCAAACCGTACGGATCGTGAAGCCATATCACGAAGAGTCTATTGAATACAATCACGAACAATTATTAAAATAAAATTAATGAGAATTATCATAATTAAAAAGAAAGATTAGTTTTTTTTTTTTATATTTGGTAAACTCGGAACATACTTAAACAGTTTTAAAAATTCCTTCACTTTTCGAAAACTACATCATCAGCGAGTCACATAGGGTGTATTTTATTTAAAACTAAAGCACGCGAAGTGCGGGCGAATTGCTAGTTTTTATTAAAATAGACAAGAACTATTCCGATTATGCCAATTTTTAAATAAGGAAAATTATTGTCATCGTAGATACAATCTTCATTTGCGTATGAGTAAAAATCTCATTAGAGAGACTTATAACATGTACCTATATAGAGAAATTCATTATCACGACCTTCTTTTTGCTATATTCCAATCTATATACATAATCCAATAGGTTAGCCTGTGAGAGTGTGCAAAGCTCTACCAAACAATTAAGAACTAACCTGACTAAAAGCTTTTGAGAAGAAATAAATGTAAATAGAATGCTAACGCATCGCCGCTATCAATGTACAATAATGGGGTACCAATAGAAAATGAGGAAGAAAGCAGATCAATTTGGCCATCGTAACAATTTTTTTTTATACGACTTAGAATGGCAAACAAGCTGACAGCCCACCTGATAGAAAGTGGTAACCGTCGCCTATAGACATGAGCAGTACCATAGACATAACAGTACACAAACATACTGTTTCGCCCATGATACCCCCCATGCGTTGCCATTACTCAGGTGTTATGCCTCTGTAACCTGTAAATTCACGCCATATCCCACCCTTCAAACCGAAACAACCGAGTTAATCACGACCAGTTAGGTTATATTGCTAACAGTGAGACTTTTAAACCCCATTAATAACAACCCTTTTAATCGTAGTTTATCCATTAAGATGCTATGCTGCATATACCATATACAGACAAAAGCTGACAAGCGTCTAATAGCTCGAATATTCGTAAAATTCTAATACAAACCTAATTTGACCGGTAGGATCTAAATCTCTTAATAGCTCTGTATAGTTTCTGTCGACGCTATCAGTGACTATGATAATAATCTGCTGACAGGAAGGTGGATGATCCGGCGTGTGTCGTTGTTTCTGCAACATCTGCACTGCGTAGCGGAATACTAATTTCAAATCGGTTTTGTTGGTTAACGCGTAATGATCCATTTTGGACGTGATGGCTGCCGTGTTCACGTGGTTTGCCTGGTAAACGAAAAACCTGATTGATTAATTCATAGCGCTTTGCATCTAGACTTTATTACTGTAATGGATAGCCAGGATTTAACTCCGGTAAAGTTTTGCAGGTGACGAATACTGATAAAATTCATATATATTTTTTTGTTAAGAGTGAAGGAAAATAGTGGAACTTCTCTTTTATCCGTATTCGATTACAAAGACATAACATAACATCCGCCTTTTGTGCCACACATTTTTTTGTAATGTGGCCAATAAAGAATAAATAAATAATTAAAAACAAATAACAACAAGAACGTGACGAGAACATTATATCTCACCAGTATATTTTTTTTTATATAACACAGGGGTGATACGAGCGTGCGGCTCACATGAAAGTAAGTGACTACCGCCGCCCATGATTACCCGCAACACCAGAGGCATTGCAGGTGTGCTGCCGGTATTTTAAAAAGGAAGTATATATAGAGTATATGTTTTCGCCAGGCTTTGAATGCGGTTCAACGGGAGGAGCCGGTACTATGGCACTCTTGCCCATAGGTGAGGACAGTATTCCATATGTGGCCTGCCTGGAGCTTTATACAATTTTAGGTGGTGTTCCGGCATGAAATACCGTCTTATTCTATTGAGCATTCCTAATTTTTGGAGGCCATCTTAGTCTTATCCTCCAGGTGACCCCAAAACCGGACGTCAAATATTAAACGATATTCAAAGTTCTTGAGTTGGAATTTGGGAGACACCAAAAAGTATATTACCAATTTTAATTTCCAGTTCTAATGAAGAAATCAATTCTTAATTAACTAAATTAACCCAAAAGATGATGGTTAGTTTAGTCTATTTAGGTAATAATGCGTATAATTTTATTTATATTATTTATTAATTGTTAAAAGCAAAACAGACGTAATTGCACTAACCGGTACAAATTTTTCGTTGAAGCACCTTATGAGAGATTGAACTTTGGTATTGAATTTTAACACGTTGACGTGATCATCGTCTGTGAGTGCGTTTAGTAAGGCCAGTAGGAAATTTTTCGCGATGACTTGGTTGGTAGAGTTGGACATTGATCCTGTGGCGTCCAGCAGAACTAGTACGTCACGGGGTGCTCCCCCGGCGCTTACATACCAAGGGCGGAGTCGGCAATCATACACACTGTCGGCATCTAGCTTCAGTTTATACATACTTTCCCATAAGGCAGCTGAAATCAGATTATTTGGATAATAACATAATTTCGCTGCTATGTGTACCTTATCAAACTGAAACATAGGCTAGCATGGCATCAAGTGAGAGGTATATTTTTACCCAAGCAGACGACTTTGTACCAAGGCAATTTATATTTACACAAATGAATATTAGCGTCTTATATTTAGATTAGCTTACCAGGATAATGTCGCAGAAATCCTTTGGCACTGCAAAAATATTGGAAGTCCATAGTTGAGTCTTGAGCATAATTTTCTTTGAACACTGATAACAATCCTTCCGACCAGTACAAATGTTTAACTATATCGGGGTCTGAAAATATTAAAGTATTAATAAACTTACTATGTGCTTAAAAAACTACTACTTGCCTCACTTTGCGTGTTCTACCGCCTGTACATTGAGTTGTGCTCAGAGGAATTGTTTAATATAATGCCCACAGCCACTTTCTACCATCGTACAACTCGCCATCGACAGGGAGTTCATCCTCATGTCCTACAGCCTCAATGGTCGCGTACTGCGCGGTTTCAGAGATGTTTCCTCCCACGAACACTTAGGTTGTGGAATGCGCTCCCTGCCGACGTTTTTCCTAGATACTACAACATGGGGTTCTTCAAAAGGGGGGTAAAGAGGTTTCTTCAGGGTCGGCAACGTAAGCGTAATACCTCTGGTATTGCAGGTGTTCATAGGCTACGGTAACCACTTACCATCAGGTGGGCCGTATGTTTGCCACCTCAGTGGTATAAAAAAAAACTTACTATGTGTAAGCGATATGTGTAAGGTGATGTCAATTTCTATCTCCCAATTTCATTTCAATTCAAATCACTTCCGCTACGAAACTTCGTAGATCTTTCAAGATCTACGGAATTTTGTAGCGTTGTAGTTTTCGTAGTTTATCTTTTTATTTTATCATTAATTATTTTGATTATTGTTTGCCACCTCAGTGGTATAAAAAAAATACTTGAAAAAATTATAATTTTCGTGCATGCCAAATTATTTGTAACATTTAAATATTAATAAAGCAATTATAAGAAATTAAGATTATATTGTAATTGTAAAATGGAAATTATCAAAGTCGGTTCAGAATTGAAGAAGAGATTAAAAATCTTTATAAAATCTTTATGGCATAGCCCAAAAACAATCGATAACCAAAATACGTACTGCAATCAAAAACTTCTGGTGACACGTATACGCTGGAAGTAGCCATCGACACATCCGCGTCGAAATGCATACTTCTAGCTAAGTTAACTTTGTTTAAGCTTCTACAATCATAGGGTTTCTCCAAATCGCTCTCAGGCACCTCCATTTTTTTCAACACGTTCAAATCCTTCAAGAAATTTTCTGTGTTAATGCTTTATCTATCGTTTACATTACATAACATATTGTATTAATTCCAAAGGGTACATATTTATATTAATATTATTTTTATTATATCTAACTAGTTTTTTGACCGCTACCTTGTATGTATGGTTTTCGAAGTAGAAAAACTAATGAAGTAGATAATTTCTAGATAATCATGAGAAATCATATACTAGATTTTAAGTTAGACCCTCAGGAATACAAGTGTGAAAACCGCATTCAATTTAGTTCAGTAGTTTTTACGTGATGCTTAAACAAACATACAGATATATAGACAAATAAAATTTTTTAAAATGTTGTTTTAAGCCTATTTAGATTCTTCATATTCTTAATTATATCCGATGTACAGACATTACTAATTACAATTTTATTATTAGTATAAATACTTTGAAAGTAGGCAAATTTTTATCAATTAAAGGCTTTAATATGAATCATATTTTTATCAGACTAGGAAGAAAGTAAGGTAATACATATCTACGTGCGAATATCCGTTTGCCTGTCGGGGTTTTTGTGTGTTTGTCACGTCCGCGTGTTATATTACAAAGATTGGCAAACAAGTTGATAGTGTAATTGAAAGTGGTAACGACCCATCTAATGGTTCATATAACATGAACAACAAACGAGCTCATGGTGAGCATATATGTGTAATTAAAAAAAAAAACAGTAATATAATGTATAATTAACGTGATCATACGTCCTGCTTTGGGCGGGACAGCCGCGCTTTCATGCAATCTGTTCCGATGTTCACAGCGAGGGCGACATAGTCTCGCTTTTGCAAACAGATCAAACGATAATTTAAAATGTACTTTTCCAAATGTTTCACTCTGGTAAATTAAATAAATTGTCATGTTATGTATAATACTAACAACACTGTAATCGAAGGTGTAGTCCTCTGGTGGTGTGGCATTAAAATTAGCAAGCTCCTCAGCGCGGCGCATTATGTTTTCAACAGCTTGCGTTCGCCTCAGTAGCAATTCTTCGAGATCCTTTGCCATCTTTTGGACTATAGCTGTTCCATTGCGAACTTTTATGTTAATGTCTGAGAACTTTTGTAATAACGCCTTCCTATGGACCACACGTTCTTCTTGCTCTAGCAGCTTTTCGGATATTTTCTCAGCCCACTCTCGTACTCTGTTAATATAATAATAATAATATTTATTGAAATCAAAAAGACATGTAACCATTATACATTTTGTTTCCAAGACTTCACACTAGGATTCCCTGTGTCGTGAAGTTATGGGCCCTCTTTTGCTTACAAATCTTATAAACTAATTTACAAACTTTAGTCATATAATACCAGTATTATTAAAGGATTTTTATAGCAAGAAGATAAAGAAGACCGAAAATAGCAAACGGCCTGCTTGATGGTAAACCGATTATGGATACCTTTTCATGTAGTGATGAAGTAAGTTGAATATTATTTATCGTTCATAGGATAAAGTAAATGGGATTAACGGAACAAAACATATCATATTTTAAATACACTATCGGGATTAAACGCGATTAAAAATTTTTGCAGATATATACTACCTACATACCGTTTTTTTTTTTCAGTATATATATTTTAAACAACGCGAAAGTTTAATTAAAAAAACAGAATGTGCTTTTTTTAAACAGTTTGTACCAGTATAAATTTCGAAGAAAAAAATATCAATAGTAAACTAACATTTTCGTTTTATAAGAAAAGATTTCTGTGCAGTAGTGGACGATTTATATGTTGTTATAGAGTTATAGATATGTTTGTCACTAAGGATGTCATTGAGGTAGCCTATGCATAAGAGTTTGTATAATGTTTGCCTCTGGTAAAGAATAATATGTTGGAACATCTTAATACTTACAAATCAAGCGATATCATTTTTGGCGGAGGTTTTATTTTCTTAATCACTGGTATTTTAATTTTCTCCGGTTTTTTCTCAGTCGCGTTCTCTTTCTTGGGGACATCGCCTTTGATTGTTTTATTTACACTTAGACTTTTGTTATTTGTTTCAAGTTTATTGGCAGTTATGTTTTTTTGTTTCAAACAATTATTACAAGATATTAAGATAACGATAATTAATAACTGAAGATTCATATCGTAATAGTGAATAACTAGTTTTTGTATAAGATAATTTTCTCTGTGGGCCAGCAACGTACGACTGTGAGGAAGGGGCGCTTAGGCGCAGACTCCGGAACGCGCAGACGGCAGGCTCCAGACATCCTGGCACCATTCTGTATAACCGACGACCCAATTCTGAGGGTGAAAGGAGGATTAACCTAAGCAACAGGAGGATTCATTTCGCCTATATTAATAATGTAGGTAAGTATACGTGATAACTGGATCTCCTTAGAAACTAGGTAAAACTATCTGTACCTACAAGTATTATAAGAAGGTATGCAAGCTGAAGTCGAAGTTATTAGTTTTATTAGTGGCATTAATAATTTTCCTCAGATATACATGGGTTAAAAAATGACAAAAAATTCCGAGCTTCAGAACTTATTTGATACCAATTTAATTTTTCACGTTCTACTTGACGCAACCGTAGGCAATAACGTTTGCACCGATATAAATTTGTTGACGTGTTTGTGTGTATAGCAACACACTGAGATTCTTTATGTAGATAGTGTACGCAATAAACTATATGATTTAGTGATTAGATAAATTAATAGGGAAAAAAAATATTTTTCCAATACATTTTATTTAGTATTGGAATAATTAGTAGTAGCTTATCAACAAAATAAAAAATAGATACAAGTTTAAATATTCTATCAGGTTATAATTTTTTTATCGATATTTAACGATGATATTACCCGTTACTCTCCACTGCTGAACATAGGCCTTCTTCTATTAGAAGGTTTTGCCAGTAGTTGTAACGCTTGGCAGGTGGGTTGTCAACTGCAATTAGACTTTGGTGATGCTCTAAGAGGGCAGCTGCTGTCCAACCTTCAACCGTGAAGTTCTATTAGTTGCCTCTTATGACATTTAGGGGAGACGAAGGGACTATTTTATGTAGGGACCACACGACAATATTTAATAATTTACCTAATATGTTTTTTTAGAATTAATCACGATGGTTTCTAGGGGGACTCGTGGGGGTCGATTTGATAGGGTGTATTGGTAGCAATGAGTTAGTTAGATTTCATTACTAACAATCCCTTTCCCCCTACCTAAATATGGTTATAAGTAAATACAACTACTACATTTAGAAATCACAGGTTATGAGTTGTGTGGTCTATAAGTCGGGTTAGTATACCAATAAGTTACGATGTTCTATTTATAAGTACTTATAGTATTATTTAAGGTTCTGTACCATAAAGGTATAAAGAAAAAAGGATGTGACTTTGTCCGTGCGTCCATCCATCCATCTATCACAACGCTATATCGCAATAACTACAAATTAAAGTAATTGTATCTTATATTTATATATTTATGTACGGAACCCTCGGCGTGTGAGTTTACTCGCACCTGACCAGTTTTACCTATTTTTTTTATAATAAATAAAATGAAATAGTCAAAACTTCTGTATTTTCGATCTTCTACACAAGACAATGATTTATTTAGGATAGTAGTCCACGTATTTGGACATTTGGTAGGGCGTAATTGAATACACGTGTATGCGCTCTCATAGGGCATTATTTGTTACCAAAAATTTTATTAATATAAGAAAAAAGTTCAAGTTTTCATGCAAATACTGTACCAGTAAGTTTATTTACATGAAAATTTTAGTTACTGGTTACTTGTAATTTTGATATATACGTATACGCGGAAAGAATCAGGGATTCTTTTTTTTGAAATATTATTTTGAAATTTTAATATTGAAACATTTATGGTATAGCTCAAATATAGCATTATTAAAATAATTTGAAGAAAAAGAAATGTTATGCTAAAATAACTTTTATTAAAATTTATCACATAATTTTTTAAACGAATACATTAGAAACACAAAATTGAAATATAAGTAAAAAAAAAAAAATTAATAAATATTAAAGGTAAAAAACGTTTGTTTAACAGTCTGAAGACTGATCATTATGTAAATTTATATAATTTACAAATTTAATTTATGTACAATAGTATAGTTTATTTTTAGTTACTACAAACCACATTGCTTGGCCAATCACATTGCTCAGTCAGTGCGTTGTACAATAAATTTCCTGGGCAACTCAGAGCTACTGGCAAGCCCTCTGAGCATTTATAAAACTGGTTGCAGTTCTCGTGAGCGACCAATATACCGTCCGATCCTTCAGCTGCACAAATCGTAGCCGCTTCACCGGGATTGCTATTATTGCCCTCACCTGAACCACTGTCATTGCTGCTACCACCGTTGTCATTGCTCTCATTGCTATCACCACCATCGTCACCATTGTCATTACTTTCATTACTGTCGTCACTGCTATTGCTTTCACTACTATCTGGAGTTTCTGGAGTAACAGCTGTGTTCTTACAATTCACATTTTCTGGCCAATCACATTGTTCAGTGAGTGCGTTGTACAATAAATTTCCTGGGCATCTCAGAGTTACTGGCAAGCCGTCTGAACATATATAGAACTGGTTGCAGTTCTCGTGAGAGACTAATATTCCATCTGAACCTTCAGCTGCGCAAATGGTAGCTGCTTCACCGGGATTATTATTGCCAGCGTCAGAACCACTTTCGTTGCTGTCATCACCATTGTCATTGCTTTCATTGCTATCACTGCCGTTGCCATTACTCTCATTGCTATCCCCACCGTTGTTACTGCTGTTATTACTGTCACCACTGCTATTGTTTTCACTGCTATCTGGAGTTCCGGGAGTGACGACTGTGCCGTCACAATTTACATTTTCTGGCCAATCACATTGTTTAGTGAGTGGGTTGTACAGTAAACTTCCTGGGCAACTCAAGGCTACTGGCAAGCCATCTGAACATATATAGAACTGGTTGCAGTTCTCGTGAGAGACTAATATTCCATCTGAACCTTCAGCTGCACAAATGGTAGCTGCTTCACCTGGATTATTATTACCACCGTCTGAACCACTTTCGTTGCTGTCACCACTGTTGTTATTGCTCTCGTTGCTGTCACCACCGTTGTTATTGCTTTCGTTGCTATCACCGCCGTTGTTGCCGCTATTGTTACTGTCACCACTGCTATTGTTTTCACTGCTGTCTGGAGTTTCGGGAGTGACAATTGTGCCGCCACAATTCACATTTTCTGGCCAATCACATTGTTCAGTGAGTGCGTTGTACAATAAATTTCCTGGACAACTCAAGGCTACTGGTAAGCCATCTGAGCATTTATAGAACTGGTTACAGTTCTCATGAGGGACTAATATTCCATCTGAACCTTCAGCTGCACAAATGGTAGCTGCTTCACCGGGATTATTATTGCCACCGTCTGAACCACTTTCGTTGCTGTCACTACCATTGTCATTGCTTTCATTGCTATCACCGCCGTTGCCGTTACTCTCATTGCTATCCCCACCGTTCTCACTGCTGCTATTACTATCATCACTGCTATTGTTTTCACTGCTGTCTGGAGTTTCGGGAGTGACAACTGTGCCGCCACAATTCACATTTTCTGGCCAATCACATTGTTCAGTGAGTGCGTTGTACAATAAATTTCCTGGGCAACTCAAAGCTACTGGCAATCCATCTGAGCATTTATAGAACTGGTTACAGTTCTCATGAGGGACTAATATTCCATCTGAACCTTCAGCTGCGCAAATGGTAGCTGCTTCACCGGGATTATTATTACCACTGTCTGAACCACTTTCATTGCTGTCACTACCATTGTCATTGCTTTCATTGCTATCACCGCCGTTGCCGTTACTCTCATTGCTATCCTCACCATTGTTACTGTTGTTATTACTGTCACCACTGCTATTGTTTTCACTGCTATCTGGAGTTTCAGGAGTGACAACTGTGCCGCCACAATTCACATTTTCTGGCCAATCACATTGTTCAGTGAGTGCGTTGTACAATAAATTTCCTGGGCAACTCAAGGCTACTGGCAATCCATCTGAGCATTTATAGAACTGGTTACAGTTCTCATGAGGGACTAATATTCCATCTGAACCTTCAGCTGCGCAAATGGTAGCTGCTTCACCGGGATTATTATTACCACTGTCTGAACCACTTTCATTACTGTTACCACTGCTGTTATTGCTCTCATTGCTATCACCACTGTTGTTATTACTCTCATTGCTATCACTACCGTTATTACTGCTGTTATTACTGTCATCACTGCTATTGTTTTCACTACTGTTTGGAGGTTCGGGAGTAACAACTGTGCGGTCACAATTCACGTTTTCTGGCCAATCGCAGTTTTCCTTTTCGGGATTATAGAGCAAGTCTAAGGGACAAGATATTGTTACTGGTAAGCCGTTTGAGCATTTATAAAACTGATTGCAGTTTTCGTGAGCAATTAATATTCCATCAGAATCTTCTGCTGCACAAATAATGGATGCTTCGCCAGGATTATTATTCGTACTGTCACCGTCATTTTCAGCTTCACTACTAACGTCACTGCCTCCACCACTGGGTGGTTTTGGAGGTACTACAGTGCGATCGCAATTCACATTATCCGGCCAATCACATAAATCTAGTTCATCATTAAATACAAGGCCGACAGGGCAATTACGAACAAGCAGTTCTCCGTGTTTGCAATGATAATATTGATTACAATTTTCATGGGCGAATAGAACGTTGATTGCTGGATCCACAGGGCACCCGGCAGTGTTCAATTTGAAGGATTTACTCAGAGCTACTGCACTGAGCAGCAAGAGTATCGTACCTAAAAAAAAAAATTCAATAATTAAGTACAGTGTAGTACAAAACCAATATCGTGCTACCATTAGCGCCATTCATTGTACTTTAGAGTGTTATCCTAGTAGACCTTTATATCATACTAATATATAAAGTTTAAATAGGGGACCAATTATCATTATTATTTTAGCTATTCAACATGAGTCTGCAGGGGGAAAAGGATTGTTAGCAATGGAGTTTGACAGCCCCATTGCTAGCAATATACCTTATTAGGTCGACCTCCACGTGGTTCCCCCTGGAAACTATCGTAAACAATTCTTGTTGAATTCGTCACGATGGACTAACTGACCTGCTTCATCCTCACCTATCATTCTTCACTGGTGACCCGCCGGTGTATACCATAGCGCGGGTGGGGTTACCATTCCATTATCATCTATTTAAAAAAAAAAATGAGTCTGCCTGAAAATTATGCTGAGTGACTGATTGACTGACTCTCTGTCTGAACTGCCACAATTCACACTGACACTCAACGCATAGCCGAAAGCGCTGAATCTAAAATAAATTTTGAAGATAGGTTCTTTGTAGCGTAGATGGATAGTAAGAAAGGAATTCTGAAAATTAAACCCTTACAGAACAAAACAGGGGTTGAAAGTTTGTATAGTGTTTCGTTAGTTTAGAAGTTATATGTATGAAATTTTAGGTTTAATTTTTTTTTTATTTTCATAATAAAATTAGCAAAAAAACTATCTGGCAAAAGCTAGTGACTAATAAATTTTTGAATATCTTCTCAAACTTTTATATTTATAAATATAATGTTAATTCAATTATGAACTAATAAGTAGGTAATATAAGACGAGAAACTGACTGACTGATTTCATAGACGATACCAATAGATTTAAGAACATACTTGTATAATTTTTCTATATTACGCTTTAAATGAACACTCTAATAGGACTTCTCGAAATTTCTAAGAGAATGAGAGATAATGAAATTCATTATCATTAAATGAATTCACCTGTGGTTCGAACAGGAGAAAAAACTGTATCAAAGAAACATAATATTCCTTACAGATATGATTGTAGCAAGATTGTGAATAGCTAGTCAACACAAAGAAAGAAAACTTACTAGAGATAACTTATAAGAAACAAAGAGTAAATATAATTTAATTTATGGCTAGGAGATTCTATTATAATTATTTTTTATTAATAAAAGCTTTTACGCACAAGTTTGTCCACATTAGCGGAATATGTTAACTGACCGGAATAAATAATAGCCTACGTCCTTGTCCATCATAAATATGTATCTATTTTATATATGCAATATATATGCATCAATAGGTAAGAAATAAATAATAATAAATAAACAAACTTATTTTTTACATTTAAAATATTATAATAAATTACTTACTTTTCATATTGAGCTTTTCTTGTTATCCTCTTGTTATTAATTTAATTGTTGCAATACGAATGTAAATGATAATGGACAGTTAGTTGCACGATATTTATATGAAACATGATTTTAAAGGGAGTTCAGATAACGTAGATTATCGCAGCAGATAATAAAAGCAGCTACGTATCGAATAATATAGATATGTAACATAAACTAATATAACAAACAGGAAAGATTTGATTTTTCGGTTAATACACAAAATATTCATCCGATTTCAAAAATTCTTTCACCTATAGAAAGTTACGTAATCAGCGAGTAATAACAGGTTGTATTTAAAAACAATCTTATGATGCTGGAGCGGGGCATTATAATAAAAAGTTAAGAAGTTATAAATAAGTAATTAGTACTTTAAAAGTGACCGATCAACAGATCCAAGCCTGATGGGTTTAAAAAAGGAAACACAAAATGTATCACAGCCATTTATCATATATGTATATCGTAAGATGAGAACACTAAGGAAGGTATTTCAACTGACTTAAAAAAGAAGGAGGTCCTCAAGTTCTCAAAATATACATTTTTTAAAGTTATTTAGCATTTTTTATCTGAAAGGATTGGTCCCGTAGAAATTTTATCAAAATCGGTTTAAATAGTTTAGTTTTCAAAACAAAATAACTGGTTTTGCTACAATTTCCAAATCGATTTTTTTTAGATAATAATCTTATTTTATAGATATTCCGATCCGATTAGGATATAACGGGAATGGGGAATTATCATAGGAAAGTCATTTATAAAATCTTATCGTAGGTACCATATTGTAAGTGAAAATTTGTAAAGGTACTTGGATATTTTCTCATCCATTGCGTCATATCAACTTTTAACTGTCCACTGTTGAACATAAGCCTCCCCTTTATGGGGATTTGCCAGTAGTTGCCACGCTTGGCAGGCGGATTGGCAACCGCAGTTAGGATTTAGAGATGTTTTAATAGGGACGCTGCTGCCTATCTTTCGTCTTCCATTATTCGCCTCTTACGGCACTCATTGAAAAGAAGGGGTGGCCTATTCTATGCAGGGCCCACACGGTACGTTATTTACAACCAAATATGTACATACGAGGTCTGTCCGGAAAGTTCGTATAAAAGTGTTCTGGAATGCGAGAAAGAGGAGTGGGGAGGCCAGGTAAGCGCAGGACCCCTTCCTTATGTCCCTAACAATGCTTCAGTTCTGGTCTGACCGCCGTGCGGTGCGAACTGGCTTGTCACGCCATCTGTGAAGTTACCTCTTAACGAAACCCCGTCGGCATGGAGCCCGCTTCCGTTGAAGAGCAGCGCGTCGTAATCAAGTTTCTCTCGAAACTCGGCAAGAATGGCCGTGAAAGCAAAGAGTGGAAGACATCCGGGGAACCACGAACAAAAAAATCAAGAAAATCCCGCTCAAATGTCAAGACAATGTTGATTGTTTTTTTCGATGTTCGGGGGATTGTCCATCAAGAATTCGTCCCTCCAGGCCAGACAGTTGATGGAAAATTCTACGTCGATGTGCTCAGACGCCTCAAAGCTCGTGTGGCACGAGTTCGTCCAGAATTGGCGCGAGAGGGGCGTTGGATTCTTCACCACGACAATGCCCCTGCCCACACCTCTCTTGTTGCCCGTGAGTTTTTGAGTAAAAATTCCATTACGGTGACCGAACACCCCCCCTATTCGCCGGATTTGGCCCCGTGTGACTTCTTCTTGTTCCCAAAAACCAAATTGGTACTTCGGGGGCGGCATTTGGGGGACATAAATGAGATAAAAAAAGCTACGACGGGGCAGCTGAGAAACCTACAACCAGAGGACTTTCAAGGAGCCTTCTCACAGTGGAAACGGCGTTGGCACAAGTGCATTATGTCACAGGGGGAGTACTTTGAAGGGGATAAAATTGATTTACCTGAATAATTGTAAAATAAAATTTTTAAAAAACTTTTATACGTACTTTCCGGACAAACCTCGTAATTAAACAAAATTACTTTCACGTTTATAATAATATTAGTTTTTACCTACGAACTCGTCTAGGCCATTGGAATATTATTTATTCTATATTCAAATAGAACAAACAAACTCCTTTTCATATTTATAATAGCAGTAAAGAAACTAAGGATCAATAAAGAAATCTAAGTTACTGTAAGTAGGTAGTTAATTGTTGCTAACTGTAATTATTATATTTGCCTAGGTATCTACTTCCCGTTGTCTATGTACGTAACTTAGGTAAATCAAGTTCATTGAATCGTATCTTTTGTTCATATTAGTGTTAATATGTAGATTTCATCATATCTCTAATGTGTCATTCATTAATCATGCAATAAACATATTTCGCAATTACATCAAAGATAAATAATTAAGATTTTGTTCTAGAATAAAATCTTTTGCTACTTGTAATGGTGTCATAATTATTAAGGAAACAACACAGATCCTATTGATTATAAAAACAGTACCTTAGGCGTCATTTCATGTAAACAGAGTAAAGTAGATTTTCAGCTGTCTCGGCATAAAATGGACCACACCTTATTTTACTGTGTGTTATGTGTGTTATAAAAGGCGACAAAGAGAATGGTTGAGAAAGGGGCTGAGTCATCCATTAAAAACAGCTTCAGTTCATAGTGAACTGAGGATTACTTTTAACTTACCATTTCGTAGCAGTCGTAACCGCTTAGTAAAAGACTTTTACTATATACCACTGCGTAGCACTGGCTATATTGTCAACTAATAATCCAACAGATACATCAAATTGTTGTTTAAATAGTCTGTTAGTGGGGGAAGTGATTGTTAGTAATGGGGAGGTTAGACCCCATTGCTACCAATATACCCTATCAGGTCGACCTTCACGCGGTTCCCTCTGGAAACTATCGTGACTAATTTATCGTTGAATTCGTCACGATGGGCTAACTAAACTGCTTTCATCCTCACTTATCATCCCTCACTGGTGCCCCGCCAGTGTATACCTACCGATATGAATGATTGAATGAATGAATGCATTTTATTGCTAAAAATGTGGTACAATAATAGGTGATATGGTAGTATTACAATGGTTTCACACGTTTTGTCATTACTGACGTGCAACAGTCATTACAAAAGTGATGACAAAATAATTCTTTGATGAGTAATAATGTAAATGTTTATGCCAATTTTGAAAGGTCAATTCGATAGTAAAAAGTCAGTCTTTTATAATGTGTCACTATTTTATCTTTTATAAATATTCCTGGACACTATAGTAACACTTATTTGCTAGCAATTTATGCAGTAGATAGCGTAGACGGGGTTATCATTCCATCATTCATTAAAAAAACCGTCTATTAGTCTGGACAAAAGATTTATTAACCCTTGTGATATAAAGATGGATCATAGAATTTGTCACTAGTTTCAAACAGTTACCAAACTGTTGCAAAAATCGATGATAATAATTTTTCATATTACTTTACAATACCGACTCAAATTTTTTTTTTATACAACTTAGAATGGCAAACAAGCTGACGGTCTACCTGATGGAACGTGATAACCGTCGCCTATAGACATGAGCAGTACCATGGACATAACTCATTTCCCATAATAATAATTTTCAAGAAAATTGCTAAGCACGACGCAGCGAAACATGATTCATACAACCTGGTGCGAACTGCACCATTTATTACCACACATTTTGTTGTTACTATTGAACATTTCGTAATATTTTTAGGTACTTATTAATAAATAATAAATTGTTATAAACCAATTAATGAATTATTAAAGTGAATTAAATATTAATATCCGTCGTCCGCTCGTTCGCTTATCTTTCTGCCTGTCACGCACTATATTTTAGTAACTATAATCAACTTTTCTTATTCCCAAAGAGGGTTGACGTCAGGCAGGTGGCCGGTCGTAAAACTAAAAACTAAATCTTTTTGTAATATGGATAAAATCATATTACGCCAACCCCAAATGATTGGGACAAGGGTAGGAAGATGATGAATCAACTTTTTTTCACCAAAGTCCCAATTATTTGTTCCATCGTGTTTTTACCGCCGAGCATTTGTGCTTCTGTGATTCTGTTTTGGTTTTAAGGATGATATTTAATAATGGATGAACAGGATACGGATGCATAATACCTCAGTATCTGGAAAGGAACTGTAAATAAATGGAAATGTCCCATTGTCAAAAATTTACCCAGTCAGATTGACCTCCACAGCGGAGGCACTGGAAAACATGGTAGTTAATTTGCCAGGCCAACTGAAAAAAACCGATTCGAAAAGTATTTTCCAGGTTTTCGTTAAATAAACAATCTTTCTAGAAATCCTTTTCTTACGTTTATTAATTAAAATCAATAAACAATTCGATAATCTCTGGAAAAGTCCGGTAAATGGAATGTATGGATATTGTTGCCGTTTTCCTTAAAGATATGTATCAACTTATTGCATTGATTAGATCGCAATTTGATATAACGATCAAAGGGGAGCAGTGGACTACCGGCAAATTTAACAGATAAAGTATTGATTATAATATATAGATATTACTCAAAAATTTGCAATTAATAAATTTACAGGTAAATTATGTAGAGGATGCACTTTGTTTCCACAAATCAAATGCATATAAACAGTAGGTAAAAAAAATGCAACGTACTTACTCAGGTTAGTAATTAGTTTAGAAAAGTATAAAATTAGCATTTAATGAAGTAAACAACAAATTCATTAATTACAATATTTTCCCAATAATAATATAATATGTATAATAATATTCAAAAATAATAATTTAAAATTTAGTAAAAAAAGAACCAGTCTAGATAAAATTAGAAAGAGAGAATAAACTCCATCGATTGCTAGAAATTTAATTTAAATGCGTAAATATATATATATATATACGCATATATATATATATATATATATTGAGTGTAGTATATTTTTATATGATATAGTCAAATTGAGAATCTTCTCAAAGTCTGTTTAAAAATGTCTGAACGCTTAATTTGACATGAGGTGCATGTAATTTGAAATACATGAGCCGCATGTCATCCCATAGTTGTTCTTACGCTGGTTTTAACCTCGTTCGTATGTAGGTATATTATACTATATAACCTATTATTTATTACATAACCTTTCATAGTAATTAATTTTGTACACCTTTTTTTTGAGATTTTTTTTGTTGCTTTTTCTCTTATTTTTCAATTCCA